CCCCCCCCCCCCCAACAAACACATCAACCCACTCATCAAGCCAATGGTCTTCGCAAACTCCCAAAGGTCACTGTAATCGACCTGGCCCGAGACGACCCTCTAAGGCGAATCGGATCAGAGAAGAGAGGAGAGGAGGGGGAAGTCTGCTTGTGATGGGGCGTGTGAGGGGGTGGTGGGTGGTGGTGATGAGATCGAGTGGGCGGTGAGAACACTCGGTGAGAACACCACTCAGCGGTGACAGCTTACACGGCGACAACAACACCACCATCCCCGATCCACTCACAACCCATAACCCCCCCCCGGCCCCCAGCACACCACCATCTAGCTACGCCTATGTCGAACATCACTGCGATGTTTCCGATGTGTTTGTGTCTAAGAAAAGAATGGGTGTGAAGAGTAGGATAGGTATGATATATCCACACAATCTCATCTGATTTACCGTTTTTCACAGCAGTACTCAAGACACACATCATTCTACTGCAAACAGTTGGGTCGGTTCTGGATGTATGTGTGTGGCATCCTCAAGGCTACCTTTCATCTGTTCAGCCCAGCCCAGCCCAGCTCAGCTCGTTGCTTTGCTCTGCTAGTTCCTCGATCGATCCCAACTAGAAAAAACGTATGGTCGTAAAAAATCTCTTTTTCCATTTATACCCCCTATCCATAGCAACCCACCCCATAGATTTGGCACCCCCCTACTTTTGTCTCTCAACTACCTCCTGGTATCTCTTCTCCTCTTCCCCTCGTCCTCTCTTCCTCTCTTCCACCTCCATCCACCCGCGCACCACAACCACGCACACACCCACAATCCCCGCACACCACAGCCACCCCATCATTGCACCCAAGCAGTCTTAACGGAACCTCGACGTACACCTCCCCATCACCTCACCCTGACACACTAGCTCAGCATTGAATTCCGAGCCGTCGAGGGTGAGGTAGATGTCGAAGTACACGCGGTAGAATGTCCCCTGCGGCGTGTCCATGCGCTCAAAGTCCTTTTCGAGGTTTTTGCGGGAGAGGTCTGAGGTTAGAGTTACGACTTCTTTGACTCCTGTTCTGCTGTTAGCCCTGTCCCTGCTTGTGTTTCTCTCGTGGGGTAAAAAGGGGGACTTACTAGGATCCTTCGTATACTCCGGACAAATCTCATCATCACACGCATACAAAATATCCTCATACATCAGCGTCGCCCCCGGCGCCACCTGCCTAAAGAACGACACCTTCACCGGCTCCCCAATCTTCACCCTCTGCCCCTTCTGCACAAAGATCTGGCGCGTGAATTTACACCTATCCTTCCCATCCAAGCTAGGCACCCTGTACGCCTCCGGATGATGGCCCTCCTTGAACGGTTGCAGAGTAGCCATAAGGTAGTGACGGCGCGCTACGCGCGATGTGACGACGCGCTCGGAGATACCGGCTGTGACGGCGCCCTTGACGATGGCGGCGACGGAGTCCATGGGTCTTACGACCTTGGCTTGGAATTGCGGGGGGACGTGGAGTTTGATCTGCTGGAAGAGGTATTCGCTCGCTCCAAAGCCACCGACGACGAGGACATTCTGTAAGGTGCGATTCTGCGCCTGGATCGCAATGATCTGGTTCCTCACGAGCTCGAGGATACGGTTGACGACCGGCTCGAAACACTGCAAGATCTCCTCGTTGGTGAACGTCATATACCCCTCCTCAATCCCCGCCTCAGGGAACTCAGCCTCGATCCCAACATCAACGGCCCACTTCTGGTTATTATTCCTGAAATCCGCCTTGATGCGATTCTCAAAGTCCATGATACACTTCGCGTACACGCGTCCCGCGGTTCTGGATCCCTCAGGGAGTTTCATCTTGCGGATCTTGGTGCGGAGGATGTTGCTGAAATTCCTATTGAGGGCCGTGGAGCCGCAGCTGTCTCCCGAGCCGGCGGTGCACTCGGCCACCGTGAAGGGGGTCTCCTCTTCGACCTCGTAGGCGATCAGATCTACGGTTCCGCCGCCGCAGTCGACGATCAGGATCGCGTCGTGGACTTTAAGGTTTAGCAGACCCGCTTTGGCGCAGAACATCGCGGCGGCTTCGGGCTCGGTGATCAGGGTGAGGCGGTTATCGTTCTCGTCGCGCAGGAACCCGGCCTGGATGGCAGCGGCGCGGGTAGCGGCCTTGCCGGCGTCGTTCCAGATGGCGGGGACGGTGAGGAAGTACTTGATGTTGCGCTCCTCGCGGTTGAAGACCTCGCCGAGGGACTTCTGGAGCTGGTTGCGCATGGCCTGGCGCAGCTTGAAGAGGTAGTCGGCCGCGACGTCGATCTCGGACTTTCCGGGGGGAAGCGGGGGGAGGTTGATGGGGTCGATGTATGTGTTTCCGGAGAGCATGAGTTGAAGCTTGAACCACTCGACCTTTTGGACGCCGGGCTTGGGGTAGCCGGTTGGGGCCAGGGCGTCGGCGATGTCAGGGCCCCAGCCGACGACCTTTTGGTACTGGTCGTAGTAGAGGACGGTGGGGATCTGTTAGATGTTAGTTGATATTCTTGCGATTTGTAGGTCATTCCGCTCTGCCCACCTTCTGCTTCGTGTAGATACCCGCACCAGGCCACTCCGTAATAATATCCTCCTTCGCCTCGGCATTATCATTCGAGATGAAGGCAAAAGCCACGCCGGAGAAAGTAGTACCCTTTAATTCCTATTAGCTTCCGCCTTGCTCGTCTCGGGATGGCTCGTCCCGCGATGTGTCAAAGATGGAGAAAACTCACAAAATCAATACCAACAATCAGCTGCGACTTGCTTCTCCCCGCACCTTCCACCTCCACCGCATTATTTCTCGTATACGGCTGAGGCACCATACCACCCTGCTGCGGGGCATACGGCTGCTGCTGTCCACCATACTGCGGCGGCCCACCAGGGAGCTGCTGCGACGGGGCCCCCATCTGCTGCTGCTGATGCTGCTGGGGATAACCGCCCGGCGCGGTATTGATAGGCGGCGGACCACCGAGGACCTGCGACGGAGGCGTGCGCGGGTTCCCTGGCACCATATTCGGGCTCCCTGCTCGGCCTTGCGCGACGCCTGGCGGATAACCCGTGTAGCTCGGTGGGCGAGGACCGGCGCCTGGGTGCTGGTTCATGGCGAGGCTGCTGGAGGAGCTGGATTGGGAGAGGGGTCCCGGGCGGACGGGTTGGCCGGCGAGTTGGGGTGGCAGCTGCTGTTGCTGTTGCTGTTGGGGTGGGAGGGGTTGCTGAGGCGGCTGGGTTGGTGGTGGGATGCCTGGACCTGCGGCCGATTTGCGCTTTGATCCGAAGCCAAATCCTTTGAAGCGCGAGCTGGTAGAACTCATTAAGAAGGAAAGGGAGGAAGGAGGGAGGAGAAGGAGGTGGGGGGGGAGGGAGAGGATGTAGAGGAACAAAAGAAGAGCGAGTGTGGTGGGTAGTGGTAGGTTGTGTTCAAAGGCGGGAGTCGGGCGGGAGGGGGGGAGGAGGTAGGTCAGCTTTGTGTCAGATGTTGACAGCCGCAGCACCAATTCGGGGTGGTGGGTTTAGGGTGGGATAGGGTGGGTATTGAGTGGAGGAGGAGGGGGATGGGGGCGGTGGTGGTAGTAGTGTTGTTGAAAGGTTGAAGAGTGAGGGGAGGGGGGGGTTGGTGGATAATGGGAATTACTGTTATTGAAAAGAGAAGGAGTGCGGCTGTGGGCTGGGCTGGACTTGGGTTGGGATGAGAGGATGATGAGATGATGGGATTGGGGACGAGGATGGGCTGTGGTAGTAGTGGATGGTTGTTGTTGGTGGAGGTGGAGGGAGAAGGATTTGGGGAGAGTGGGATGTGATGGGTAGAGGTACAGTTTGACTAGGAATACATTATAGATACATATTGGGGGTGTGGTGTTTGTGTGTATTTGCGTGTTATTACTGTCTCTGAAGGTGCGTGTAGGATGTGTACTTCTAAGTACCTCTATCATAAATGTACATACAATACACACGATATCTACGATACCATAGGGCGAAAAAGGTGGGAGGAGGAGGGGAAGAAACGACGAGGGATTCTCAAGAGGGGATCGAGTGGAAGGGCTGAGACGACGGCAGGGGATGGCAGGGGATGGCAGGGTCCGAACAGGGGAGGGGCCAGTGGTTAGTGGATGGGTTAGTGGGAGTGGCAGTGGTAAGAAACAGAGCTAGTCAGATGGTACGAGCGCGGAGTAGTGATGGTACTTGTAGATTGGTGGTAGTGGGTGTGGGGGGTGAAGTCACTTGATTAGAAGAGGGGTGTCACTTTTTATTAGGAAGGGGAGAGTGGCTGTGATAGCGACTGCGGCGGTGTGTGCTGGTTGGCGGTGTTTGGCGGTGTTTGGGCGGTTTTTGTTACTTTGGTAGAGCGATGAAGATGTGTCTAAGGCGAGTTAGTCTGGTTGAACTGTGGCTGTGGCAGTGGCAGTGGCAGTGGGAGTGACAGTTCCGTCTCTTCGGGTTGAGGGTATCCGTACCATTGAGAGGATATCACTGGGCTCAGGACTCTGGTATGGTACTCTTCTAGTGACAGCGCTAGAGTAGAGTAGAGTAGAGTACTCTGTCCATCCTCCCCATCTACCCATCTGCAGCACAGTAAATCTACCATGCAGTTCCCATGCAGCAGTAGCATCCTTCGGTGAGGATATGAGGTTAGCCACAGCCACAGCCAGCTACAGCTACGGGAATAAACTTACATAATGGACTCGCATATATGTGAAGTAAGACACATCGAACGATCGACACACTACACACGAGGAGAGACAGACACCACGCAGATATGCCTGAGTAGACCCAGATATGCCTGTAGACCCAAATAGACCTGACATGACATGACAGAACAGAGCCTCTAGTTTGATTACGGTATCAATCAGGCGAATCGTGGGATTGCCCTGTTGATCGCTCTTTGTATATGGAGTCGAGTGTATAATTATAGAACATGATACTATAGAATAGAATTATAGCTTCAAAATAGACGCAAATAGCCACACGCCAGGCCCATCCTTTAACGGCACAATCCTTCGCTCTCTGTTGTCTCCATATACCGTCTATTCCAGTCCTCGCTACTCACTACTCACTTCGCGACTACGCGACTAACTCGCCTACTCCCACTTCGACTGTGCTCAACTCCGCGGCGGATCAACCACGGTTCCCCTCCTCGCTCTCGGATGGGATATTTATAGAACACCCACCAGATTTATATCGGGATGAGCCCTGACAATCACATCACGCTATTGTGATTGATATACCTTTTTATATACTGTCTTCTATATTTATATTTTCATCTCTCATCAAGTAAACGACCGGATACATTCCATCCAGATCGAGTACTCCTCACTGGGTCTACAACCATCCGCACTCTAGCATCCGTTTGCATCTACAGTACATGCCAGTATGCCAGTATGCCAGCATGTCAGTCTCCTCTGTGCTGTATGCTGCTGTATGCACCGTGCATCCTCCAAATGGCCTTCCTTCCATTCACCCGTCTTATGCCGCCGCTGCACTGCGTCAAGCCAACCACTCACCTCCCCCTTAACCCCCCTTCTTACTAGAGACTCGTGGCACAGGATTTCATGCATATATTGTCTCCAATGCTAATGCCAATGCCTCAACTACCTTCCTATTGGACCGATGTCCCCTTGGCGCTTGTAGCCCTACTCACCGGTCGGAGGGTGGTGTGTTGGATGGTTGACCTGTCAGTCGTCTGGTGTGCGATGAGAGGAGAGGAGAGAGTACTTCATGGGAGCTGGTTCACTGCTTCAACACTTCACTTCACAGTTCACACACGGTATTGTAACTACTCGATATACTGTGTTATGCTATACAGTACTATGGGGAGAGAGGTACGGACGAGTGAGACACTTTCGTCGTCCATACACGAAATCAACGAACGCCACCGTGGTAGACATACTCTATGTACAGTACAGTACCTCTCGTGCGCACAGCCAGCCGCCCGTCACCATTCCTACCCGAACTGTACTGTACAGATATCCTCATACCCTCCTCTCCTCACTATCAAATGCTTCATCATATCAATCAGGCCAGTACTATACTACGCTCAAATACCTCACTTTCCTCCGAATACACGCCTATCGCGCGTGTAATCTTACCTCGAATAGCTCCGAACAGCTCTCCGCTCTCCGCTCTCCCCTCCCCTCCCTTCTGTGACTAAAACCCGCGCCCACCGCCGTTTCACGCTTCTCCAATTTCCCCTCACCGTGTCTCCCTCTTAGTCTCTCTGTTTCTCCCTCCCTCCCTCCCACTTCTCTATCTCTCTCTCTCTCTCTCTATCTCTATGATCTACACACCTTCACATACATACAATTATACCAATCTTGACTCTATTCCCCTCTTAATCTCTAATCAATCCCCTCGTCGTCGCTGTCGTGTCTCTCTCTTGCTTGAAACCCAAACCCCGTACTACTCTACTTGCAACTCTATCTCCCAATCCGCCATTTTCGGTCCTACTTTCCTGCCCAACCCGCCAAAAATCAGGCCAAAACCAGCCAAAACCAGCGAAAAGATCCCCCGCAACCCACAAAACAAGAGGTCCCGCCGCGTCTTCCAATAGGCCCGACCACCAAGCTACACCAAGCTACAAGCTGCAAGCTACAACTTTCCCTCTCTCTCCTCCGTACCGTACGCCCGGACTTCCGCTGTACGGAACGGGCTACAGTACATACCAGCCTCCGTGCTGGAAGTACTCGCTCCACCACCAAAAATTGCTCCCCTCACCTCATCATCGACCCCGCCAAGTGTGGCTTCAACCCCTCAGCAATCAACGACGTTGGCTACATCTAGCGAAAGGGCAGTTCGGCCCTTACCTCCCAGAACCAGAACCACCACCAGCATCACCAACACCCAAAACACCCTCACTTCTCATAAAAATATAGCTCTCTTCTCGGCCCTATATTGCTCGCGCTCAAATCCAATTGGCCTTGTTCGTCTCATCTCCGTCGCCGGCATCGTCCTAGCCCTAGTAAGAGATATGCACAAAATCGCTCATGTCATCACACCACAGATAGCTGACTGAGCCATTCACCTATTATAGTTCATCCAGTTCTTCTTCACCGGCCCCTCGAGCTTTCTCAATTCCCCAATAAGCTCGTCGTCTTCTTCATTCCGCCCTCCCTCCACGAGTCCTGCACCCGCGCAAGCTGTCTGCGAGTGCCCGCACCCCTTCCTCCTCCCAACAACAGACATCTCGAAAGTGGACAGCAGCAGCAGCATGTCTTCTCCTCTTCAGGAAGCCGCGCAGCGCGTGGCCAAGGAGTTCGATTACTCCGATGATGAGGTGTTCAAGGCGGGGAAACATTTCATTACCCAGATGCGTAGGTCACTCTCGTCACATTAGTTCGGAGGAGCCGGGAATAACGAATTCTACAGAGGAGGGCCTGCTGAAGGATGGAACCTCGATGAGCCAGATTCCTACATACGTTACCGCCGTTCCCAATGGCACAGAGAAGGTGAGAATAGCCTGACACCCAACTGGCGCGAACCTAGCTAAAACACATCCAGGGCGTCTACCTCGCCGTCGACCTCGGCGGAACCAACTTCCGCGTCTGCTCCATCCAACTCCACGGCGACACGACCTTCACCCTCACTCAATCCAAAGTCGCGATCCCCAAAGAACTAATGATCGCCAAGACCGCCGTAGAGCTCTTCTCCTTCCTCGCCAAGCAAATCGAGCTCTTCCTCAAAGAGCACCACGGGGAGCACTTTGAGTCTCACCTCCGCCGCCGCAACACCGTCTCCTCCCCCACCGGCTACAGAGACGAACACATCTTCAAGCTCGGCTTCACCTTCTCCTTCCCGGTGCACCAGATCGGGATTAACCGCGGCACGCTGATTCGCTGGACCAAGGGCTTTGATATCGCTGATGCGGTAGGCAAGGACGTTTGCCAGCTCCTCCAGGACGCAATCGACGCCCTCCACCTCCCCGTCCGCGTCTCCGCCCTCGTCAACGACACAGTCGGAACGCTAATGTCGCGCTCCTACACCTCCCCCGGCAAGACCCCCACTGTCCTCGGCGCCATCTTCGGCACCGGCACGAACGGCGCCTACGTCGAGAAACTCTCCAACATCAAGAAGGGGCTCGAGGGCGCCTACGACGCCAAGACCGGAGAGATGGTCGTCAACACCGAATGGGGCTCCTTCGACAACGAACTCACCGTCCTCCCCACCACCGTGTACGACAAGGACCTCGATACTGCGAGCGTTAACCCGGGGATCCAGATGTTCGAGAAGCGCGTCTCGGGGATGTTCCTGGGTGAGCTTCTTCGGCTGGCTGTCGTGGCGCTGTATAAGGAGAAGTTGATCTTTACGGATGTGGCGGCGATTGAGGCTGCCTCGCCGTTGAATACGCATAGTGGGGTTGATTCGAGCATCCTCTCTGTTGCGGCGGCGGATGAGACTGCTGACCTCGCGGCGCTGAGGAAGGAGATCGAGGTACAACTCGCTGTTAAGCAAGCTAGTGTCGAGGATGCAAAGGCGATTAAGACTATTGCTTACGCCATCGGTCGTCGTGCTGCCCGCCTCTCTGCTGTGGCTGTTGGTGCGATCGTCGTGCAGAGCGGTCGTCTCGATACCACCTCCTCTTCTGCTAGTGGAGAGGTCTCGGAAGATGATATAGTAGATGTAGGCGTCGACGGTTCTCTAGTGGAGTTCTACCCCGCGTTCGAGGAGCATATGCGCGCGGCGCTTCGCAAGGTGGCGGGGATGGGGGAGCAGGGGGAGAGGAGGGTGAGGATTGGGATTGCGAAGGATGGGAGTGGAGTTGGGGCGGCGCTGATTGCGTTGGTGGCGGAGGGGATGGATGTGGATGCTTAAGTGGTCGGGGTGGATGAGGAAGAGGGGAAGGGGGGGAAGAGGGGGGAGGGGGTGTGATCTACCTGCTATATTATGATGATAGCTGGGGACAGAGATGGAGGGGGCGGGGGGGGGGGCTGTCAAGGTGCCTATATATATGGCTTTCTTACCCCCCCCCCACCACGGGCCCCCTTTGGGGTGTTTTAGGATGAGTAAGGGAATAAGGTAAGTAGGGGGGAAACCATGCATATTTATTTATTTGATCTAGCATCAATCATCGGGAATTTAAAACGGGGTATATCTTTATATTCATCTATCTCCCCATCTTCCTCCCATGCATGATTTCAATGTCCTGGTGCCGTAATATGTTTTTGGTTTATTCTTGACGAAAAGTAAAGGAGAGAAGGAAGGGAAGGGAAGGGGAGGGGAGGGGAAGGGAAAGGGGCTGTTGTGAGTGTGGTGTGGTGTGGTGTGTGGGAAATACTATAAATACTCCCCCTATGCCCTGTCCAAGATCACACTTTCCAGGAGTAACCATCAGATCCGCATTCTTTGGGAGATAATGGTGCTGGTGCTGGCTGTGCCTGGAGGCGATGGTTCAATTATCGATGACAAATGGAAGTTGGGCGGGCGCGTCTGGTATCAAGGGCTTGTGCGAGGCGCTGCAGAGCGACGCGGGGGGGTGCTGAGATGGTGAGAGGTGGGGAGGTGAGAAGGCGGTGGTGAGAAGGAGACGACGGTAGTGAGAAGCACCCCATCGGCAAGAAATAAAAAGTGTCTCCTTCCTAGCTACCTACATCCAACTCCTTCTGGTGCGAACAAGATTCGCAGACTTCAATATCGCCGTTTCGTATATCCATTCCGGCCAAAGAATATATACTTTTCCCTGGAATTTGTTTTTACTCGCGCCATGATCTTAACTGACAGCTTGCTCGGTTTGTATTTGAGGGATTTGCTTGGTCATCCTGGATACTATGTGAATGTGAAGGGGGCATCTGAAATGGTTGAGTGGAGAGGTGGAATATGATGGTATGGGGATTTGCTGGTGAGAGATAAAGGAGGGTTATTATTGCTGGAGGGAAGAGCAGAAGTCGAATGAGAGAACGAGTTGCTGACATGGAAGGTTTAACGGAGTCGCTGGGGTGCGTCAAAGAAAGGTCAAACCCCCCTTTTCTTCACAACAACAGATCCCCCAACCGCCAAACTACGACCCGTATTATATTTAAGTCTCACCCCGCATCCAGCTCCGTGCTAGCAGATCAGTCCAACTTCAAATTTTCCATTTCATGGTGGCCGGTGTGGGGGACTCGTCGGTGGGATGTGAGATGTCCGCATCTATGATTGGGTGTTGCGTTTGTCTTGGGGGTGGAGGAAGGGATGGGGTGGGGTGGGAAGGAGGCGTTGTCGGTGAGAGGTGGGCGAGGTGAGAAGTCAGGAGCGGCGAGAATAGTCGGCGGTGGGAAGTAGTCGGCAGTGACATGAAGTTCCCCGGGATTTTGCTGTAAAACTTGACGCCGGGAGCGCTCTGAGTCAACTCTCAGCTCCACGTTGCGTTCCTCCGCAATGTGAACGGTTCCCCGGATGAGTTTACTTTGGTGCTACAGGGAAGTGAGAGGTGCCGGGAGGAAGTGGGGTTTATATAGTGGGATGATGGTCTCATCATCATGAGAACTCATATTAACATAGGGAATTGCTGGGAAGGGGTAAATGGATGGTATGATTGCTGTTAAGCAGAGAGAAAATCAAGGGGGGTCAACTGACTTGCTGATGTAGCAAAGTTAAGGGGGTAGCTGGTATCCGTCGAGAAGGTGTCAACTCCCTCCGCCCCCCGGCCCCTTTTCTGGCAAACAGATTCCCGAACCGCGCAACTGCAACCTCTATTGTGTTCAAGTCCCACCCACCTTCCAGCTCTTTACTAGCGAATTAGTTAAGTCTGACTGAACAATATTCTCATTCTATGGTTGCTGATGACAGATACGTCGGAGAATCGGGGATAAATTCGGTCCAAAACGGAATAATCCTATGCGCTGACGTCCACAGGTTGTTCGATACTTCTCGCAATGCAATCAATACTGATATGGGGATGCGAGATATGTGTATTTTTGGCGGAGTTGGTAGTGGGAGGGACGGAGGCGGTGGGAAGAGAGGTAGGAAGGAAACGGTGGTGAAAGCGGTGTGATGGTGAGAAGTAGGAGGCGGCGGTGAGAAAGAAGTAGGCGGCAGTGACAACTTCTCGGCAGAGACAAAAGCTCTACCTATCTATGCTGCGCCGAAAACTCAACCGCAACACACACGCTTCAACTAAGAACATCACATCCGATCTCGGACTGGTTTCTTGGTCGGACCGAGCTTTGCTCTGGTTGAATCTTTTCTCTGGCTGGAACACAGTTGTGTACAGCTTCTTCGGGCTCCCGAAGTGGGAGTATATAGTGAGACCAGGCTACTCTAATATGGCATCTGGGGGTTTTGCTCATGATGTTGGGGGTGTCAGAGGTGGAGAGAAATGGTATACATAATAGCGCCGTAACCCTCCTCGGGGGAATCTTTTTGTCTCTTCCCAAAAAGGAGTTGTGTTTTGGTGTTGATCTTTTAGCCCCCTATCTCGGGCCGCAAGAATTAAACTAGATGGAGAAGGAAGGCTGAGTGTCAGTATGGGAATATCATATCACAATAGTCCGTCAAATCTCAACTACATATCCCTCACCTTTAGTTAAACGATCAAAGGACAACATACTATATAAGATCTCCAACCCCGACACGGTAGCCACTTACCGATGGCGATTTCCTCTTCGACACGCACAACTTTAAGGATCATAGAATTGCCTGGTACCGTAACATCGGGATCAGCTTTGTTGTATACTGTCACTCTTCAGGCTTTGGTGCAGTATTATTCAGTATTGCCAGCTGTTAAATCAAGTGCAAGGTGACGGTGGTGAGAAGAGGTTGGTGTGAGAGCTAGTAGGTGGTGAGAGGCAGGCGGCGGTGACAACTGGTCTGCGCTGACAAAGGCTCCATTGGAAGCTGCCAAATCTTTCTCTATCGGGGCATTTTGTCAACCGATCTCCTACTGACAGAGGGTATCCTCAAGGACTTTTCAATTTGTGTTTGAAGCTGTGCAAGCTCCTCACCCTTGTCTTCTCCCCTTCGTAGATGTTCAGTGCCGTCTCAACTTCGTCGTAAGTATGGGAATATCATATCACAGTAGTCAGTAGTGAGTCAAATCAGAGGTAAGTTACATAATTCCACCTCAGGGGCTAGATCGGAGAGAATATACTGTGAGCATGGTACCTACAGGACAGCCACTCTCAAACAGCGCTTCATTTATCGTCAAAGTTTCGAGCAAAGGATACTAAAGCGAGGGATGGGCGATCTTTTAGGCAGGCTTCCCTAGGTCAGCAGGAGCTTGCGGTGCAAAGGATCTTTGTCGCGGTAGGAATAGTCTGTGGTGACAACAGCCATCAACGATAGCAGCCAGCGGTGACATAAATCTTCACCGGTGCTGCGTCATGAAACCTGTCAGCCTATGTGGTGGACCTCGAATACAATTCCACAACATTCATGGTGCACGAGCAGGCAGCTATATATTTCGTAGCTTCGTCTCATATTTCTCGTGATGAGCAGGTCAAAACATGGTGAAGGAAACCAGTGCTTAAATAGTTCATAGATTTTGTATTAACGGGCCTCGATGGGCAGATTCTAAAAAAATGGGTATATACGGCGCCTTCCCCCCCTTTTCCCAATAGAGCGCCAAAAAATACAATCCAGCCCGACCCAATCACTCATCGATTACCACACTCACCACAACGGTTTGCTCGCCCCAGCACCCAGGACGAAGCCAACTCGAACCCACAACCACCCCCTCACCAAAACAACACCCAAACACAAACCACTACAACCAACGCCCCCAAACTCCCCTCCCTCCCCCCCTTCCCCCCCGCCGCCGCAATCCCCTCCACACCCCCTTTCTTCCCCTCCCTCGCAACCCTCCACACCTCCTCCGTAACCACCCCCCCGGCCACCACCCCCAGCTCCTCCCCAAACGTCCCCAAGATATCTGAGCTCGGCCCCTCCGGACAAAATGTGACTTCCCACCCCCCACCGCTCGGAATACTAAACGTCGATTTCCCGTCATCGTAGGCGAAGCTATACGCATCTGGACAGACTCGCTTGGCGTTGTGGGAGTAGAGACCAGGCGAACAGGTGGACGCTGTGGAGTGCGAGCCGGTGCAGCAGTCGCTGTCTGACCCGGTGGCGGCGCAGGGGGAGAGGCAGGGGGAGAAGGGGGGGCGGGGGATGTGGTCGTCTGGTAAGGGGAAGGCGCCACCGCCCGGCTTGGCCGGGGGTTGGAGGAGGAGGGGGAATGGACACCAGCGGGTGAGATCCTGGGTCTGGGTGCGCGGCGTGGGGTATGTTGCGTTTGCGTTCTCAGAAAGGGCGGAGGAAAAAGGCGGTGTGGCGATGCAGGAGGGGTTTGTGAGGTTTGGCGGGATTGGGAGGCGGGGGTCGGGGAGGTGGGTGAGGGAGAGGGGGAGGTTGTAGCCGTCTACGAGGGAGATATCGTAGAAGGAGTTGGTTTTGTTGGCGCCGGATTGGAGGGCGATTTCAAAGAGGGTTGCGGGGGGGTTGCCCTGGTGTGGTGTTAGGAATCTTGTGGTGCTTAGAGGGGGAGGGAGGTGTACGGTAACAAGGCAGTCTAACACGCCGTCGCAGTCGCCCGTGTCACACGCTTGCCTGCCGCCATCGCTGGCGGCTGTCCCATCGGCATTGAAGCTGCAATTCGTCCGCGCCCACACGCGTCCCTGCCAGTCTTGGGAGACAGAGAGCTCTCTTGACGACTTAGGCGCGAGCTCAAAGCCGTGGGTTGTAGGGCCACGGCCTTCTTGTGTGGCGAGAGCAGGCCAGATAGTGGCGGGACAGGAATTGGTAATTTTGATGGGAATACCAGCATCTGCGGTGGCATTATGCCCTCCAGCTTCGAGGCCTGTGGCAGCGGCGAGGAGTAATAGGAAGGAGGAGAGAGCGCGACGGGAAGCTGGGGTTGAGTGATTCTTCTGGGACGACGAAGTTGACTGCCCATGGGCGCTCATTGAGGCTGTATGCTTCTATGACGTCCTGGAAAGCTGTGGCCTTTCAATTGGTGACGTCCGTTCCAGGACAAATATTTTCGAGCTGTTGCGAAACAGCGAACGCGCGGATGACAGTGATAATATAAAGTAGGCGTTACACGCTTATAACAAATCCATGAAAGCCACAGTATCTGCCAACACAAGCGACGACAATAACAGCAAACATAAAGTAAGTAAGGGAGTAGACAGACAAAATCTATCTATACAAGATCGACGCCGTCGTGACTGCAGGCCACAATCCTGCTCCACGACCGACCGACATCGTCGCCTTCCATTGGCGCAACGCCCTTCGCGACGGGTAGCATGGCACAAGGTAGTCGATGGGATGGTGACGTATATGCAGGGTCGTGGGGTCAACGGGTCGAGGCTGGGAAACAAGAAGGGTGTGGATGTCTCAGGGATAAACTTGGTTTGGGTGGTGTTGGTGCTGTTTTTGGCTCATGCAGGGGCCTGGCGGGAAGGCAAGGACGGCAGTGCAGCGAGTGAGATGTGGCGGGAGAGATGAATTTGAGACATTGTTACGATTCTGTGATCTTTGGATGGAAAATTCTCTTCAGATGGTAGACATAGCCGAAGCATATTGGGGATATGTCATGTGCGGATATGAGCGGAGGTAAGGGATGAGGCCAATGATGAGAGGTTTAATCACTTGAAACTAGGAGTGTCGGATGTCTGAGAAGGGTACCACTTGGTCGATGCGAGGGGGGAAACATAAGCAAACTTAGCTATAACACAGCAAGGTAATCTCAAATATTAATTTATTCAGTAAAAACTCAATAAATTCAATAAACATTTACATTCAACGTCGCATTGAAGGTATCTCAAATAACAAAGCAAGAGTCTGAAGAAAACGAGATCTTTCTATAAGTGAGTACCCGGTAGCCTTGCCAGCCTTGCCCCTCCGTTGACACCTGATAAGAAACGCCAGCGATAAGGCTTACTTCAGTATGACGCACCAAATGCCGCTGTCAAATGCATCGAGTATAGTTTCTTGTTCTTGATATGTTTTGTGCAAATACCACCGAGTAGTGGCCGTTCGTTGCTGTACCATGTGTACAAAGTGCGTGTTCAAGTGCCACAGTTGAACCAAAGCTTATCCCTCTACCATCTAAGTCTGTTCCCATCCCTTGCTCCATCTGTGCGCCCCAAGGGGTGACGCGGCATGTTTGGTAGGTAGTACTCCGCAGCGAGCAGCCACAGACATGTCTAGTAAATTCCCACGACTTTTAATTACCCGGTCGTGCAGTAGACACAGCCCTTCAAAGCGAATGCGCCTTGTTACCTCTTCTTGCCATTGGTTGGTTCTTCGTCAAAATCGCTGTCAGAGTTGCTCCCTGTTGGTCCCTCGTCTTCCTCCTCCTCAGCATCGATAAAGTCGCCCTGGTTCTGGAGCACATATTCAGCCTTCTGTAATAAGTCTCGTAGTTCGGTGTTTGCAGGATTGACGAGATCGGCTGCCTTTAGCTTCGCTTTGTTGCGGATCCTGTAGTTCGAGATTTGGTCAGCTTGGGTCGCAATATAGTACCACCAGGTCCATGGGTATAACTGACTTGGGGTCGCTTCCAGCTTCCAGCATCATATCAATCAGACCAATTGAATACTCGTGGTTCTCCGCAGATTGTTCATTCGCCCAGCGCACGGCAGAGTGAAGTGGGGTGTCACCCTCCCTCTTGTTGATGGGGTCGCATTCGAATCCTTCTTGGTCGAGGAGCATATCGATGACCTCGTCTGAAGTAGAATTAGTAAATTGATAGCTTTATTTAATCTCCAATGGTAGCCTCTTGAAGATATAATAGGGTCGTGCTTACAATGCCCGTTAGAAGCAGCCTCGTGGTATGCATAGTTGCCCAAGACGCTCCTCGATTCGTTCAGCAGTTTGGCGGCGGCTTCCGGCGATGAGCACTCCTCGATAACTGAGCTTAGAAGCTCGGTGTTGTTCCTCCTGCACGCTTCGATGATAAGCTCCGACGGCTTCGCACCCTATAAATTGGTCAGCTTCAAGTTCAGAGTAGAAACAACTTGGTGAATGAAAATGTGGCCTATGAGCGCCAACGAAATCACAACCCCATGATCTCCTTACCTCATGCTCCTGATCCTGCTCCGGGCCATTTCTGAGATCAGCCATCTGGGCGTTTAATCGGCCTCCAGTTATGGCGTCAGCTACTTTCGGATACCACCAGGACCCCGCAGATCCGTTTCGTCAGGAAGAACGAGAGACGATCGCAGTCGAGGTGTAGAATATGTAACTGGTGTTGGTGTGTATAGGCTTGAAGTATTGCTGTATGCCTAATTATTTCTCAGGTATGGCAAACAGAGGGGAGATAGAAGTGTTTATCGCAGGGGTACCCTTAATATGCTTCGCCCAACACATCCGCGTCTCACTCAGCCTCACAGACCCCAGCCGGCTCGGATTAACCGTTCGGAAGCGGGGAATAATTTCTAGAGACTTTGGGTCACCATCCACTTCGAACTCGATCGCATTGAGATAGCAGATCAACCCTGTTCCGTTATTTCGCTGTACTAGCTTCTGTTGGACACAGTACAGCTTGAGCAATGCTGCTATGTATGTAACATCAAGTCTACTATTTGTAACGACTGCTAACGACCACAGTTTGCCCCAACTGCTGCAATGTTCTCACAGTCTCGCCAGTTCCGCCCTTAGCTGGCAACTCGGACGACGATCCATCTGCTGCCGCCGTAGGCCAAAACCGACTCGAGTGCAGGACATGCCCATACCAGTACCTCCTCACGAAGCGATACTTTGAGCGCAAGACCTTCACCCGCGCCGAGCGCGAGGATGTGTTCGGTGGGCCAGGCGCGTGGGACGATGCACAGAAGGCCGAAGTACAGTGTCCTAGGGAAGGCTGCGATTCCAACGAAGCTGCTTTCTTCCAGGTCCAGATCAGAAGTGCGGACGAGCCTATGACGAGCTTTTACAAGGTATGTTAAGGACATGGCTATCTATATTGGGGTACGGATGCTAACGCGTTGGACACAGTGCATGACCTGCAATAACAGATGGAGAGAGAATTAAAATATCGATATCAACATCGATACACGATACTTACACTTGGTACACGATAACTGAAGCGGCGTCAAGACGTCAAGGATGGCAGAGATACCCTCAGAGCATAAGGAGTTGGGAAGCCGTTCTGAATTAGCAAGGCGTCGATTGGAATTAATTGAACACAACACCGGGATGGCATGGCTTGATATTCTGCCCAGAGTATTTGAGAGTTCATATCAACAGTCGGTGAGAGTTGGTGCCAATAAGTCGTAAATTTCTTGGGGGCATGGCGGTGACACCCCAAGAAAAAACCAAAGCCGAATAGCAAGCCACGTCATATCCGGCGCTCCCGTGACATAGGCAAATTCTCGGCAACCAAATCGACAACAAATTGCAATAGCAACTACATGTCCAGTAGATAGATGAGAGTCATCATAAATGAATATAAACGTTAAATCTGATCATGCGAGCGTTATTTATTTTGCGCTCGGATTTCATGTACCACATACATGCATGCGCGGGGCAGCACCCCGCCAATAGCCGCCCCAGACAATTCGCGGCAAACGAGTTTTAGCGCGTAGCTTAGAGAAAAGTTCGTCTCCATATAAATTCGGGCAATATTCCGAAAACCCTCCCCTTTTGCCCCCCCCAAAAATGTATTCAAACGCTCCTCTGCAAGCTTCCACTGAGCTTGTGCTTAACCTACACCAACACCAGGTTGCAGTTGGGTGAAGCAAGTTATCCCTCTGGATAATCCGTGATACCCTTTTTCAACCTACAATTTCGATTGAAGTTAGTGCTCGACACTTTTGAGTGCCGACATCGCTCACTCACCCCACTACACTCAATTTCGTTGCGCTCTTTCGCAACTTCTAGGAGCACACGACCTCGGATATCTTGCGTACGGCACCTCAGGTCGTACTATTTTTGAAGGTATGTAGCCATCTGTTGTGCATTCTGCACATCAAAATATGTTTTGAGCGATTTCCGTCATGATGATTTTATTTGAAAAAAAGATGTTAGACTTCTTAGCTATTCTGCTGATAAACCAAATATTCCTGAACCTCCATACCAACTCCTCTGTTCTGTTATACTTTGCAATGTTCAAGCAGTTTTGCTAACAGAGTGATAGATTCCTCTTCGCACAATTGATCCGTCACCATGTGTGGAATTTTGGGATTGATCCTTGGCGACATTGAAGATCCGTCTTCCACAACAGCGGCGGCCGACCTTCACGATGCCCTGTACTATCTCCAACATAGAGGACAAGATGCTTGCGGCATAGCAACCTGCGCATCCGGTGGACGCATCTACCAGTGCAAGGGAAATGGCATGGCCGCCAAGGTCTTCCATGACGGCTCCCGCGTCCAAGATCTCCCGGGTTTCATGGGACTCGGACATCTGCGATACCCAACGGCTGGCAGCAGCGCCAGCGCGGAAGCACAGCCATTCTACGTCAACAGCCCTTACGGTATTACGCTCGCACACAACGGAAACCTCATCAATGCCGAGGATCTCCGAAAGTTCTTGGATATCGAGGCTCACCGTCACATCAACACCGAGAGTGACAGCGAGTTGATGCTTAACATCTTCGCCAACGAGCTCAACGAGACTGGAAAGGCTCGTGTCAACGAGGAAGATATTTTCTCGGCGTTGACGAGGATGTACAAGAGGTGCGTCGGAGGATGGGCCTGCACTGCCATGTTGGCTGGCTTTGGAATCCTCGGGTTCCGTGATCCTTACGGCATTCGCCCGCTTGTCCTTGGGTCCAGGTCTTCTGGCACTCTAAAGGGAGCTACCGATTACATGATGGCATCTGAGTCTGTCGCTCTTCGCCAGTTGGGATTCACCAACATCGTTGACATTCTTCCCGGCCAGGCCGTTATCCTGAGAAAGGGTTCTGAGCCAGTGTTCCGCCAGGTAGTACCGCAACTTGCTTACTCCCCCGACATCTTTGAGTTTGTCTACTTTGCTCGCCCAGATACTATTATCGATGGTATCAGCGTTCAAAGGAGTCGGGTCAACATGGGTTACAAGCTTGCCGATACCATCGTCAAGACACTCGGCGCGGAGGCTATCAAAGATATCGACGTCGTCATTCCAATTCCGGAAACTTCGAATACCGCTGCGGCTGCTCTTGCTGAGAAGCTCAAGTTGCCGTATTCCCAAGGTTTCGTCAAGAACAGATACGTGTTCCGCACCTTCATCATGCCTGGCCAGGGCAACCGCCAGAAGAGCGTTCGGAGGAAACTCAGCGCTATGGAGTCCGAGTTCCGTGGACGCAACGTCCTGCTCGTTGATGACAGTATAGTCCGCGGTACCACATCTCGGGAGATTGTCAGCATGGCAAGGGAAGCTGGTGCGCGCAAAGTCATCTTCGCAAGTTGTTCGCCTCCTATCACCCATGCCCACATCTACGGTATCGACTTGGCTTCTCCATTGGAGCTTATCGCCCACAACCGCGACAGGCACGCCATCGCCAAGCACATCGGCGCCGAGGAGGTCATCTTCCAGACACTAGACGACCTGACGGCTTCGTGTGCAGAGTTATCTCCCCGCGATCCTGCTACTCAAGAATTTGAAGTCGGTGTGTTCTGTGGTAAATACGCAACCCCGGTTACGGATGGCTACTTTGAGCATCTTGAGAAGCTTCGCGGTGAGAGCCGTAAGATGAAGGTGCTTGAGGCTGCGAAGGATAATGTCTTGAACGGCATCGCTGATGAGGAGGACATCAACGTGATCACCCAGGGGATCGCTGTGGCATCAAAGAGTGAAGTTATCCCGGATGCGCCTGATACCAGCAATGGTGCCGTACATGATTATGAGGAGGCTGGCCATGCTCGCCGTAAGAAGGAGAGAGAAGATACTGCTGGTGGTACTGCCACACCTGTGAGGGATCGTGTTGATATCAGGTATGAATCTCGCACTTCCTTTTATAAATCCCAATCCTAACAACCTGCAGTCTACATAATTTCGCCAATGAGCCTAGATCTGGTTATGAATAAACGACGCAATTTTGGGTACGGAGCATATGGACTTGTTCTGTTTTGATGATAGATGGTGGAAAGAAGGAAGGCGTTTATGGTTGGACTCATATAGACTCGGTCTCGCTATTCGAGTGAAGATGCCGCTATAGCCATATCTTGTAGACGCCTCTATACAATTTGATATCCGTTTCGATATGAATTTCATCTAGTAACATGAGTGCTGTTGCCTGAGGTATTGATTGAATATTCACTTCACCCAAGGGTTGCCATGGTGTTGGCAACTTTTGGCGCTAAACTTTATCTGCGTAACAACCACCAATTCATCGTCCTACATCTATTCACAACTGTGAGTTGGTCCTCTCAACGACATACACACTCACGCACATTTCCAACCGCTCGTGATGTCAACCAACGGCCCGAGGAAGCGAAAGGTCGATGCTGCCAATGGAGCAACTGTCAACGGCGAAGTCGTCAATGGAGGATGGGATGAGCTGCCCCACAACCTGGGCACTGTCGCTGCGGATGTCGAAGACCAGAAACCAAAAAGGCCTCGAGCCCGAAGAGTAATTAAGGAGGTTGTTGACACGTCCCAAGCTGTACAAGTCCAGGCGGACAAACTCATTGAAGGAAATGAAATTCTTAAGACGGCCAAAAATCCAAAGAAGCATAAATATGGACTTACCCCTGGAGTAACTCCGTATCCAGATTTCCTAATGCCCACTCCTGAAGCATGCCTGGAAGTGAAAAATCTTCTTTCTGGGTTACACGGTGTCGTTGAACAGCCAAAGGCAGTCCCACCCCCTTCTCTCGAGGTGACTGGCTGTGGAGAGGTTCCATCTGTCCTTGATGCACTCATTCGGACGCGCCTCAGTGCAGCAACAACTAGCACAAACTCAGCATATGCATTTGCGGGTCTAGTTTCCAAGTTTGGAATCCTCAAGGAGGGAATCGGAAAAGGCAGCGTAAACTGGAACAAGGTTCGCGAAGCCGACGTCAAGGAGGTAGAGGCTGCCATCAAGCGGGGTGGTCTAGGAAAGTCGAAGAGCATAGACATCAAAAAGATTCTCGACATGGTTCATGACGAAAATATGGCCCGTCGTGAAGCGTTCCTCAAAGAAAGGGAGAGCGGCGTAAAATCTGATGTTGTCGGTGGTGAAAGCTTTAAGCAGGGACAGAAAGACATGGAGATCGCGGTCGCAGACAAAGAAATTCTTTCACTGCAGTATATGCACGGCCTGACCCCAGATGAGGCAATGGAAGAGTTCATCAAGTACCCTGGAATAGGAGTTAAGACAGCCTCCTGTGTCATACTTTTCTGTCTCCGACGTCCAAGCTTTGCAGTCGATACTCATATATTCCGGCTCTGCAGATGGCTGAAATGGATCCCCGAAAAGGCCACTAGAGACTCAGCTTTCAGTCACTGTGAGGTTCGCGTTCCCAATGAGTACAAATACAGCCTTCACCGGCTCTTTATTCGACACGGTAAAACTTGCGGCCGCTGCAGAGCCTCGACTTCGGAGACGAGCGAAGCTTGGAAGGAAACGGTTTGCCCTATTGACCACCTTGTTGAGAGGACTGGCTTGCGGAAGATTCTCAAACCTACGGGTAAGATGAAGAAGAAGAAGAACGCGAGCGAGGAGGACATTGATTCTGAGTTGAGCGAGCTTGACGGGGAGATATTTGGTGGTTATACATGGAATGGGACCGAGGTAACTCCAGAGGTGGAAGAAGAAAAGTAATGGTTCAGATCATATTATACGTTATGGCTACTTTGGCTCAGCCTGGGCATATATACATGGAGTGTTGCTTTACGGATGACGGAGTTGGCGGATACTGGCCTGGGCATATATATATAGCTCTTTGCTATCGGACGCTGATGGTGTTTGGAGTTTGGCTCAATGTTTCTCAACACCTTTGGCACGTTGTTGATACATTATTATAACTGCGTTGCATTATCGCCTCCTCGATCCATCGAGGGTATGGTTGTCTCTATTGAGTTAGCATAATATAGCTTTTTATGCCAACACTGCAGTAATGTCTATTTGTGAGCTGTTTGTGATTTATTGATGCTGGTATCAAAATGATAATAGGATAACCAAAACAACCGAGGCAAAAATATACAATTATCATTGACTTCTAGTTACAGGAGAGTCTACCCAGGAATTATACTTCAAATATAACGCTAGCTCATGCGCCATACTCTAGATTCGCATCGCTCATCGTGATTTACTTAAGACCTCCATAATAAAAACGTGGTCTCGATTCATCCGGCTGGTTAATATCCCCAGCCTGAAGGCTACCCGGAGCGGAGAAAATATTTACCCGCCCATCCCTTTTTATTTACCCAGAAGGCACATCGACCCTGACAGATGCACGAGGGATTCTCAGATTGGTCTGGAACAACTATAAAGTTCCAATTACTGTTTACTCTCGTCGCTCCTCAACCCCGATATGTCAAAGCCATAGCGATCTCTTAATCGACATATCAGGAGACGCGCGCAACGCGAATATGGCTTCACTCATGAGCAATGTGGGGGTTCAAAACCTTATTGACCGTATGATTGATGGGTCGCTGTGGGAGAATGAATTGTGAGTATTTTGGTTTCCGGGATCAAACCAACCCTATAATCTGCAGATGCTAATACATTTGCTGTTTTTAGAGAAACAATGCTTCTTAAATTCGCGGCAACTGGACTATGCTTCACGATGCTATGCCTTTTCGGTGCTGTCAAATTCACGAAATGGTATACCTCCGAACCTGTTATTCCATACACAGTATCGCCTCCGCAGAAATCGACCAACCCACCCCCGAACTGGGGCGAGCCTTCGATTAAGCTTTCGGGCTCCTCAGCCATACACTGTTATGCCCCGGCGACGGGTGAGTTTCTGGGCCTCGTTAACCCCTCGACGGCCGCTGGCATCGATAGGTCTATTCAACAAGCCCAGGTTGCACAGGAGAAATGGGCGCGGACGACATTCTCTGAGCGCCGACAAGTGCTTCGCACGCTGCTGGCATTTATTCTGAAGAACCAAGAGGAGATCTTGCGAATTGCCTGCCTCGACTCGGGAAAGACTATGATCGACGCCACCCTTGGAGAGACACTGACTACGGTCGAGAAGCTCCGCTGGACTATCCTACATGGCGAGAAGGCCTTAAAACCGGAGAGACGTCCTACGAACCTGCTCATGATGTACAAGGAGAACAAAGTTTACTATGAGCCCCTTGGAGTCGTTGCCGCATTGGTGTCATGGAACTACCCCTTCCACAACCTGATGGGACCAATCATCTCTGCCATTTTCGCAGGTAACGGAATTGTCGTCAAGTCATCGGAGAGCACGGCATGGAGTGCCAATTACTTCACTGTCATTGCACGAGGCGCACTGTCTGTGTGCGGACATGACCCGAATTTGGTCCAGACCGTCGTTTGCTGGCCACAAGTTGCCAACCACCTCACCTGCCACCCGGACATCGCGCACATTACCTTCATTGGAAGTCGCCCGGTCGCCCATCACGTCGCTGCTAGCGCGGCAAAGGCCCTGATTCCCGTGGTCGTTGAGCTTGGTGGCAAGGATGCTGCTATCGTTCTTGATTCCGCTGCCCCCGATATCCCACGGATCATTGAAATCCTTATGCGCGGTGTTTTCCAATCGTCTGGACAGAACTGTGTTGGTATTGAGCGTATTATTGCCGGCAATGCTGTCTATGACAAACTGATTACACTCTTGGAAACACGCATTCGCAAGATCCGCTTAGGCTCTGATCTTGACTCTGCACCTACTGAGAATGTCGATATGGGAGCGATGATTTCGCCAGCTTCATTCTCACGCCTTGAGGCTCTGGTTAAGTCCGCTGTTGCGGATGGTGCACGTCTCATTGTCGGTGGCAGCCGTTACAACCACCCAGTGTATAAACACGGCAGCTACTTCCAGCCAACCCTTCTCGTCGACGTGACCGCCTCTATGGAAATCGCAAAGGAAGAATGCTTCGGCCCGATCTGCGTCGTGATGCGCGCCGCATCTGCAGCAGAAGCTGTTGAAATCGCTAACTCTCCCAACTTCGGCCTCGGTGCCTCCGTCTTCGGCGCCAACGGATACGAGATCAACGAAGTTGCGCGCGCAGTGAGGAGCGGAATGGTGGCCGTCAACGACTTTGGAGCATACTACGCTGTCCAGTTGCCATTTGGCGGAGTTGGAGGAAGCGGCTACGGCCGATTTGCAGGCGAGGAGGGCCTGAGGGGAATGTGTAACATTAAGGGAATATGTCGGGATCGCTGGAGCTGGATGGGAGTCAAGACGGCTATTCCGGCTCCCCTCAGATACCCCATTCCCAGCACGAGGACGGGACGCAAGCTAGTAACGGCCATTGTGGACCTGGGGTATCAACCTGGGGCGTGGGCCAAGGTCAAGGCTCTGGGAAGGCTGATCCGCAATTCATAATGCTTAAATAGATGTAAACTTATTCTGCTATCCAATTACATAATTATAATCATGTTGGAGTAAAGAGTGGTACACTTTGTTCGTTCGTTCGGTCAACCTATGTTACTATAAACAGCTATCTTCTATCCTATATACTTTGTCATGTCGTTCTCTACAATCTCGCTTTCCCGGAATTCAAATTCTCCCAATGGCTTTCGGTGAATGGCTGGTATGTTTTCCCGCCTGCCTCGGCCCAAACGATCTCATCTCCCTTGTAGACCTTTGCTGGGTCGACGCCCTCTTCCCGTAGAGGAACCTTATTCTGCTTGTTGTTGTGGATGGGGGTCATGTTCTCGACGATTCGGAGGAAGATTGGCACGGCGTATTTGGGGAGGCGGGTTCGGGTGTGTCTGTGAAATGGTCAGAAAATGGATACCGTTAGATTCTCATATAAGGGGGGTATTACTGGAGCAATGCTGCGTAATCAAAGCTACCCCGCACAGCAGGATCAATGTAGATGGCTGCACATCCGGCTAGAATAATGTTAGCTTTGAGAGCTAGAATGGGCCTTTAATATGACTTACCACGACCATCATGGTTTGGCAGTTGAACACCATAGACGTTCGCCTCCACAACACCCGGAAAGCTGCCGATCACCTCGGATACCTCCGCAGTGCTGACATTCTCTCCCTTCCATCTGAACGTATCGCCCAGACGGTCCAGGAAGAACCACCGTCCGTCGTCAGTCCGCCTCAGCGCGTCTCCAGAGCGGTACCACAAGTCGCCCTTCTGGAAGACGTCACGAATGAACTTCTTCTCCGTGGCACCAGGGTTGTTGTGGTAGCCCTGGAATGCCTTCTCGCTGGGCACGGCCACGAGCATCTCTCCGCCGACATCGTATGGTTCCCTGATGGCGAATCCGGTCTTAGGATCGCGGAGGAGGTCTCCAGTACCTGGGTCACTACGAACTGGGACGAATGTGTTTTGAAGTAGACGGCGGCGGAGAATGCCATGGTGTCCAACGGATGTCGCGAGGTAATCACCTCTGCAGTAGTTAACGAGGGCAAAGACTCCCTCCGTCGAGTTGAAAAACTCAATAATCTCCGTGATGCCAAAGCGGTCGCGAAACTTGATCCAGACATCAGGACGGAGGCCGTTTCCGTTCATTCCTCGGACTTCGTTCTGGAGGTCAAGTGGCGATGGGGGTGCGGCCAGGAGGTATCGTGCGGTTTCTCCGACGTAGGTGATCCATGTTGCACGAGAGTCGCGCACCTCAGTCCAGAACTGGCTTGTGCTGAATTTCTTGCCAACGCAGAGCGTCATCCCAGTACAAAGTGCGTTGAGAGCTGCGCAGCCGCCAGTACCGTGGTAGAATGGCATACAGTCGTACCAACGGTCTGAATCCACAGTTCGTGCTGTCCCGGCTTTGCGCTGAAAAGATGTTAGCCTGAGCACACAACGATGATTGAGATGGCTTACTTGTGAGCAAACCAAGTGCATTCGGTCTGTGTTGAATTGGCAACCTTTGGGCAATCCGGTGGTACCGCTTTCCAAGTGTTAGCTGGGCCAATAATCTTGCAAGTGTGGACTTACCTTGTGTATAATAAGCACATTGGATCACTACCTTTCACATTGTCACGTAGTTCGTTTCCTGGTCTTTGCGCCGGCAGCGTAACAACGACGCTCTTTGCATCCTCTAGATTCACACATCTCATGTTCAGCTGTCCCTCGATCACCGACTTGGATTCGTTGATTCTCGCTTGGAGGGCCTCATCGGCGTCAACCAGAAGTATAGTTGCACCGCTGATCTTGAGGCAATGCACAAGTGCCTCACCTGCGAGGTTGTAGTTGATTAGGGCAGGCGCAGACCCAATAGACCACAGGGCAAGCCAGATTAGCATGAAGTCGGGGGAATTCTGAAGGTAGACTCCAACGAGGTCCTTGGGCTTAACGCCCTCGGCCAGAAACCACTGGGCGTACTGGTGGACGCGATCGTAGGCCTGGGTCCAGGTGTAGCAACCTTCGCGGGACCATATGCACTCGTTATTCCCCCTTCGCAGCGCGCTTTCCTCCCAGAGGTAATAGAGACTGGCCTGCTTTCTCGCCACTAGGTATTGTCAGATATGAAGTTTTTGATGGCAAACAGTAAATACCGGCTTCTTCCCAAATCTGCCCGCCACGTTTAAAGCCCTTCAACGCTTTTATATCAGCCGCAATTCCAGTTTTGGCATCGATGTACATGGCGGCGGCAGTGGTGCCAGCAACCACTGCGGCTGCTGCGGCTGTTCCATATTGAAGTTAGCATCGCGGAAATTTCATACACAATAGCATTCTAAAAAAGCTTGATTCATTCTGTCCAGATACCATCAGATATCATCAAATCCCACATATTTATCATCAACGGCTCCAGACCTTGGAACTCCGCTGATAATGTTATGTTGGTGATTTGGACAAGAATGCCTGTGGTGGGGTGCGGCAGTTGGGGCAAACGTGGGGAAGTGTGGGGAAGCGTACCGAAAGCCATGTCAGCAAAGTACGAGTCTTATTTCGAGGTGAATACGAAGAGAGTAGTATATAGCGATATAGAATGTACAGAACTGTAAGGACAAATTCGAAATATTAACAAGCAGTATGAAGGGCCAGTTTGAAATGGCCATCCATCTCTCTTTATTCATCCAAACGCGATCCTGGTGTGTACTAACCTACAGAGAGACTAAAGCGCCGAGGTCCATCACTGACGCTGCAATAACCACGGCTAATAGGCAGCTAACCCCGCATAACATACACCTTGTCAGTGTTTTTGACCTTTGATCGTAGCTATATGTATGTTATGCACTCTAATAATCCATGAATAATACATCATCACAGGCTCAGTGCTCGGCAATTTTTGATCCGTAAGCCCGTTTATTTATTAGTTATTCGCTATATCGTTACTTTCGTCAACGCCCCTATGTCAGGAGCGCTAGCTAGAATACAAGGAGCCAGAACGAATGCGTACATTCACTCCAACTTTTCCATCCCAACGCCAGGCCATTTCCCCCCTTTCTCCACAAAGCCAATCCATATCTCACCGTCTCAAATCTAATTTCCCCGCGGGGGTTTAAGGTCGGCTCAGTGCCCACATAAAAACGAACTGGACGATATAAGAGTATAGGAAGAGGAACTGGGTTCGGCGGTTCTTCTGTGACCGTGCAACCGTATGCATGGCCCCTCTGGAATTGTCCGTTGAGTTCTCTGGAAGGAGAACGTATTTGAGAGAGCGTAGCTAATTTTTGGTTAGAGAGTGCAATTCATAGGTCGGTTCATGACTTACCAAGAAGAACGCGTTTGCTAGGAATGTGTATCCGAATATCGTCCACCCCGCCCATCCCCCGGTACCTTGGCCTCTGTTTATTATTTCGCTGAGGACGAGTGTGACAATGATGCCAACAAATTTATATCCTGAATAGGCCACTAAATCAAGCAATTGTGAGTCGTTTGATATCGAAAGCAGATAGCTTCCTAGCTTGAGACCCAGGATCTCCAAGAATACAATTGCGAAGGCGGCCGACGCTGTGTAACCAAGTAGTTCAGGTTGGAACGCACCACGCAGGCCGGCGAGGAGAGTAGACAACAGAATGTATGTGACAAAAGCCATGACTGTCATAATGTCAACGAGAGCACTGGCTGGGGGCGCAATAGCTTCCTCTTACCTGGAATGTACATATCCGGGCTGTTTAGATCTTCTCTTGGAGGCAAAAACCAGCCCTCTTGTCCATTCGGTCCAATTGTTTGCTTTCGCGACCATGGCTTGTGCCTCCAAGGGAAGAGCACCAGGAACAATTTATTGACAACGTAAGAGTTCGAGACATCGAAGTAATGCTTGAGAGCCGAGACATTAATGTAGCGATTAAACTACTGCGCGTTAGCTTCTGTAGGAATAACTTTGTTTATACTCTTACATTTTGCTCGACGTATTCCTGTCCATGTTTCAACGCTGTTTGGCCAACTTGGAATCCCATCTGAGCTGTCTGGTCATTCATAAATCCTCCATATGCGCCAAACGCATGACTAGGAGCTGCTGCTCCAGGTCCAGCCTGCTGTTGATAGGGATTGCCATATCCTGACTGCTGCTGGGGGACTGGCGGGGGAGGGGAACGGAGCTGAGGTACGGTCGAAACATGCTGCGGGACTGGATGATGTAAAGGCGGCGAGTTTGGAGGGGGTTGCCCATATGTAGGTCGCTGCATCGTGAAGCTTTATAGAGTATATCGGAATTGTTGTTTCAAGTAGATATCTCAAAAGTCAATAATCGCCGCCTAGAGCTGTTTAGATGGTGGGAGTAGCTTACCTCTTGAAATGTGTCCGTGGATAGTAAAGGAGAGCTTTACCTGATTCGGCGAATTTTCTGCCACCGCCTTCCCTCATACATCTTCAGTATAGATGATAAGTGTCACTGATGGAAGGGATAAGAACATCTTGAATAGAGCGCCGAATTCACCATGTTGGATACTTTTGAGATTGTCACAACTTCCGGTGTTGTGTTGTGGTCAAGGACATACACTCCGACCAGCCCAGCTATTATCAACGGCCTCATCAAGAATGTCTTCATCGAGGAGCGCACACGCGCCGGTGGCGCTGGTGCTTCAGACGACATTTCTGCTGCCAATAACCCCCCTTACAAGCACGACCAGCATACTCTAAAATGGACGACAGTGAAGGAGTTAAATTTGATCTTTGTTGTGAGTAAATTGAAAACAGTCATATATACATGTTCTAATTGCGCATGTAGGCTGTGTACAGATCACTCCTCCACCTTTCCTGGATCGACAAACTCGTGGACAATATAAAGATTCTATTTGTCGACCTCTATGGCGACCAACTTAGAAAGCCGCATACCACTGGTGTTGAGGTCCATTTTGACAAATACTTCGACCAGCAAATTCGAGAACTGGAAGCTACTGTGGCAACTCACGACTTATCAGTACCGTCGACCCCGCCTCGTTTCGACCAGAAACTGGCTCCGGGAGACGATGAGCCACCCCCCATTCCCGGCCTTCTATCACGAGGTATGCCGCCTGTTACAACTTGACTATAACTCCAAGAAAGCTAATTTTTGCATAGGTCAATCGAGACAAACCAACTTGACATCCAGCGAATCCACACCCATTGCCACTCCAGACACCTCGAGGCCTTCGACTCCATCCAGCCACATCCTAACAACGAAAGGTGGACCAGGAGGGAAAATATCCAGACGGGCACGGAAGACAAATCTTGTCTCATCCGGAGACGAAGCTTCGCGAAAAGCCAAGGGAGGAAAGGCTCCCACTACCAAAAAGGGCCGTCGCTGGGACGCAGACGGTAATGCTGATGAGGATGATGACACCCAGTTGGATTATTCTATTCCGTCAATTGATGTCACAAGCGATGGGGAGGTGGAAGGCGGCAATTTGCCCGGGGCAATGGAGGCTGTTGATCAGGAATCGTGGGGCTCGCGGACAGGCAAGGGCCAGTTTGTGTTGAAAGATCTTGACGATCAAGTTCATGCTATATTGTCCTCTGCCGACTCAAAGAAGGCCGCCGCAGCCACTGCGCCAGCTGGAATCGTTGGCTCCAGTTTGTCAGCTATCGGGGGGTTGTTCAGGAATGTCGTTGGTGGCAAGGTGTTGTCGAAAGCAGACCTTGACAAGGCTATGAAGGGAATGGAAGACCATCTCCTGAAGAAGAATGTTGCTCGCGAAGCCGCGATGCGGTTGTGCGAGGGTGTGGAGAGAGAGTTAATCGGGACCAAGACTGGGAACTTTGAGAGCACGGAGGCGAGGATTCGCGCCGCAATGGAAGTCTCCCTGCAAAAGATCCTAACCCCCTCAACATCCCTCGATCTCCTCCGCGAAATCGACGACGTAACATCACCCTCGACCGTCTCGCTCAAGAAAGCTCGCCCCTATGTCATCTCCATTGTCGGCGTCAACGGCGTCGGGAAATCCACCAACCTCTCCAAAATCTGCTTCTTCCTCCTGCAAAACAAGTACAAAGTCCTCGTCGTCGCCTGCGATACCTTCCGTTCCGGCGCCGTGGAGCAGCTGGCCGTCCATGTGCGCAACTTGAAGGAGTTGAGCGCGAGAGAGGGGGGACAGGTCGAGCTCTACCAGAAGGGGTATGGTAAGGATGCTGCGAGTGTTGCGAAGGATGCGATTACGTTTGCGGCGCAGGAGAAGTTCGATGTGGTTCTGATTGATACTGCTGGACGGCGCCATAATGACCAGGTGAGTTGAGTTGTCAAGGAGGTGCGTGTGAATGTTGCTAATATGTGTAGCGTTTGATGTCCTCCTTGGAGAAGTTTGCAAAGTTTGCGAACCCTGATAAACTCCTGATGGTTGGTGAGGCACTGGTGGGCACTGATTCCGTTGCTCAAGCAAGGAACTTCAATGCTGCATTTGGTGCTACTCGCAGGCTGGATGGGTTTATTATATCGAAGTGCGACACCGTTGGCGATATGGTAAGCTCTCTCCCTGAAGCTATATATGCCTCATGACTAATATATCCTCCTAGATTGGAACTCTCGTTTCCATGGTACACGCATCGGGAACACCCGTTCTCTTCGTGGGTATGTGACAACTCGCCCTTCTGTTAACGTGAGACAATATGCTAATTTATTCACAGGTGTTGGGCAGCACTACTCTGACATTAGGAGTCTGAACGTCAAATGGGCAGTCGACAAGCTCTTGAGCCCAGTCTGATGCGCAATGTAATATAGGAAACTATCTTCACGTCGTGCAGGTGGATGCTTGCAATGATATATGTATTATCCAACCAGTTCATTGACAGTGTACTTGCAGTGATATTTTCCTTTCTATACAGACCACGAGATAGTCCTGGTGATACTCGAGGCTCCTAAGTCTTCCAACTATGCTTGTACATATGCCTAGTGGCATCCTAGAACCATAGGGTAGTACATAAAGCCGAACAGTCCCATCCTACACTTGCACCGGAAAACCGACCAGGCAACGTGACTGTGGCTCTCTAGACCTCCTGAACAACCCACCCCCATCGGCCAGGCCGCTACCTCAGACTGGAGCGCTGGGCGTCAGTGCAGGTTTCTCATGCCTCCTATCCCACAAACAGAGAACTGACTCTACTTGGCCCCTCAACCCTTCAACACATTCTTCCACTCCACCCATCTCTTCTCCGCCAGCTTTATCAAACTCCCCATCTGCTCCCTCCCTAGCACCGCCCCTCCAACCTTCTCAACCCCAATCAACCTCGTCTCCCCACTAGCACAATCCAACAACACCGTAACAGTCTCCTCACACAACCCCTCCTCAAACATATCCGGATCAACCAACACCCAGAACTCCCCCCTTTTCCCCTGCCCCTCCTTCGCCCTGAAAACCGCAAACCCAACCGCAACAGGCAACCCCCTCAACTCCAACCTCTTCGCCTCGCTCACTTCATCCGAACACACCACAGCCTGCCGATCCTCCGCCCATCTCGCAGCGGGTAAATACACATCCTGCAACGCCCCCAGCACCGCCGCCCACGCAGCCTCAAACGCATTCCCATCCAGCGAGATGAAGAGGATATCAATATACAGCACCCAAAACGCCTTAACCTCGCTCCCCTCCTCCTTCTCTCCCTCCTCATCCTCCTCCTCCTCCCCATCCACAACCGGTCCCCAGATCTTCAGACACTCATCCCCCACCAACGCACTAGCATGTAACAGCGCATACACGCGCGCTACCAGCTCCTGCGCCATCTTACTCGGTGGCATCCCCGGCAAAAACTCCGGCGCGCACCCCGTCGCAAGCTCAATATTCGGGACGAGCAAATCCAGTTCCTGCGCTGTGCTCTTCATGCCCCCCTTATGGCGCGTCCCGGACGTAGTAACAGTAGCAGGAGCAGCACCGCCAGCGAGGCGCGTCTCAGAGTACCCCACAGCATCAGCCAACACCACCTCGCCGCGGACGCCGCAGACGGCAGTCGTGTCGCCTATGCGGATCACGGCGCTGCCGTTGGCGTGGGTGAGGGAGCCTTTGTGGGTGTGCGGGGGGCGCGGGGAGGTGGGGAGGCGGGCGTTGGCGCGGGTGGGGGAGGGGGTGTTGAGGTGCGCGAGGAGGTAGGAGTGAGGGGCGAGTTTTGCGAAGGTTGGGCGGGGGAAGGTGAGGGTTTGGGGGGCAGTGGTGGTCATGGTTGGTGATGAGGGTGGTTGGTGCGCGCGGAGGCGGATTGGGATGGTTGTGAGGGTGTCTCAGGGGAATTGGCTAGACAGGATTGAGTGGCTGGTGTTGGATTGTTTGGGTGGGTGGTCTTGGGTTCAGCGCAGGCGTTTGCGTGGTGAAGTTGTGGTTTTGAGGTTGTTGATGCGGCGTGGATTATTTTCGATTGGCGATAACGATATTTCTTATCGCGGGCACGTGAATTGGAATCGTGGGGTTCAGTTATCACAACACATTTAGGAGAACACAGCACCATCGCATCAAACCCAAATAAAGGCTAAATTTTTCATACGAGGAATAATTGATGTGGTTAAGGTATCTAATACTACTTAACCCAACTATCCACAGAATGAACCCAATATCTCCTTCATCACAGCTAAAAACGGCTTTTGGTTACCACTCATACGAAGGCTACTTACATGCCTTCCCACCCCTAACAACAACTTTACTTACCCCTAGATAAACCCTCACAAACCACACCAACACAACTCCCTGCCCAACATCAGGCCAAGCATGCGTCTTATTTTACATTCTAGACCCCTCCCATCTCATCTCCGCACGCACGAACCCCTCATCCCTACCTCGTGGCTCCATCATTAGGATCGTGTACCAGGCCGGCCGGGGTCACCGGGCGGACGGGCCGAGTGAGTCGGTTCTTGGTTGGGTGCTTGGCTGGGCTGGGCTGGGTGGGTGGTATGGTGCTTTATGTTTGGGGGCGGAGGCTTGTTGGAAGGAAGGAATGGGGGCGCCTGGTGCAGTGTAAACCACACACGGAAAGCCAAGATGGTGTACCTGGAAATTTGACGTCGCATGGCAATTCCGCGGCAAGAAGACGGTTTACGGTATGGAGATAGATGCGTTGAAGGGATTGGACTACGGCGATTCACAAAAGTCACCAAAATGGGCAGGAAATAGACAATCACAGCAAGGAGAAAAATCAAGGTAGGAGAACACATTTCCAATTAAAACTTCCTAAGTAAAGTCGCACTCATCCAAAGGAATGTATCTCTCCGACTATCTATCTAAACAACACACTACACCAAGAAAGCGGCTGGCGCAAAAAGCAATCAGCACGCTCAAAGAATGGCTGCAAGGCCCGTCTTCTCGACGTTGTCCACGTGGATAACGTTGGAGTTGACATCGAGCTCGAGCTTCTTGCGCTCGGTGGAGGCCTTGCGGGGGTTCTTGGAGTGGAAGATGGCGTCGAGTTCCTCGAGCTAAGAAAGGGTGTGTTAGTTTGTGGTATAGTAAGGGGAGGGGTGAAGATAAACATACTGTGCGGTTCTTGGTCTCGGGAACGAAGTACCAGATGAGACCAGCCTGGACGGCACACCACACCAAGAAGACGATGTAGGTCTTCCAGGCGATGTTGACGAGGGAGACGGAGACACCAAACTGGTTGGCGAGGAGGCCGATGGATGTGAACAAGTTGGAGAAGGCCATTCCCTTGGCGCGCATCTCGAAGGAGAGGACCTCGACGGGGTAGAGAGCCTGCATTGGGGTCCAGCCGAAGGAGTAGCAGATCTGGAAGATGTAGACCCAGGCGAGGACGGCCTTGGAGACAGGGCTGGGGATGCTGGCGAGATACTCCGGGGTACTGTTCTCTTGGACATTGGCGATGGAGGTGGCGACTGTGATACCGACCCAGCACAAGCAACACGCGAGGTTGACACAGATCAGCATGGGGCGGCGACCAAAGCGGTCAACCTGGGTGGCACCAAAGCCGGCGAAGACGATCTGGATGGCGTTCATACCGAGCTGGACGTTGATCTGGGTGGTCTGGCCGCGGATACCAGCAGTGTCGAGGAACTTGCTGAGGTAGTAAGATACGATACCGTTTCCGGCCCATTGCCCGAAGAGGGAGATGATGCAGCTCATCAGGAGGCGGTAACGGGAGGCGCGATCGCGGAAGAGCGCCCGGTAATCCCACCAGGTGCGGTCGGTACCATCGATCTCCAAGTGAGTCTCGTACTCCATCATCTGCAGCTTGACCCACTCGCTGTTGGGGTTGCCCTGACCGTGGTACTTGGTGAGGGTGGCCTGTGCCTCGACGACTCGGCCGCGGACGTACATCCATCTGGGAGACTCGGGGAGGAACCAGGCCAAGAGGACGATGAGACCGGGGAACATCATCTGGAGCCACACTGGGATGAGCCACTGGGTGTTGCCGGTGTACGTGAGGCCACCGCGGGCGGCACCAGTGGCAACGAGGGCTCCGACGGGCCAGAAGACGTTGTAGAGGCCGGTCGTCACACCACGGTGAGCTGGGTGGGACATCTCGACGACGTAGGTTGGGCCAGCGGACCCGATGATCCCGACACCGAAACCGAGGAGGAAACGGCCGCCCATGAACTGACCGACGCTGTGGGTAGCGATGCAAGTTCCCTGGATGATAACACCGATGACGATAATAAGGCCTGCGATGAACATGCCGCCGCGTCTTCCCCAGGTATCAATGGCGGGACCGATGAAAGGAATAGCGACAACACTGCCGATTTGGTACATAGAGGTGACGATACCTGTGGTTTGGTCAGATTTATGAGCCAGCTGAAGTAGAGGATCAGCACTTACCAGTCCAGGCGCCAGCGTTGGCGACATGGAAGAAACCCTTAAAGTTTTCGTTGGCGAGAAGGGTGCCGAAGAGAGATCCATCATATCCGTTGGTGGTAGAGCAGAAGAAGCCGACACCGACGACGAGGTAGAGCATAAAAGAGTGGGAGCTGAAGGGGCGCGGGGGCTCCTTGAGCATGGCCTGCTGGAAGGCCTCATCACCAATTACCACCTTGACGGCGGCAACGGTATCCTTATCGAGCTATAGCAGCAGTCAGTACTCGTGATCGGCGTTTTGCGGGGGTGATGGCGCTCCATGAGCGGAGGAGGAGAGGCAGGAGCTTGAACATACATCATCCTGAGTAATGCTTTGGTGGTCGGCCTTGAGGTCCTTGAGATCCTTGATGTCCGACATGGCGGCGGGTCGAGGCTTCTAAACTCTCGAGGTTGTTGATGGAGGGCGGTAGTGGTTGATGATAGAAAAAGAAAAAGAGGAAGGAGCTGGGGAAGTGGACCGTACTTATCCTGTGTGAGAAATGTGGGAACAGTGAGAAGAAGGTTGTACTCTAAGAGAATGACAGTTGATACTAGAGCTGCAGCGCCGGGGGGGGGTCCATGTTCTGTCTCACTGAACATGGAGATGATGTGAAGATGGGGCCATGGACATGGTGGATCCGCAGATAGCATGGGGATTAGAGTAGTTTGAGGGCACAACACTCCGTGAGGGCCGTGACTTTTTTGAGAGTCTGTACCATAGTATGGGGTTTAGAGAGAGAGCGGGGAGGGAACGAAGGCGGGCGGGAGTGGAGGTGCAGGGATGGATGGCGGGGGGGAGGAGATGGAGAGGGAGAGAGGCGTGATGGTGGCGCGGAGGGAACGGGCAAAGGAACCGGTAAGGCGAAGGAAGCCAGAGAGAAGGAGGAGAGAAGGAGAGAACAGGCGCAAATAGAGTGGGGAGCATGGTCGAGTGCAGCGTAGAACGCGGATCTGACGGGCTGAAGAACGAGTAGCGTCTGAGTAAAGTAGGGTTGACGCGCTGTGGTTCGTCCAACCCCAGGTTTTCGTGTTCCTAGGGGGTTGCTAAGGGGAGACTTTGGGAGGTACAGGAAGCCGGAGGCGTCAGGGGTGGCAAAGCTGTTCTGGGCGGTCGGGGCTTGACTGTTGGTTGTTGGTCTAACTGCATATAGGCACCGGGAGCACAGTTCCGTTACAAGAGACACGACGGCGAAGACGAGAAAAGAGGACGAAGCGATAAAATGTGGAGTGCGCTATTGGCCTCTGAACTCTCTGTCACGTTTGTCTGGAATTAGGTGTAAAAGGCTGAATTGTGACTGGTTCAATTGAAGTTTGATAGACCCATCTGCCTACTACCATGTCCCTGACAAGTGCAGACACCAGACTCGTAACGGAGTGCTTAGTTTGTACCCTTCCCCATGACAAGGACAGGACTCCTCAATAATCGACAGCTACATTTGGATAGAGACGAGGCAGAGATGAGGGAGAATGGAGTAGGAACGGGCTGGAACGGGCAATGTCAATATTACAATTATAGAGTGGGGAAGGAAGGAACCGATATGGGGTTCTCTAACGGAATATACGGAATGTGATGGCGGCGAGGCGAGAGGGAAGGAACGAATGGTGATGGAACGGGAGGACCACCGGCCCTGTGATGAATGATCATGATGCGTGATGTGATGAGTGATGTGATTACAGCATCCTACGTGTCCTCGCTCGTAGTCAGTCTACTTGCATATTCTATACTCGAAGAGGTGTCATTCTCAGTCTCAGTCTCAGTGCCAGTGTCAGTGCCAGTCTCAAACTGTGGTAGGCTTCATATGTCTCAGACCGCCACAGCGCTACTTTTCTAACTACTGCAGCACTATAGCAGCTATAGAAGCTATAGTATACGCCGTCGCACCGGCATATTGTTCTCGAAGGTGTCATGGAAGGAATAACTGACGTCCAAGCTTTTCTTCTTCAGCCATGCGCCGGCTCACTAGCCTTGGCCGTCCTGGTTTCATGCCGTGTACTCTACTATAGCACAGCACTATATCCACGTGGAATTAGTTGGGTGGGAAAGCACTTTACGAAGGGGGAAAGGAAGGGGAAGAAGGTGTGTAGTTGGTGGAAGCGCTGGAAGGGGCGTCGAAGGGAGCGTGCAGCTGACTAGGATGATGCATGATTAGAGTACTATACAGCACTCTTCACAGTAAAGAGACGCACATCACTCTAAAGTGCTCCATACAGAGATGCGTCCAACACTATAACAAGTCAATATTTGGCTTCCATGGCTGCGTCGATAAAGTGCATTTACGGCGAGCGACAACCCCTCCAACAGTCTACACAGTCCATACCAACAAATCACCATCCAACCCCCCGGTTCAGCGGCCGACTAGGGCAAGTGTCAGACTCAGACACACGACCTAGAACATTTTCAGCTGCAGCCAATCTTGCCGCCCCAGCACCCAACTAGAGCTACCCACACCGGCATGGAGTGCGGAGTATTCTCTGGCTCTCCACTCATCGATCCTTACTAGTGGTAGTTTAGTTGTAGTTGGGAGGCGTCGCGTTGGTCTAACCCTCTTTCTGCGCGGAGAAATAGGCCCGAATATTGATGTCAGATGTTTGTTGGACATGGCGCTGGGAATTGGGCACGCATAGAGCACTCTATCTCATCCAAACTCGCAGGGAGGCACAAGGAGGGTATTGATTGTTGTGCATCGTATCGATCTTTCCTTGGGATGCACTGATTCTTGGCTATCCAAGGGCTTCACTTCTCGATTTCTGCTTTGACATGTACAGTACACATCATCACGACTTCCCATTGTGCTTACTACTCAAATACGAAGTCACGCCGTATCCTTCTCTCCCTTCCATCACAAGCCGTATACAGCATCCCCACTGCCTCTCTCCTACTCAAATGCCCTAACTCCTCCTCCTCTCCCTCCGCCGATTATCACCAAAATACCTCCTCCGTTCGTACGCATCCAGCCCATCCATCCCTCCTCCCCTCCCTCCGCTCCCCACTCCACCAACCGGAGAAACCCCCTCCCTCTTCCCAAGAAAAAAAATCCCCAAAGCGCCACACGCTGCCCGTCTTCCGTCTTGGCCAAAGCGGGAACAAACGAGCTGGGCTGCTGCCGTGTTTTGACAAGGGGGCGCCATGGATAGGGACGTCGACGCGAGACCTCTCACCAATCTCCACCAATCTCGTCTAATCTCCCCTCACACACTGGGTTTTGCACGAGATCATAAGCCCATGCAGATGGTGCTTGACGGTGGTCAAGCTTGGCTCGTCCCGGTGGAGGTGAAGGGGGAGTGGTGCTTATACTGAAGTGTGTGTATGGAGACATGGAGGCTTATTGGCTGGTGGTACGATGATATGTCTGGTATATGTTTACATAGTAGACAGGAGGCAGGCGGCTACTCTACATCATACTCTACATTTTACCCTTCTCGAAGCGCTATCGTGAGAATGGCGAGGGCAGCGAAGATCTCTCTTACATACAGCTTCCCCCCAAACCATCCCCCGCAAAACCATCTCTACTGTAGGAACACACACCACATCACGCCACATGGCAACCCGCCGTCTCACATGCCCTCCAAAAATCCCCCCTCCAAAATATCACCTCGCTCCCATCCGAACATCTCCACCACCCCTCGCCTCAACCCGCCTCACCACCACCAACCTCACCTCAGGAAGCCAACCCATCCCCCTCCGCCGCGCCGTCCATCCACAAGCCGCATCCCACTTCCACGCCCACCACACACCCCCGTCCCCAATCCAGACCCTCGCCATGGGCGCTTGCGAAAAGCCACAGGAGCGGGACCGGGGGGGTGCTGGACGAGGCTCAAACGGCTCGGATTTCCTGAGGCTGGGCGAGCGGGCCGTGGTTCCCTTGGTGGTGATTGTGAGGGGGTGTGGCGCAGGTAGGGGTGTGGCGCGGGGATGGGGGTGAGCCACAGGTGGGTGGTGGTGGTGGTGGTATATAGGAGTGGTGAGCCTCGCGCGGTTAGGTATGGAGATGGACAAGGTAGGAATGAATTTCTTAACCAAAATCTGCGCGCTTTTTTGTTCGCTTTCTTTTATCTTGGATCGAATCTTATCTCATATCTGTCTTGGACTCGATGCAGGACAGATGCGGATAATCAGCCGCGCGCTGGTTATCTGCACGCCGGCCAACCATTGCATCGGAAGGAGCTATATCGCTGCTTGCTGCTGTATACCGGATTGGTGGGGTGTCTCTGCTCAGGGCAGTGAAGACCGCATGAGGTGAGTGATGGTCTTGGCTTTATTGGAAGCCGATATCTTTTTCACATTTCAGGAGGTTGACGGTTGGAACGACGCTTCTTGTGTCTGGAATAGGAGATTCCGAAATTGGTGAGCTGTTTTCCTTTGCGTTTTTTTGCATGTCTTGGTGTTTGCTTACTTGAGCTTTTCCACGAATCATGAAGCTTCATGAAGCCTCATGATGCTTTCTTGCGGATTTTTAAAATATTCTACCATCAAACTTGAGGACGAAAAAAATAAGATCCGCTCCCGCACACATACTCCCGCACGTTTCTTACCTTTCTGCACTCTTCTCTACAAGGCAACTAGGCTCCCGGGACCCATATAAAAACCTTCTTTCTTTCCTGGAGAATCACGAATATCATACTCACAATCACACCACCACCACCATCCCACACTTCCCGACCATCCAGCCAACCATCCCACATTTCCCAGCGACCCAACCAACCCAACCCAGCACAATGCACATCCCAACCCTCCTCCTCGCCCTCTCCGCAGCCACCACCGCCGTCCTCGTATCCCCAGTCGACACCTCCCCCGCCACCTCACTCAGTCCCCGCGCCAATGCACTGCTAGCTGAGCGCGCTGGGGCGGGATGTGCATGGAATAATTGTCAGGAGTGTGAGAATTATTGTTTTAGGGGAGAGTTGTTGGGTGTCTCTATACTTTCGGTGTTGTTGTCTTTGTTTTGATGGGGGGGAGGGGGGGGAGATGGTGATGGATGGGCGGGTGTGAGGTAGGGGTGGAATGAATTGGGGGGTTAGGAATGGCGGAGGAGGATTGGAGGGAGGATGAGGATGGGGAGCAGGAATGAGAATAGAGAGGAGGATGTGAGAGAAGATGGGGGAGAGGATGAGAAACAAAGCTGATGCCTAAAAAATAGATCTACCATGCCCACCAAACAAGTTCTGTGGGATCAACACCTCGGGATCTCTGATTCTTTGTGTCACGCTTGGGTGTTGCGCGAACTGAGTCTTATCACCTCTCACATCTCCCCGCATTTGGGATAGGGGGGATTGTTTGTTTGTCGCATCGATGGTTGAGGGGCGTGTGTTGGGAGGGGGGGGGAGACGGGAGGCCAGGAGAGAAGAAGGGGAAGAAAGTAGGGGTAGGTAGGAGAGAATCTAGAGAGTGGGAGAGAATCTAGAGTGGTAGATTGAAAAGGGGGGGGGGGGGATATTATATTCTTTTACTTACCCATATCATCAGCTCACGACCTGGGACGCCGTGCTCGCAGCTAGATTTATCATATTACGTTACCATGTTTTGGGGATTTGGTTTGACTCGATTTATGCCGTACAGTTGGTATTTATCTGGATCATACTGTACTATGATATATCCTTCAGCCCATATCATTACCACACGACCTGGAACGCCATCTCATAGCTGGATTATGATATTACTTTACCATATCTCCAATTTTCAACGTGCTGTTGGGCTACGTACTCTATCTGAATATCCTTTTTACCAAAAAACATGTTCTATTACGCATATCACCCTACCCTACCATCCCATACCCTCCAAACTCACCAACCACACTCATTCCAACATCACATCCAACAACCAACCCAACTCTTGCTGACTGAACCCCGTTATTTGATGGCGTGAGATAGCCCAAGGCTCTATACGTATGAGTAGGCGGCTATAGCAGTGGTGAAGGCACCGGTTATCTGGGCCTTGATTGCCACCCCCCCAGACTTGAGAAGAAGAGGCTCGGCGCCTATGATAGCGTCCATATAGTTACTGAAAGCTGTGTTCAGAGAATGGAGATCACTGAGCATAAGGGCTTGTCCACCCGCAATTTGGGCCCAACTTGGCTCTTGGAGTCCGATATTTTCCAACGTTGCCAGCAAATCCGGAACAATGGCCTGGATATTTGCAAGGATGGTAGTACCAGACACTGTGCCAAAGGAGCCCGTGCTCTTAATGTTGGTAATCGCAGTATTCACAGTACTAACAAGGGTTTGTACGTCTCCGTGAATAGCCAGTGCCCCAGTCAAGCCGCTAGCAGGAAAGCCGCTTACATCCTTGTTAAGGGTGTTGATTTGAGGGCCAATCTTTTGCGTTATATCGTTCTGAACCGTAATGACGTCGCGGTAGACGAGGGGCGTTGCGGAGGCAGTTAAAGCCAAGACGAGGAGCTTAATGATAGCCACCATTTTTATATCCTTTAAGGGTTAATAAAAGGGCATTGACAACTTGCGTTTAAAAAGGGGCTAGATTTTATACCTGTTCGAGTATTTTGGTATGTTTTGATGACTAGAATTGTTTAGGGTAGGTGATATAGGAGAACCCCTTGAACTTTATAGTCTTTCACCCTTGTTAGACCCTAGAAAGCAAACAAAAGAATACCTGTATTGCCTGGCCGTTACACTAGCCTGTCTGGTGTCAAAATTCGGGATTGTTATATGCACTAGCTACAATTTGTCAAGGGTAAACCGCTTTGCTTAGGCCGTTTCCACAAAGTGTCTTAGCTACGCCAGCCACTTTGTCTGCCTTTCCGCTGCTAAGCTTCTAACGATACTATACCTTTAAGACAATCACCAAATTAGTACAGTTCAGCCGGCCAGCTAACTAGAATGTCTCGGACAGTTTGCCTGCTATGAGTGTTCTCGATATATTGTTTCGAAACAAAGTGATCGCATTTGAATTCTCGTTGGCTATCATAGTTAAACGTGGCGCCGTGAACAGCGAGATATGAGCTGAGGATCGTGTCACAGCCATTTTAGTCGCCTGCGCCGTGATCACCGCTTTATTAATTTGAGGCATCGTTGCAAATAGGGACCTCTTTCATTCTGCCCGTTGTAAGACAGCGGTTCGTTCAGAACTTATCTTCTTCCGTCTATAATTCGGGCTTATACATTGTATGAGATAGTTGTAAGTTATTTAGTTATCGTCAATAATACCTGCAAATTTGAAAGTTTAGTAAGTTGTCCTGTCGCAGACGAAGCCCGTCGGCCGCAGGTACTGTGAGCACGAACGAATGGTCTTGTGCCACAATACAAGACATTGTTGGTTGATTAGCTGAATGCGTTATTCATTTAGCGAGCGCTAATTGGTCGTGCTATCGTTAGGGTATGGTAGTGTTGGCTAGCTCCCTCGGTAGTTTTACGGCTCTCTCATTTAACTCGTAGATGCCAAAAACAGCCCCTGCGGTAAAGCTTTAAGGGGTATACATGATTACACGCAGATCCGTGTCACGTGGTCACGTGGTTTCGTGACAACTCCGCAACGCGCTGTACAGAACCATACTGGGTGGATCCGTGAATGTGGCGGCCCGTCGACTCAGTGAGAAGCCGATCAGCAGGGCTGAGCGGATCTGGCAGCTTGCCATGGCTGAAGCAAAGGCATGAGGGAGGTTACAGTACCGTAGAAGCACAGCACTGTAGAAGCACGGCACCGTAGAAGCACGGCACCTTGTAGGCACGGCACCGTAGAAGCGTTGTAGAACTCTCCTGATGCTACGACCGACATTTGTTTTGTCCATGGCCTCACAGTGAGCCGAGACAGTACATGGATAGCCTTAAAACAGTCCATCCCATGGCCGACCATGCTGCTGCCACCCAAGCTTCCCCGTGCCCGCTTGCTCACGTGGGGATACGACGACGCCTACGCTGTGCGAGGCTCCGTCGCGTCGAAGAACCGGCTTATCGACCATGCCATACATGTTGAACTGCGCTTAGTAGGTTCCGTAGGATAGTGGTATGATAATTAGAGTAGTGGTATGATAATTTCCGTATCACCAGTAGGACCCAATTGATCAGAAGTGAGAAGCGTATATACTAGTAATAGTTAGATTTTAGTGTTTTTATAGCTTACTTACTTATATAGCTTACTTGCTTATAGAATACATTAAGAGATATAAGGATTTAATTATAGTTAAATAAGGGTTATTATATAAGATAGTAGTATAGTAGTAGTAGTAATAGTTGATTTATTAGTGTTTTAGTAGGCAACTTGCTTATATAGGCAACTTATATATAAATTACGTTATATATATTTTTAGTAGTTTTAATAATTAACAACGTTAGCAGTTAACAAAGCTAATTATTAGAGTTAAGCCCTCTATGCTGTTTTCCTACTCATTTTATTATTATTATTGATCTTATCTATTAATTCCCTCGCCCGCTAAGATCTTCATCTGCCTTGGGTATATTTACACCATCACCACACCCAACATCAAGGCTCCATAGCACACCAGCCCTGCTCCATTGCAGCATCAAACAACCATTAACCCTCAAGGTTCACTAATGACATCAATACATAACCGCATAGGACCAACACCCCCCCTCATCGCCGCATCCCATCAACAACTCCCATAACCCCCATCCAAACCAACAAAAACTCCAAGTTTTCACATGCCCCAACCCAAACACAAACACATGATATCGAAAATACCAACCTCAACCACATTCCTCATGTTATCATCACAGCGCATGAAACCGCCCTGCCAAGAATGTATATCCTAGCTAAGCAGCACATCACCACCATGAAACCACTCACCCGCATCCCGCAGTGACGAAAACACCCCGCGGGGTCTGCAATCCGCATTCCTTCCCACATCTCTTTCCAAGACATCGGCTGCGATCCCTGAACCACCACAGCACCCACTCACCACCATTCCCCACGGAGGGAGGGGACGTGGGGAACTTCAGCCCCATCGGAATGGAGTAAACTACTAGGTATCACCTACAGCACAAAGCGGAGCGGGGACCGAAAAGCACAGTTGTAAAACGGGTTACCGAGGAGGATCAATTTCTGCGGAGGAACGCGGGGAGAGGAAGGCGGGACTGGGGAACTTACCTTACCTTACCTTACCTTACCTTGCCGATAGATAGATAGATACCCTGCCGACTTGACTTGAGTGAGTGAGGGAGGGACCCTCTTCCCCGACCCCGACCCTCTCTTCCGATGATCCACTATCTAGATAGAGTAAACGTCGCGAGAGAGGGGTGATGGGGTGGGTAAGGGATGTGAACTGGATGGTGATGGTTTTGTTGTCTAGTGTTTCTGTTTCTGTTACTGCTGTCTACCGTTTCTGTTACTGGTGGTGTTGGTACTGTCTGTCGTTGGCACTGCTGGTGCTGATACCGTAGCGGCTCTTTTACCCGACAATTCGCCGCAGATACAATACCACACACAGTAACGGCAGCCGATCTCACGTGGGTGCTGTGGTGTGGGAGATCGTTGGTAACGGGAGGATAACCGTGGTGCGTGGTACTGTACGTGGTTTGGACGCGGGTGTGGCTGTTTGGATCGTCGAGACGGGATGGGATGGGATGGCCGGTGGTGGTACTGCAGATGGGCTGTGCTGTGTGTGAGGTATGGAAGGCGGTGGGCGGTGTTCTACAGTACTATGTACAGTATGTATGAGGCGAGAGAAGGAAACGCGTATACCGACGACGGCCTTGCCGGATAGATGCAGTAGATATATGATCAATGGCTTTATTGCCTGCTACTGCGACTTTGTTCCCGTTAAACCACCTGTCGTCATTTCTCCTTATCGATGGTGTTCGGAAAGTACCACTCATAAACACAAATCACACCCAAAACCCAAAGATACCTCTCCCCCCAGCTGAGACAGCTGTCTCATACCTACCAAACCACCCAAACCACCCAAAACCACCAAAACACGTGACCGCACACCACACAACACCACATGTGAAACCACCCCCGTAACCACAGCCAACGAAAGCCAAGTGGAGCACGTGCTATCCGCCGGTCTAGTCAGAAGCCGGGCTCCACACATGTACCCCTTTTCGTATATGTACTACTCCGCTTTTAGAACTAGAGCTATTTTGGGGGGCTTGCGGTTCCCTGCAGTAATGTACCCTGTGGCGGTGGTGGTGGTGGTGGGCCGATTAGCGACCCATCTGGGCTGTGGAAGGGCACACGTCAGGATGCACCAAGACTGGTGATGGGCTGGGCGGGGGGCGATTGTCATTTCAGTGGTGTGTTGATGGGGGGCGTGAGCGGAGATGAGGTGGTGAGGGTGCGTGCTGTTAGTATGGTGTACTATAGACATAGACGGAGATATAGGCGAAAAGAGGATTGCGCTGTTTGTGGCAGTGCGTGCAGTTGTAGTAGGATTAGATGTTATGCGTAGAGTGTAGAGTGTTGGTCTTGGTATTGGGTAAAAGAGCTGGGCAGGAAGGAAGGAAGGAGGGAGTTTCGTATCGGGTTCATTTCAATAGCATTGGCATTATCACGTTCACTTCTTGTGTGGTGGGAGTACTCGTGTGGTGGCGCCTGTCTTTCAGCTGCCACTGCAGGGTTATGTACACTTCCGCACGGCACAGTATGGGTACGGTACATGGCTGATGTCTGTCTGTCGTGCGTTGGACACACACCCACATCCACAACCCCATCGACTTTCACATGCTCATAGAAGGGTGGCACGATCCTGCACAGAAAAAAAAGAAGAAAACGCCCGAAAAGGCCGAGCGACCTAGAATGTGCGGGGTGTCCGATCCACTTTCTCCAATCCCCTTGAACGTCTAGACGTCTATACACGCTATGATTGGATTTTGTTGACAGGCTTAGTCTGCTTTGGGCAAGTGGATGGGAGGGGGGATTGGGGTCGGTTGCAGGGATGGAAGGGTGGCGGGTGGAGACGTTCACGAGCCATTTGGTTGCGATGAGTGTGTAAGGGTTGGTAAGGGGGGATGGTGATTGGGCAATCGGGGTACTGGGGAGGGGGGGCTTGGCGTCATGAGTGGCATTGTGGTGGCTGGATGGGGGATAGGGTGGTTAGTGTGGTTAGGGGTGGTAAGGGTGGTTGAGTACCCTTGGCTATTTGGTGAAGTACCTCCAATCCACTACACCTATTCTCTCTCCACCATCCCTCCACCATCCCTCCACATTCCCCATCCTCCCTCCCCATCACCCCCTCCCCTTCTCCCCTCCCCTCCACTCCACTCCCTCCACTCCCTTCACACCCCCCTGTCCTTCTCCATCTCCCACAGAAAAGAAGCACGGGTCACTACTCTATCTTTCCTCATACTTGCTACCTTCGCTTGCACTGCTTCAACTATGGGGTACTTCTACTCACACCCATTCTACACTGCTCCCCAATGTCCCAAATGTGCCCACATGTCGCCTCACGAGCCCCAGCTAAAACCCTACTAGACTGCTATTTCACTACTACCATACTAAACTACTAAACACTACTAAACCACTACTAACCAAACCAACTCAATGCAATACCCAATATCCTAAACCTATTCGGGACTTAGTCCTCCCCCCGACTGACAAACTCCTAATTTCACATATCTTCCTCCCAATCCCCTCTAGAAAACGAGCTCGATTTGTTCTCATACTTCTTCATCGTCGACCTTCGTCCTCTCCTCCCCGTCGTCGCTCTCCCTAATACTCGCCTCAATCTCTCCTTCAGAAGACGATCCCCCTTTCGATTCTCACCTGCGTCCCAACTTCCCATCCAGGTCGCGCATTTAACCGTCTACTTCAAATCAACCCAAACAACACCCCCGACGTTTCGCCGTTTTCACTTATAAACGAGCAGCTATGAGTCTTAATAAGGGCGAGACTGGCGATAGCCAGGTCGAGAATAACATCGAGAACGCCGAGAAGCCCCAGAGAGGCAAGTTCATGACTCTCGTCAGGAAGTACTGGTGGGTGCTCGTGATCATGTTCTGCTGCGGTGTGCTCATCGTAACTCTTCCTCTGTAAGTTATACCCTAAAACCGGCTTATTGCCATCTATCGCCTCCGCGCGCGCGCATCTCCTCTAACAAGCACTCCCCACAGCGTCCTCGTCGGGTTCCCCCGCATCATCCAGGACAAGGTCAACAAGTCCACCCTGAGCATCGACGGCATCTCCGTCACCAACACCAAGACGAACACCGTGCAGATCTCCATCAACTCCACCGTATCGAGCTCCAACTCCATCCCCGCCGTCGTCGACGGCTTCGACGCCATCATGTACCTCGAGGACAAGCTCCCGCACACCCCCATCATGACCCTCCGCATGCCCGAGACCAAGACCGGCCTGGCCATCGTCAACGTCACCCAGGAGATCAACGGCACCGCCCTCCAGCCCTTCATCGACTTCAACTCGTGGTACCTCTGGAACTCGTCCCTGGCCGTCACCATCGAGGGCGAGACGCACGTGCACGTCAAGGGCCTCAAGGCCGCAAAGGTCTCCTTCAAGAAGACTGTCACCCTCGTCGGCATCAACGGCTTCAAGGGCCTCGCGGTCACCAAGGCCAACGTCTCCCTCTCTACCGGCGAGAACTTCCACGGCTACGCAAACATCCCCAACCCCTCCATCCTCACCTTCGAGGTCGGCAACGCCACCTTCGCAAACTACTTTGAGCAGGAGAAGATCGGAACTCTGTACATCGACGACATGTTCATCCGCCCGGGAATCAACAACGTCAGCGTCCGCGCAGAAATCGAGCAGGCGCCCATCCTCCTCGCCCTCCGCAAGAAGCCGTACTGTACCGATGGTGTCATGCCTTTCGATCTTATGGGCGAGAGCGTCATCAACCACGGACAGCCGCTGCCGTACTTCGCTGATGCGCTTGCGCTTCACGCTCAGTCTACGTCGATTGGTGTTGGAGAGGCGCTTTTCGAGACTACTGGAGCGAAGTTATATAACTGCTCTGGTGCTGCTTAAGTGGGTGTGTTGAGTTGAGTTGAGTGGGTGGTTGTTGTTGTTGTTGTTGTTGTCATGTCACGAATATGCGTTTGGATCTTATACTTTGTTTAATCTCGGGATGCAATTTGTTGCAGTGCTACTGTGAGGGGAGGGAAGAGGAGGAGGAGACGGACGAGAGAAAGGAGGAGGAAGGAAGAGAGGGGACTGTAGATAGGATTGATAGGATGATAAAATACCCAGTTTCGCGTTTTTTCAACACACAGAACAAAAACGGCCATCTATCACTCAGAAACCATATTTCCCCCCAATTGACATCTTGTGACATCGTTCTAACTCGGGAAAGTGATTTCTTCGATTTTGTCCTAATTCCACCAGAATCGGTCCCTGAGACAGAATCTCCAAATCCCCAACTCCTCCAAACGCCATAACCCCAATTCCTACCGCCACCACCACCCGGATCGTCACACACCACGCCACGCTCAAAAATCCAACCCGCGACAAACATGTCTCAAACCACCCCGAACCTTAACCTTCAAAAAACCACGCCTCCAACAAAAAAGTCTCACATCACCAACCTCACTTTCTTACGACGTCGTCTCCAACCCCGCAACACACTAAACCCCAGACTTTAGCACACTCCGGGGATGGGATGGGTAGAGCTTCTTTCCCCAGTCCCCTCCCCCAGAGTCCCTCCCCCAGAGAGGTCCCAGCTTACCCCGAGGCCCGCATCCTCTCAGTACCCTCCCCCAGAATACAAGATGCTTGGTTGTACTGTACTACTTTTGCTGTACACCGAGTACACCGAGATGCGAGATCTGGAAGTCGTGCGTGTGGTGGGATTGACATGTGATACCACCCCGGTCGCGTTCGTTGGCGAGCGGCTCGGTCGCATGTGAATTTCTTGGCGCTGGATGGCCGACGTGCCGAGCGGGCAGGGGAGCGAGCCGCATGCTGTACAGAGGAATGGGAGTGCGTGAGCCGAGAGGAGGGTGTGTGCGGAGAGTACCGTGTGCTGCTGGAGTACATATGCAGAGCGGTTGGTTATTTGTGGAGATGAGGGAGTCTGAGATGTAGAGGGATGGTTGGGGGGGTTGTTTGAAGTGTCCTTGTTTGAAGTATGGTATGAGAGACGAGGGACGGGATGCTGTGTCGTCGATCGTTGATAGTGCTGTAGGGGTCAGGGTGGACAGGGCAGGGAGGGGTAGGGAAGTTGGTATGCAAGTTTTTATTAAGGTACAGGAACTGGTAAAGGTACGGGAAGATAAAAGTGACGCCATATATGCCCACCGCCGTTATATCCAACCTTATCTATCCCAATATCTATCCCACTATCATCATCATCATCACCACCAGCCTCACCGCCCCTCCCCCACCACCCCCTCCCCCTCCTCTCCATCTACCACCTTCTCCTTCTCCCCCTCCTCCTCCCCCCTCTCCGTCTGCCCAATCAACAAATCCTTCTCCCTAACCGCCTTCCACGTCTCCCACCCCTGCTTCCGTTCCTTAACCTGCCTCTCCGCCGCCTGCACCCACCTCATCCACTCCCTCGTCCTCGGCGCCGCACCACTCGTGCTCACCCACCCCACCTCCCCCGTAACCCGAATCGCATACCACATCGTCCTCGTGAAACTCGGTAGATCATCCGGCTCCCCCCCCGGCCGCGCACAATCCGCATCTCTACAATCATCAGGCGTGATGTCCTCGCGCTCATACATTTTGAGGTCCCAGAACTCCTTCTTGGGAACGAGGGAGGCGGCCCAGTAGAGCCCGTTGAGCACGATGTAGGCGCTGCCTATGGCGGCTTGTTGGTTGAAATTACAGTTTCCCAGCAGCACGACGGCGACCATGAGGATGAATGTCGCGAGGCCGATGAGAGCGCGGTAGGCGCGGACAGAGTGAACGAGGTATGTGCATTCCTCCGTCCCGGTGTAGAGTTCCCGCGCGACATTCTCGTCGCATTTGACGACTATGAAGGCCCCCTCGCGCGTGCGGATCACGACGTCACCTTCTGGCACCACAGCGCCGGAAGTGCGCTTCATGAGCTGTGGGGACCAGAGGGATGCGTAGCCGACGATGGTGGAGACGAGGGAGATGGCTATGAGTGCCAGGCAGGCGATGGCGTCGCGGTTGTAGAGGGAGACTGCGAAGATGGCCCAGGTGAGGACGCAGGAGAAGATGCTGAGGAGGTTGAGCGGGGATAAGGTCTTCGCGGGGACATGAGGAGGGGGCTTCAGCGGCTGTGCCGCGATGATGGGAGCTTTCTCGGGGTCGGCGCGGCGCAGCCAGGTGCCGCGGAGGAAGTTGGAGGCGGTGGTGAAGAAGCCGTTGTGTCGCGGGAGGGTGGTGTTGTGGCGGGAGTTGACGGAGCGCCAGGAGCGCGGGTCGTTGTGTTGGGAGAGGGCGTGGCGGGAGTGGCGGATGCGGTAGACGCGGAAGGAGAAGGGGGCGAGATCTTCGATGGGGTGGACGATGTTGGGGAAGTAGTTGAGGGTGGGGACTTGGATGCCGTTCTTGACGCCCACGACGCTGGCGGTAGTGTGTGGCATTCGCGTTGGGCGGGTGGGCTTGAGGAGGACTTGGGGCGCGGGGATGATGCGCGGGAGGCACCCGATCCAGGAGGCTGTCATGGCTTGGGAGTGTTCGGCCATGGAGGATTCGCCGATCACGGCGAGGAGGGAGACGATGTCGAGTCTCCACCCGTTTTGGTGGTCTTTGCCCTCTGGCCACCAGCCTTCGTCGCTGTCGCCTTGGGGCGATGACATCGTGAGATTCGTAGCCTTGTTGGTGGAGTTACGTTCGGTTGTGTGATTTTGCTCCTATAAGCGGCCCCTCCTTTTCGAGCGCAGGCAAGGTAGGTCTTTAAGGGCTATAGAATGATCGAAGCCGTATCGGCGATGAAGATGGTAGCATTTGCAACAAGGACGTCGCCGTTGCCAGTTTCCCTGGCAAGGCTGTAGGCTGTCGTTGTTGGTTGATCCTGATCTCCAACAATCTTCACCAGCCGCCCGGGGAAAAGACGCGTCCAACAGCGAGGCTGAAACTGCGGCCAATGACCAATTGAAGCAGGTGGATGGGCGCATCTTAGCGAGATAACTACCATGTTGGGGGTAGTGATCCTCGAAAACCCCTGCTATCCATATCCCGCATCTGCACCTCGCCATTGAGAGACCCCTCACATTGTGTGATTCGCGGCATTTGCAGGAGTAAAAGGGGACGAGTATTGGGCTATTGCCGCTGTGTAGGCGGTTAGGAACTCACCTGTTGTCTTGTCTTGTCTGCTCCAAGCTGTCTCGGCTCGGCACGCTCCCCTTGTTTCTATATAAAGACATTGATTGTTAGGCAGACTTGGCAGACTCACCGTATGCAATGCAACTGGAGTATAAGATAGACTTATAAACGGTATTGCCGCGCGGGAATTCCAGATGCCGGGACGCAAGCTGAAGAGGACATTTTATGTTCGAAGACTAACAGTAGAATATGTCTAGTACTAATACGAAACACATCTCATGCTTCCCGTCCTCCAGCCGTTCTCCAGCCGTCCTCCAGCCATTTCCGGCTCTTTTACCATCGTTTCAGCTCACGTAAGCACAACTCAGCCCCCCAACCAAACACCGCAAATTTACGTACTGTGCTCGCAAAGTGACAAATGCCACAACCCGTCACACCCCGCCTTAGGGGATATTATAGGGATTATAGGTCTTAGAACTGTCATTTGTGAGGGTACCATCCCGTTGTTTGGTACGGGCTGTGCTGGTAACCCTATTTATTTCCGTATTTAGAACTTTGCGACGGCTCTCATCAATCCCGAGGAGCCTGTCATCTTAGGCTCTATATGCTGACACTGACAATCTTAAGATAACTATATCACCAAATTTCCCTATTCCTCGACTGCAGTAAGCACCCTGCTTTATTCTGAATCTGTATCTAACGCGGTCATCCCTCTATCGCATACTCCCCTCAACTTCCCTGCTGCATATCTCGTTCTCTCTCTCTCTCTCTCTCTCTCTCTCTCTACCACTCTGTCGTCACGATGTCGAAGCGCTCAGTCTTCACGACAATCACCCCGCTCCCACCGAGCGTCACCCGCCAGCATGTCCTGGACACCTTCCACAACCACGTCGAGATGATCGACCTGAACCCCCTGGTGGAAGAGCGTCATCGGATCAAACCACCACCAAAAGCCACCCCAGAAGAGTTCCACTGCATCTGGTACGAAGTGACGGATCGCGTGCAATACTTACCGGGCGGCGTATACTCCGGCAAAGTCTCGTACCCCGTCTGCTTCCACGACCTCCCCAACGGCATCCAAACCCACTGCTATGCGCCGATGGGATTAGAGATCAAGGGGAAATGGTCGCTAGGTGGATCTCTGCCAGGCGAGCCGCGAGAACCAGTTGAGATGGGCCTCAACGTTCCCATGGTCGGCTTATACGTGCGCGAGGACGTCGACATGAAGTGCAACATCATGTTAACCAATTTCGTCAAAAAGACGTTCAAAAAATCGCACGCCGAGCTCGTCGCGCGCTTATCCGTCAAGGCGCAACTCCAAGAAGCAGCCGCGACAAACAGCACCCTCGCGTCCCAGGCCTCGCCGCACCTGAGCTACTCGGGCTCTGTTCACTCTTCCGTCGGGTCTCCAGGGTTTCCGCCACAGAATTTGTCGATGTTCCCGCCGGGTCTGCAGCCGCCGCCGCACTACAACCAGGCTCACCCGCAGCAAAACCAGTACCAGGCTTATGATCCGAGGATGTCGATGCAGAGCGCGTTTCAGGGACAGCAGGGCGTGTATCAGCAGCAACCACCGCCGTCGTCGCAGTTTGCGCCGTCCGAGTTGTCGAATACGGAAACGAAACTGGATGATGCGAAGAAGATGAATGGCGCGCCGCCTAAACAGGAGTTTCCACCTGTTGAGCTGCCGTAATCGGACACTTGAACCGAGTTGGACTGCTGGTTCAGAAGTTCGTGTCTTGCTAGGGAGTGGTGGTGGAAAATAATGATACTATACCCGTGTGTTGGAATGCTGCGTTGGGGACTGGTTACAAATGGCGTTTCTGTTGTAAGAAAGACGATGTTGGATTGATACTGTGGATAGTTAGGCGAAAGTAGCATTATACACCTTAAATGGATCAATTATTCCTCTTATGACATTTCTATCCTAAAACTAATCCCAAGTTTTCTTCTTCGCCTTTTGCTATATCACAATCCGTCTTTGGTATTAATTCAACCTCCTAGCTTCAGGCCCCTTCGCGCTAGACTCGTCTCCATACGTATCAACAATCCACTGACAATAAACATTCCACCGCTCTAACCACACCTCCTTAGCCGCGACCTTCTCACTCGGTGTCAAGCAGCTATGCTCTAGACTCCACTCAGCAAGGACGCGCCAGCCGTGCAAGCTCATGGCTTCTGCACCGACCATGATTTGGTAGAAGTCATGCGACAATGAAGACCTATCGATGCGTTAGCCCACAACCCTCTCTCTATACCCGACCATCTAGTCGGAGAAGAGAAACTTACCCATAAAAAGTGCCATTATCACTATTGATAGTACAATGCACATTATTCGCCAACAAAACCGGCAACGCATGTCCCCGAATACTCGGACACAAATGCAGCACCTCATTCGAAATCGGGCAGATCTCCAGCGCTATCCCCCGCTCCTTCACCATCCGCATGGCCTTCGGGTGTTTCGGTAAGGCAAAACCGTGTCCGATGCGCTTAGCTCCCAGCAAGATGGCGTCGAGCAAGTTCGCATCGGTGGAGCTGCCGCTATCGAGCGTCTCGCCCGCGTGAAGGAGGAAGGGGATGTCGAGGCCCTCGGAGATGCAGGTGGCGCGGAAGGAGAGCAGTTCAGGGGCGAAGTGCTGGAGGGGGAATCCGGCTTCCTCGCCGCCAACGAGGTCGTAGCCGCAGATTAGATCGGGGAATTTCTTCTTCAGGGCGATGCATTCGACCAGTGAGGCGGCAACGCGCTCTTTACTGAAGGAGCGGGGACAGCAGTATATTACTTTGAGGCCTGTGAGGGGGACACCGGATTGGCGTTGCGCGGTGATGGCATCGGCGATTATTTGGAGGAGGCCAACGTTGTCAATGAAGCCTGTGGCGTCGGACTTGACGAGGGAGTTGCTGGGAAAGTTAGGGCGAATCTCGGCGTATTGGATGTTGTCGCGGATGAAATCTTGGATGCAGGCGTCGGTGTAGGCGCGGAATGCGGTTTCATGACCAAAGAGGCCTTTGAGCATGCGTGTGCGGGTGCCGAACCGGAGCCAGATGCTGTGGAAGGTTAGATGGTTGGAAGGTGTTAGGGGTGGCCCTGGTGAACTGACTTTGCGGTTGTTTGGGATATTCCGTATACTTCGTCCTCGGTGAAGAGAAGCTTGGAAGCAAGCCATTCCTCGGCAGCGGATTCACCGCCAGGGTACTCCTGGAGGAATTTGTCATAGCTGTACCAACCTTTCCTTTTGTCGTCGGCGTGAAAGCTGGACTTGTAACTCTCGTGCAGCAGGCTGGCGGTAGGTTCTAGGTGTTTTTCTTCATCTATAACATGCATCTGAAACTGTATCTCAGCGCGCTCCTTGTTGTCTTCCGAGTTGAGCGCAAGGTCGCTTTTGATATACATATGCGCGTTATTCTTTGCATGGCGAAGTAAAAACTGAGGCGGGAGGCAAGAATTGAAGTGACAGTGTAGGTGGGCTCCTTTGGGCATTTGCTGAGCAATCTTGAATAGACTCGTGTTTGTGATATTGGAAGCATTCCCGACGAAATGTTTGTCTGGTGTCATCACTTTCCCCAACATGTCCAGTCCCCCACCATGGACTAATTCCGCATCTCTCTGTCTAATCGCAACAATAATTTCGTTTGCTTTGTTTTGCAACTCAGATGCCGTTTCTCTTGCTCGTCCATCGAAACCCTCTTCCCTTTCGATTGCTAAGACCGAGGCGCGCTCAGCGTTGTATGCGTCCAAAGTTAGGGGGGTAGTATGGTCCGCCATCGTGCTGATATTTTTGTCTGATAGCTTCTCGACAGTCTTCTCACCGGGGGTTTTCTGACTTATATCCTCCCCGTCGTTGGGCCTCTTCACCGGACGGCGAGCCTTATCTGAAGCCTCGTTGCCTTTTTCCCAAGAACAAATGCCACCCATTGGGGCTGTTCGCGCTGACTCCAACTTCCGAAGGCAACCAGCATCAAAGCCCCTCAGGTAACAGCCATGAAGGTGATGTTGGCGGCGCTAAGTGTCAAAATACTGTTGGCGTTACGGCGGCTATCTAGTATAACAAGTGGCTGTGCAGAACTGCCAACTATTTACTAGTTCAAGGTTGATTCCCAGGCTGCGTCTTTCCACTCATAACCATCACGACACTATACGCTTGGCAAAGGCTTAGAACATCAAGCGGCTCGCAAACGAGCTTGTTGGCTGGCCTCACTGTTGCTTTGTGCTCAGCCTCCAAAAGGGCAGCTTACAGGATATGGTCACATGATCAAAATATATTACGCCTTATCGCTCTCTGATTGGTTGATGCATTTTATATCCCCTATTAATCGCAATGAGAGCTTTCCGTACGGAATAACCGTATCCCCTAGCTACAGAAGTATTCTGGATAAAGCCCAGCGCATTTTACACTCCTAATCGTCGAACCTGATGCCCTTCTTTCCCTCAACGTCAATGAAACCACCCCTGTAGCTACCACGCTTCTTCTTGTTCTTCTCCTTGGTGAAACCCTTGCCCTTCGTCACGATGAGATCCTCGTGAGCCTTCTGTGCGTAGTCGTAGGGAACGAAGGCGTTGCTCTTAAGGCGCTCGTCGACAACAATATCCTTGGGGATTCGGGAGAATGGGACATTGGTCTTCTTTGGGACTGGGTTAGGTGGAAGTGGTGGAAGTGGAGGGGAAGCCTCCTTGGCCTTGGCAGCAGCTTTCTTGTCTTTCGACTTGGTCTTCTTGTCAGCTGATGAGCTGTCGTCTGAGTCCGAGCTTGCAAGTGTGGCAGTGGAGTCGGATTTGGCGGTGGCATCGCCCATCTCCTCATCGGATGAAGAGTCACTGTCCGAGTCGGAAGACGAGTCAGAACCGGAGTCAGGGAGGGGAACCTTTGCGGCGGCGGATTGTGTAGAAGAGTCGGAGTCGGAGGATGAATCAGAATCAGATGAGGAGGAGTCGCTATCAGAGGATGAAGAGTCCGAAGAAGACTTGGCGGACTTCTTGGAGGCGCTGTCGCTTTCGGATGACGACGAGTCGCTGTCGGATGAGTCGCTGTCGGATGAGTCGCTGTCGGATGAGTCGCTGTCGGATGACGATGTGGATTCAGCAGCGGCTGGGGCAGTCTTAGACTTCTTGCGCTTTGGAGCCTCGTCCTCAGATGAAGAATCAGAGTCAGAAGAGGAGTCAGAGGAGGAGCTGCTGCTGCTATCGGACGATGCCTTGCGCTTCAATGCGTTGACCTTGGCCTTTGGGGTTGCCGCTTTGGCTGCAGGGACCTCCTTCTCATCGTCGGCATCGCTGTCTGACGACTCCGAGCTCGACGAGCCCGATGAAGAAGACGAAGAAGACGATTTCTTGCTGGCTTTGGTGGTAACTGCCTTCGCATCACCCATCTCAACATCGCTATCTCCGCTGCTGCTAGATGACTCCTTGGCAGCTACTGGCTTGAGCTTCTCCTTGGTTTTCTTTGCTTCGGCCTTCTTAGGCGCAACCTCCTTCTTCGCAAGTGCTGCTTGGTCGTCCTTCGGCTTGTCGGCAGTGTTGCCATTCGTGGTCTCGCGGAACTTCTCGTAGATATTTCCGAGTGTGACTGAAGTCGTCTTGACAGCAGCCGCAGATCGACCCTGCCATCCCTCGGACTTGGTGCGATCTTTGCGCTCGGAAGCAAAAAGGTTGCCAGTGTTGTTAAATCCGAATTCGGTCAGGAATTCACCGACAAGATCGAGTAATTCGGGAGAAGGAGGAGTCTTCGTGGATTTCTCGGTGGTGGTTGCTTTGGCACCTTTCACTGTCGTCTTCTTTCCAGCTTTGGGCTGAGATAAAGAAACTTGAGGAGTTGCGGCGGGCTTTGACGCTCCATTTCCAAACAGCCAGTCTGGTTTTTCGCCGACGGGTGCCTTTGGCTTCCTCTTGGCCACGGGCACAAGATTAGGGTTCATAGTTGCGTTGATTGGCAGTACCCAGAATGAATTCAAAAGTTTGAGGGTATCTCGAGGCTATTCGAGGCTGTTATCGTCCCAGAGCGAGAGTGATAAAAAAAAGTTAAGCGGGCCGATCTTGAACTAGCCACTAGCGTGGAATTTGAAGGTAGTTTGGACTAGTCCGTATTGAGACAAGTGACATACCTACTTGGTAGTGCGACAGCACCCAAGAGACGACAACATCATATCAGTTACACTGGTTGACCAGCGCGTTGATGCCCGTCCCCGCACTGGCATCTTCTCCACAATATCATTATCTTAAAGCTTTACAGTTATAAGATGCCCATTTTGCATACCGGCCCATAGATATGCAATACGCCTGCATTGGCTACAACCACAACTCCTCGTCCTCCAGCGCTAATCATAGCCTCTGTAGTGGGCATACACAGCTAAATGGATGGCCCAACGACCAATGGATCCGCTGTGAGCAACGGTTCCGGTAGCGCCAATGGAGCGAACAAAGCAGAGAAGTTCGAGGATGAGAAGCGGAGGATCGTTGAGAGCTGTTTCTCTAAGAAGGACCCAGACGGATCTTGTATGGTGGCCCCATGCCAGGGATACGCGCGATAATGTATGGACTGATGCTGACATATTTGACTTTCCAGTGGCAGAATCTTACATTACCCATATACGAATCCTTGAGGATGGCGCCTATCAATCGTCGCCTCCCCCGCCAAACGCGAGTACAGATCAGAAAAAGCCCCGGGTTATAATTGTCGCGGTTCGCAAGTCTGGCCGTGTCCGCATGCACAAGGCGCGAGAAAATGGAAACGGCACATTCTCCATTGGGAAAACATGGCCACTTGACGACCTAACGGCGGTGGAATCCTTCAGCGGCACGACGCCAACTACTCCCGAGGCGGAACTTCGAAGGCAATGGGCTGGGGGCGTCGGCTTCATTGCAGTAATTGGCAAACCATACTATTGGCAGGCGAATACTCCAAAAGAGAAGCAATTTTTTATTGGAAGCCTTGTCAAAATTTACATGAAATACACAGGAGGGAAAGCGCCAGAGCTCATAGGGTTCGACGATCAAGAGAAAGATCAGTTGCTTGGAAGGGCGCCTGGACAGGCACGCCCTCCTGCCCTCAACAAGCCTAGCCAACCAGGCCAACCAGGCCAACCACCGCGTCTTGTCCCCCGGCAAAGGCCCCCAGGACAGGAGCAAAAATCACCTTATGAGGCTGGTCCTGCCTCTGATGCTCGACCCCCAACATCAAATTCACGGATGCAACTTCCTCGAGAAGATTCGGAAACAGAATCATCTACATCTCGTTCGACTGGGCAGCAGCAGACGTTACCAAGGGTGCGCAAGCTAACAGGAGAGAGCCCAAGCCAAGAAGCCTCTACAAGTAGAGATGGTGGCTTGCCACCTCGATCGCGCGGAGGCCTAAATGGTACGGCGAATGTCCCTGGAAGGTTTCCGGACCGGACCGTCACACCTGTGTCGCAAAGGACTCTGACTCCTGACAATACCGGGGTTCCGCGCCAAGCGACACCAGTTGATGAACTCCCTGTAGGAGGAAATGCCCCCCCAGAAAGAAGGAGGCCTCCTTTGCAGATTTCTTCGGAGAGGTCACTCTCCACTGACAACATGGTCCCAGCGCCTTTGGCCACTCCGTCGTCTCAACGGGAATTTGTGAGACCTCCAGCTCGCAGCACGGACAGGCCAGAAGCCCCTCAACCCCTCAGGGTTATTAGTCCGTCAAGCACAGGCTTTGGAGCTCAAGGTGATCGACCAGGAACCGCTCCCATGAAGCCTCTCAATATCACCAAGGAAAGTAACATAACCGAACCTCCCACGGAAGATTCGTCACAGGTCCCTACTGAACCGGCTGTCGAGGTGCCTAAGGAACCTCTAGAGGATGCCAGGCCTGGCCTTGGCCCTATGATTAAGAAAAAGTCGAGAGCTGACGTCGCAAGCGCATTCCGGAAAGCTGCGACCGCTGCAAGCGTGGCCAATTCCTTTAAACCAAGAGCAGGAGGCGCCGCTGAAAGGCTTAGAGAACAGCAAGCCAAATCACCAGAAGGCCCAGATGGGATCAATGGGGTTGTACCAGCTCCTTCTAAGATGCGGAGTGTTAGCAACGATAGTTCACGACGGAAGCCATCGGATCATCTGGTTTCAGAAGAGGCAATTCCGCCGATAGCAGAAGGCCCACTGCCGGAGGTCAAGATTACCGTTGCACCCACTGAGAAATCTGAGGCTGAGGTTGAGGCTGAGAAAACTCCCCCGACAAGCACTTCGAAGCAAGCCTCCCTGCAAAAGAAGCCTCGAGATACCAAACGTCCAAAGCCTACAGAAGAGACACAAAAACAGCTTTCGTCATTGGGTATAGAATCGTCCATTCTTGATGACAGGGGAGCAACTTTCGCGACACTACTGGATGATTTTGGCTGGATGGGGGATGGTATTCATGCTAAGAGTATTGACCAGATGAATGACGAAATCGATCGAGAGCTCAATCAAGCACAAATTGGTGGCTGGTTAAGTCGTTTTGAAGAAGAAGATGATAGGATTGACGCTATCAGGAGAGGTTTGGATATTTCTATAGCCGAATGCGAAGAGCTTGATGGCCTGCTGACGCTCTACGGTGTTGAACTTGGGGTATGTGCTCTAATATTCTATATGGCGTTAATTACTGACAGTTTCAGACTTTGAATGAAGATATTGCGTACATTGAGGCTCAATCACAGGGTCTACAAGTTCAAGCAGCGAACCAGAAGCTTCTTCAGGCCGAGCTAAATTCGCTACTTAAGACAGTATCGATATCACTATCGCAGCTCCAGCCCCTAAAGGAAGCCTCCCTTGAGTCCACACAGGGCCTCGACCAAATTGAAAAGGCACTGGTTTTACTATTTAAGGCTATGATTACGATCGATCCAACACTGAGCAGCCTATCGTCATCTCGTGCTAGTGAAGATGATAGTAGCCGCTCCGGCAAGTTTGAAAATAGCGACATCAGCAGCATGCGCGTCTTGCAGGAAAAGAAGGAGATGTACAAAACAGAAAGCACCCTGTTTCTGCGCCGACTGAAACAATTCCTTCAAGTCAAGTTCGCTGCTGCTTTCGACGAATGCAAAAAGGGGCTAGAGCGACAGAAGGAGTCAGCGCTCAATAGACGGACCGGCAAAAACAAGCTCGATCCGAAAAGCCATGATATGACGAGAAACATCTTGTGGAAATACAGTCCTCTAATGCTCTTCTTGAGAGAGATAGATCGCATCGAGTGGGAAGAGTTCATGAAGATTTACGTATCCGCATCCAGGCCAATATACCAGGAAGAGGCCCGAGATGCTGTGGCAGCATGGCAGCGAAATGCGAAAAAGCCATCGGGGGACGAACATGAAGTGCTTTTTACCTCCCAGGTCGAAAAACAGACCGAGGGTATTGCAACGACAGCGAGGAAATTAACAGTCAAGCGGAGCCAAACCTTAGCAAAGAGCTTGAGGTCGCCGCTTGGCGACAGTGGAAACAGAACACCAGCCGAAAAGGTCCAGGATGGCCGCATATCCCGGTATGAGGTCATCAACAATATTCTTGACGAGACTCTACCCTTCATTATCGCAGAACAGAATTTTGTTGTAGATTTTTTCCATATCTCCTCGTTCGAGACTCAAGACTTTGTCGAAGCTGTATCTTCTGTTCCTGCAGATGCACGACATGGAGGCGACCTTAAGAAATTAAAGCTTATGGATCCAAACCGCGACTTCGCCAGAAAAGTTCTATCCTCGATGCAAGACGAGTATTCCTTTTTCACCAGTGATATGCAACAATTGGTGGAATGGGCTATACGAGATGATCCATTGTAAGTTCATCGTTGTTCTTCAAAAGTATTTTTCTAACGTTTTAATAGGCAAGGAGTGGGTGTTATTGCAGTCATTGAGCGCAAACTCGTTGATATCGAAGAATCCAACCAAGAGTTCCTCGCACGATCCTTGCAGAAGATACACAGTGGCCTTGCAGGACTCTTTGTCAAATTTTTGGATGAGCAAATACGAGCCATCGAGGACACCAAAGTTAAGATCAAGAGGCGCAAGGGGGTCATCGGCTTCATCCGCATATTCCCGCTTTTCTCTGTGATTATTGAGAATATGCTCGTGTCTGCCGACGACCTTGACATTCGCGAGACTGTTAACAATGCATACAACCGGATCAATAAGACAATGTTTGAAAGTCTTAAGGTTATTGCTCGTGACAACACGGGAACTATGGAGACTGGAGCAGGGTCGGAGAACAAGGAAGAGCTTAATCACCAGATTCTCCTCATCGAGAACATGAACCATTATCTGGAAGAGGTGGACCCACGGAGGAATCATGTGCTGGAAGACTGGAAAGAGAAGGCAGGGCAGGAGTTTGATGAGCATCTTGGGAAATACGTTACGGCAGTTATGTCACGTCCTCTCAAGCAACTTCTCCTGTTCCTCGACACAATCGAAACGACCATCCTTACCCTGCCACAGGGCAGTCCTCCGTCCACGATCGCCCAGAATTCACGGCAAAGCAGGATTGCATTCCAGCAGGTACTTGCAGAACACGACTCAAAGTATATACGGAACGGTATTATAGCGCTGAAGAAGCGCGTGGAGAAGCATTTTGGCGATGCGGACGACCCAGGTCTGTCTCGAGCACTGGTTGCAAAGGTTCTAGAGGCTTGCGAGAACTACTTTGAAGATGTTGAGAATAGAGTACGGGCTATTAGCACAGATGTCTATGATGGTGTTCCTGCGGTCGAATGGACCAAAAACGATATCAGTTCGACATTTAGATAGAGGTCGAGCCTATTTTGAGGGGAAGTACGAGTATGTGTGGGGGATTGGATGGGTTATAATGTTGTGCTTGAACGAACAGCCCGCGGCTACTGTTGCACTGTATTTTACCTGTACCGCACCGCGAGATGGACAATGTAATAATGAGTGAAACGTTATCATTTGAAAGCAATGTAGGAATGACGGAATATGTTGATTTAATATGAGTATGTCCAGCGAAATCAGTTGTGAACAGGAGCAGACACCTCAGTCGAAGCTTCCAACTACATCAATAGAACAGAGTTGCTCCTCTCCATCTTCCAATTACTCCACAACCCCGAGAGATTCTAAAGAGTGATATTTAGTTTTGGGCTCACCTGTGAAGGTTGGGTCTTGATGAAGATCTAATCTTTTACCCCGCGATCATCACAGCTATTACTTCCCCACATATAGCACAGGTAGCGTCGGTCACTCTTATCTTATCTGACGGATATTTGGGCTGACGCGCCGCGCTTTCGCGTTCAGTCACTGAGTGCAAAATATCAACCAACGATCAATAAACCACCATGGCGCCCATTAACGAGGAGTTGTTTGATGAAGATGATACCCTTCTTATCAATCCATACGAGGTTCTCGGAATCGAGAAAACCGCGACAGCCAATGAAGTCAAATCCGCATACCGCAAAGCAGCGCTGAAGAACCATCCAGGTGCGTGTCACGCTGCACTCAAAAAAGACTTTATTTCCTTGACACTTTGAACTCACCACCGCTCACCATTTCGTTACTGCACATGCTGACATCCCATCTAGACAAAGTCCCAGCCTCAGACAAAGAATCCGCAACCAAGACCTTCCAAACCATCGCCTTCGCCTACGCCGTCCTCTCCTCCCAAACGCGACGTGCCCACTACGACCGCACCGGCTCTACCTCCGAAGCCATATCATCATCTGACGACTTCTCCTGGTCTTCCTTCTACCGCGCACAGTACGAAGATGTCGTCTCTGACGCGGCCATTGAGGCTTTCGCTGCAAAATACAAGAACTCGGAAGAGGAGAAGGACGATGTGCTTGCTGCTTACGAGAAGGGGAAGGGCGATATGGATGTAGTCTATGAGATGGTCATGCTGAGTAATGTGGTGGTGGACGACAAGAGGTTCAGGGAGATCATCAATGCTGCTATACAAGAGGAGAAGGTCGAGGCATACACCAAGTTTACGAAGGAGTCGGAGAGCTCGAAGAGGAAACGCACCAAAGCAGCTAAGGACGAGGCGAACGAAGCGATGGAGTGTGCGGAGGAGCTGGGGATCAAGGATAAGCTGTTTGGTGGGAAGAAATCTAAGAAGGACGATGGACAGGATGGATTGAAGGCGCTGATTATGAAGAGGCAGCAGGATCGCCAGGAGCAGGGTGAGGGGTTTTTGGATAGGTTGGCGGCGAAGTATGCGGAGCCGGAGAAGAAAAAGAAGGGCGGGAAGGGGAAGAAGAATAAGGCAGAAGTGGATGAGGGGCCAACCGAGGAAGAATTCCAAAAGGCCTCAGCACGGCTGGGGGGGAAGACCCGAGGCAAGACGGACGATGACGACAAGAATACCGAAGGAAGGAGGTCGAAAAGGGTAAAACGGTGATAGCACTGGGGATGATAGTACAGGGTAGCTGAGCTCCGCTGTCATGCGGGAGGTGTGGCGGTGCATTATAGGGCGTTAAGTAGCGTTGAGGGAATTGGCATTGGGGGCAGGGCATGGGGGGTGGATTCAAAGCCATCTGAGACGGCTTAACCCTACAGGTAAAGCCAAAGAGCTTTGCAGGAGCTAAGACTCAAGCTCTTTTTTATTGTTTCTAGCTTGGGAATATCTCTCTCATAGAGACTCGGGCTCAGGATAGGGACTTCAATTATTACATTTGCCCAAAATTGAGTCAACGGCGGTGTTTATGTGTGAATGTGATGGGCTCTCTTAAACTTTCCCACCGTATAATCAACAACGGCTGGAACCATCGACTTCAACTACATCAGTATATACGTGCATCTTGGCACACAAGTGGCGCAGAGGCTAACACTGTTATCTCATGCCAGCGTATTCTAGGGCAGTGTCTGCGCGATTTGTCCCTTGGACAGTGACGTGTATCACTGTTGAAACTACGCAACAAAATGGTGCTGCGCCACTCTTTCTCATATTGAGTGGTTGATTATGGATCACAGCGGTCCAGTGCAGTCCAGTGCTTCCAGTGCATGGCGTTAGCACTGTCTTTGCATGTGGTGATCCAATCTCGTCAATGAAAAGCCTCTTGGCAACGCAATATTGAGTTCAGCTCAACCTTAGACTGGAGTACGCCAAGAATGTCAAGAAGGGACAAGCAGTGTGCTGCCGTCTCTACTTGCACTCGTGTCTGGTAGGTATGTTTGCGATGAGACACAAGTCTGTCTATGGTAGCAAATACACAGTTATAGTCGGTATAGCAGTATATCTTAGAGAGTGAGAATATTGTTTCCTATAACAGAGTTAAAGAAAGGCTGCTGTTGAAGGGTACAACTGATCTCACTGTGAGGTACATACATATTGCATGTACCTTTTCAACTATTTAACGTACGATACGAAGTAGCACCGGCGCGGATCGGGACCACAGTGGTTCCACAGCCAATAAACATCCCCCAATTCTCTTGCCCAGGCTCTGGTCTAGTGCTTGCTGTGGAACTTCCCATACACCCAGTGCACCCAATGCACCCACTGTACCCCCAGGCCAAGTCGTAAGTCCTCCTCCACCACCGCCTTGCACCACATTGACCACCTCAGGATCATCATTCGGACACAGACGCAGACACCTTGAGAGAGAGCAAACTTGAACCACCACCTATTCGACTTCCTTGCCCTGCGCCCACAACTGAAGAACATCCATACACTCACCCCTAATACTCCCACAAATCACAGATCTTCACAAGAAGAAATCCCCAGCCTCTCTCTTTCTCAGCTCTAGAGCTCACTCTCTGCGACAATACATAGCTATCCCGCCTACACAGAACCAGACACACGAAGAACCTGCCCAGATCTGCGCCTGTCGACACGTTCTCTTCCTGACTTTAATCGCTCAGTTTAACTGATCCTGGCCACCTTGTCAAGATTCAACTTCTTCCGCTCCAGAAACGCTCGGCAGTTAGTTGACATGACCACAGCACTAGCTGTCACCCCGCATTACGCTTGAACCTTGGCCGCAATATGAAGCATCTCGAACACTATCAATCACGATTCCCAAAGTTCATAAATAGATAGCATTACCCCGCAGGCAGGAGTTGCATTTGGCTCGTCTGCCTGAGAAACAGTTACAAGGCGCGCATACACGCCAGCGCTTCTCTTTCCCCGAAAGAAATATAAAAGGACCCGGTTGTCTCATATTCCAAGAGAATCTTCAGCCATGGCGGGCCGACCAACCATGTCCATGGAGGCGGCTCTGGATGAGGAGAGATTGGACGTCTTGGAGCTCCTGCAAGGGCTATCGAATAAACCCGCACGAGCGCCCAGAGGACCTGGTAGCCCTATGGGACCAGGACCAGCACCCCTCGGCCGGTCATCGTCGCCATATAATGCTCACCGTTCGCCGGTGAGGAGCATGCTAGACGTAGTGGAAGACCCCAGGCCGCGACATTCATCCATAGCAGGCACGAGTAGTAGCGGGGTCACACCAATTCGCAGCATGCTCGATATTGGGCCCCCCGCACCCCAAATCTCCAAGAGTGCAAGTACCTCTCCGACGGATAGCTTCTCTTCACTCACTCTACCCCCAAAGGGGCTTGCGGAGATCCCGCCGCACCAGCCCCAAGGCCGATACAAGGGCGATGTCACGGATAGCTACCAGTTTTCGGGTTATCTGCAGAGCAACCCAGGCGCGCCGCTAGCCCCAAGAAGAAATACATTGGCTGGCAAGAAGGCGGCGCCTGCTCCCTTGGCTGAGGGTGTACGGGTCGACTTACCATACAGTGCCAGGGATAGAGTGCATGCTATGGGTACAACAGGCATTGGGTCAAGCAACAAGTCTAGATCACCACATAACCGCCACAGCTTGCGCTCAAGTTCCCCTTCTCTTGGACCTCCTCCAACATCGAACATGCTGGTAATGGACAGCGGTGCAGTTGTTGATAAGGACAGCGCGTATAGACGCTTATCTGATGCCAACTTGGCTCGCGCGGGTGGAAGCTTCTCGGCCTTTACAAACAAGGTCCGAAGAAGAACAGATAGCAATGATAAGAGGGACCAGCGACTGCAGAAAGATTATACATTTACTGGCGCTGAAGATGCCGTCGAAAGCAGCGACGAGGCTAGCACAGACGAAGACGGTCCAAGGGGCAGGAGGAGTGAGAAAAAACGACTTAGTAAAGGCGACGATCATCCTGAATCCAAGACTATAGGTATGGGTCGAGCACAGGGGCAAAGGACTGCTCGGAGTCTAATGGCTGCAGCGGAAGAAGAAAGGCAGATGATCGAAGACAAGCAACAATACAAAGTCAGATCACTTCTAGAGCCAGAGATCACCATTACGGGGCCAGGTGGTGATCGACTCAAGGGTGCAGCGAAGCCAGGAGTTCATCCAACGAACGCGTTTGATCATGAAGGCGGCTCAGGGCTAAACACCCCTCATGATTCCGATACGGAACAGGAAATCTCTGACATAAGGCGTGCTCAGAGGCTGGCGATAAATCTCACTCCTATCACATCAACACCAGAGACACAGAGAAGCGTTAGGACTCTATTCCGTGGTGATTTTAATCAGATGCAAAAGGAAGCCGAGGAGCATCAGCGACGCGTGAGGAAATACTTGGTCGCGACCGATCTTTCGGAGGAAGCCGCCCACGCTCTCGAGTGGACAGTAGGGACTGTTCTGCGTGATGGAGATACTCTCCTCGCCATTTATTGCGTGGATGAGGAGACAGGCGTCATCCCTGACACTAACATCGGGTCAACCGATACAGCGACAATGGAGAAACAAGCTGCCTCCATTGCGTCCGCGACCCACGCTATCCCCCCAAGCATTTCGAGCTTCTCTACTATGTCTTCTCACTCTCACATCCCATCTCCACTGGGTACGCCGCGGACTGGCGTGTCTGCCTCACCTATGAGCCGCGATCGACCTCGCACTGAGCAGGAGCGCCACCGCGCTGTCGAGAATATCACAGAGCGAGTTTCGAAGCTGTTACGGAAGACGAAGCTGCAAGTACGCGTTGTTATTGAGGTTATCCATTGCAAGAGTCCGAAGCATTTGATTTGTGAAGTGATTGATTATTTCAACCCGACATTGGTTATTCTGGGAAGCAGGGGCAGAAGTGCGCTTAAAGGGTATGTAAATCCATTTCCACTATCTTATGGATGAGGATACTAACAGAACCAGTGTCATTCTGGGATCTTTCTCAAACTATCTTGTCACGAAATCTTCTGTGCCTGTCATGGTCGCTCGGAAACGCCTTCGGAAACATACCAAGTATAAACGGTCTCACGTACGGCTTGCAAACAACCTTACTGGTGTCAGTGGCAAGACGTTGGCAAGTGCAAAGATTGATTGAGGTATCGGTTTTAAGAGCCCGAATTGGATAACCTGATGGCCGGCAGAAACGAATGAGAAGCTTCGCGCGGAGTATCGATACTTGCTGTCTACACGCATGTGTCCTGATAGCTAACGGGGACGCGGGTGGGTGGCAATCTTTGGGAGGCTACATTGCACAAAGCCCTAACATGAGGTGCTCGGCCAATTATAATAATATTGATCAAAGTACTCTCTCTCTATTCTGAATTTCACGGAAATTGTAATGGTGGCACGCAAACAAGCCTTTAATGAGGACACTTTAAACGTGGCTACGTAAGAATCCACATGACCCCCCTTTTCCTCCCCCTCCGCGTCCCACAGATCTAGAGTCTCTCCCCAACCACTTAAACCTTATAACAATCGGTCTGGTAAGAGCTAATCTGATTGTCCGCCCCAAAGTTACTCGTATCGGCAAACCTGTTCCTGCACCAGCTCTGGCCCCAGTTGGTACCCGTACAGCCTAGCCCTTGATACATGCTGATGCAGCAGCGGGTGGTGGGGTTCGTCTCGGAGTTGTCGGAGTACCACCGCACGGAGGAGATCTTGTTGTTCAAGCTGCCGACGCTGTGGCAGGCGGAGCCGGTGCCGCCGGGGCCGCTGGCGGTGATGGAGGGGCCTTGGCCGTCTTTGAGTTGGTAGAAGTAGACGCGCCAGGCGGTGGTGGTGGGGGCGAGGGTGAGGGCGGCGGCGGTGAGGAGGAGGGAGAGCTTCATTTTGGGTGCTGCTGAGGTTGGTTATGGGGAGGCTTGTTGGGAGGTGGGTTGGATTACTGACAGATTGTCGACTAAGAGGTTGGGATGGAGGTAGTTCTTTTGTTTTGGAAGCTGTAGATATCCAATTCTCATATATATCTACGTTCGTTGACATCATATTTATATTCTTCTCAAGCCAACTTCGACTCTGAGCTTCACTACAGCGTGTTCTCATAATGACTCTCCATTGGTTAAATGAGCCATATCCATCTTGTAAACTCCTTCTGTATTCATCATGATAGCAAAAAATAAGCAGTAACTGTACATAGTCTGCACGAAGATATCGATAACTTCCTCGGCCTGTCTTAAAACCCGATTCCAGAGTCAGTGTTGCTGTTGAAGATTTGGTCAGTCAACGTATGGTAGGCACGTGCTATGGTACTCCCTATGTTTTCATAAGTGCAAGAATAAGCAGTAACTACGCATGGGCTAAAAGAAGAATCATTGGTTACTTTCCCAGCTTTCTCGGGTCTTTACATGACCCGATCCGCAGCTCATGAACTCTTGGCTTGTCAACGCATGGCAAGAACGTGCTATGAAGACCCTATGCCATTCGTTGAAGAATTTTAGATTAGGGTAGTACCGATTTAAAGATAACGTTATAGAATTTTGGGAGACGAGCTAGAAATGGAACGCTTGTTCCTGGGTATAAAGCGAGAGTAGATGGAAGGATGGGTCTTTTTAACATGTCAAAACAGCAAAAAAAAAACATACAACAGTGGGTATTCGCTGGTGGTCACCCACCCAACTACTAATCCACCGATCTCAAGCTTGTGTATGGCAGAGCGGACGGGATGCCCAATTCTCTTGAGTCTATGGTCGTATGTGACCTTTGTGTAATGTGTTGAGACTTACATACTAGTGTGCTAGAGGGATGGTTTGAGGCTGGCGGGGGGACATTGTCCCTGCATCATAAATTCTGCCGTTCTAGTTGGAAATGATATACCTGCCTAATCTCATTTCCTAAAACCCTACTCTATAGGTCCCTCCTAGATACGAGATGGCAGAGCGTGCGAGATGCCCGATTCTCTCAAATCTACAGTCGCATATGAGACTTACTTGCAGAGTTGGCTACAAGTACAGTTATGGAGTGAAAATAACGGTGCTGCCTTACATAATAGGCGCCAACAATATTTATATGGAGAGATACAGGCACGTCACGTGCACATCGTTAGTAAATCTCTGTTTGGCGAAACTAGGGCCAAGCTCATTATACGCTAGCAAGCATCGACTACAAATATCGATATTTCACCAATCCTCTTCCTTTAACTTCACGTTCAGACCTACATTACTTCTTTGCTGTACAACAAAACCGCGACCCCGTTGCAATATGTGTTTCACTTCAGTGAAATACGGCGCGGCTAGCGATCAGCTGTATCGGCTTTAACTAATATCGCGACGCGATTAGCTTCACACTATGGTATGTCATCTCAACTTTTACATTTACGTTGCCTTCACCTGGAAACAATCTTCAAATGATTATTATATACCAAACTAGAGTTTCTGCAGCCTTAGGGACTCGATATCCCAACTGGCGATGCTGATTTATGCATGTCAGAATGATGAAGACTACATCTATTTCATTGTGTTGGAAAACATTTGACGCTCGAGCTCAATGCTAACTTGCTGTCACAGATTTGCTACCATTTAGTGTTCCCAGAGATCTTCGCATTGATGGCTCCAGGTGCAGCAAAACTCAATATATGGTATGTACGATTTTTTATTTCTCGCTGTACCCAATTGTATGCTATGATGGCACTGTGTTTAACGCAGGAATTACCGACCGATAAGACCTCGTCTTTGTGGAAACAATGGCTAAAATTCTGAGCTTACTTCAAACTCTTCACTTTATTGATGTTGTTTTACCTTGAAACGGTTGCTAACCTCTTCAAAAGAAAGGTACGAACTATTCGATCACACTCCACACCCACCTGCAATAGGATGAATCGGCACTGGGCTCCGACAGTCTCGACAAGATCGAGCTGGTTTATGACAGGAGATGCCTCTTTGCGGCAAGACTTAGAAAACCTCGCCCACTGAACGCAGTCAACAACATGCTGTTTTACAAATATGTCATGAAGTTTTCATGCTGACATCTTCAGTGCTCCATTATCCAATGGCACACTTCAAGTTGCGAGCGAGGGATCAATTCATCCTTTCGGCTTGGTGCCAAATTGCTCCATGATGTAGGTACACGATTTTTTCTTCTTCTACAACCAATACATTTCCTACCTGATGAGCATTTTAGATGACGAGTCTGATCGCGGTTACGCATGTAGACACAAATCAAATTATACCATTCATGCCTTCTGAATTATTTTATCCCACGTATTGGTGGAAGATGTTTTAAGCAAGTCATGACAAGAAGCTAACACATATCTCAGAGGTTTTACATAACCATTCATCTCGGGCAACATGGCCAGAGACATTCGTCCATGTGTATGTATACTCTTATTTCATTCAAGAGATCCAAGCATAGTGATGACTTCGACCGACAAATGACAAGCATATGTCCAAGCTTCACAGCAACGACGAGACTGTCCGGACTGATTGTGCTCATCACGATTCTTTTGCGCAATGATTTCTTGTTGAATGGCTGCTGAGAATCCTGTTTACAGTGACGTCTCTGGTCAAAAATACCACGCAGGAGCCGATTCTGTTTTACCATCTCACCATGTGTGAAAATTTGTAAGTTACCAACGTCCAAATCTTGCGACTCGAATTGTTTTTTTTAAATGATGATATAATTATCACGACGGTCAACATAAGCCACTTGTTGGTATTGATGATATCGCCTGTGACAGGGCAATTTAGATCTGATATCTCGACTATTTTTATTTTTTCAAATTTTTTCTCTTGGAAGACATAACTAATAGCTCTCGATAGTGAAAACATGAACATCTGGCATACTGCTTATTATTTTTCATTGAGAACGTGGCCTTGAGCCACGACTTGAAGAAGATATGGGTTCGAAGCAGGATGAATGGATGGCATGGGAGCGATCGACCTCTGCGATAAAACTGTTGAGGAAATTCAAACGGGCGAACAATCTTGACTGTATTGCTGTCTCGTCATGTGAACGTAGACATAAACCAGTATCGAATGCGGCACTTTACGGTCTATAGTATCTAAGCAGCCAAGTCGTGGGGAGACCGATTACACTTATCTCTTCATGTGCGAAATCCAATCATAGCTAAATGCTACTTAAGAGCCAAGGCAGACAATCCCATGGCGAAAAATGCTGGGGAGATAGTACTGCGGCAAACTTTCAGCCTCAGCTTCAAGCAGATATTAATATATAATTGGTATCACAGCAGCTATCCAGAACATATATCTCGCCCCATCAACCAAGCCTAACCTTCTTCCAGATCCCAATTGACTCCTGTAGATCTTTCGACAACGAGCCGTCTATCGGTTCCACGGAACCATAAACCATAGCCAGCACCAAGCTCGCAAAAGCAAACACAACCAGCTTCTCCTTGAGCATCAGATAATCCGCTTTGCGTATCCCACCTCCCTCCACCCACCCTCTCCACGCATCCAATACCTCAGCCAAACCATTCGAAAAGTCTGGCTCGGTGAGCATCCTATGCAGCACAACCTCCATAACCTCCGGAAGCTCCGCTTTCTCGGCAACATGGTTCTGCTCCTTGAGCCAACGAAGGGTATGTTCACCAACCAGCAGCGCCTTCCACTGCGGGCTCTGCAGCGCTTCAAGCATCCTCGTTTCCTCGCGCTGTACTGCAAGTCGGCGCCTCTGGTTGCTATCATCCACAAAGTCCTGGTGTTGCTTGAATTGCCTGTCTCGTACGGCAATGGCGCGTTTATCGGGGGTCATTGAGCTTTCTTGCCGCATTGCAGCCATGTTATCGCGCATTCGGCGCATTTGCAGGTCTCGCTCTTCAGCGACGGAATCGCTATGGTCGGTGTACCATTCGGGAGTTGAGATTATGGGAACCATTCCCAGCAGGACGAGGATGCCGCAGGGGATAATGGGGCTTCGAGAGAATGCTAGGAATGGAGGGGGGATGTGGTAGGACCACAGGACGGTATTGTTTGTAGTGCTGATGGCGGTGCTGATGCATGAGAAGTATGTGCCGGCGCTTGTAGGTGGCCCTGACGAGGAAGGGCGTAAATGAGATATGGAAAGAGACTCGAAATCCAAGGCTTCTTCTCTTAAGGCGGCGGCGATGCCACTTGATATTATGTGGCACCGAACCACGTCAGTATGTGACACCGTATTACTACTGTACCTCTTCACAGCTTCTAAATCTTTATTGTCGCCAGGAATCAAGTCTCCTGATATAGCTTGTGGGAGCTCCAGATCCTACTCGTTTGTCAGTCACTGTCTTGATCCAATGGTATTTCATTACCACTTACTTCCTGATCAGCAGGCGCCTTTGTGGTAGCTGACAATCCATCTTCGGACATGCTCCCTTCCCCATCTTCCACGGGGTGTGCCTTCGCCCGTGGGGCCTTAACTTGTATCCAGTATGGTGGGAGCGATGTCTTCCCTCTCACAACCCACTGTCGCGACCACCTAACCGCCAACGAGAGCATTCCATCCGAGTCATCCAAAGGAGCAATCGTTAGCACAGCTTCATGGCGATCCGGGGATAGCATCAAAGGAGTCCCAATCGGAACCCATAACCCAGAAGTCCTAAGCATCTGAAACCCCGCAGCATTTGGAACCGCCCCTAGGTCAAGCAGATAGCTCAGCAGGTCCTCGAAGTTGATTTCAGCCTGTGGCTGACGCAGTTGGTCTGAATATTCGATTCGCTGGGTTTTGATGCCAATGGCATGCATCTTCCAGTTGAATATCGTCCAGCTGCCGCCAGGGACGAGGCTGGGGTGTTCGTAGACATTCCAGTACTCCTCTGTATCATACTGGCGATTCAGGGGCGCTATACTGAAGCGCGCAAGCTCGCACTCAATGACATGATTTACCACATCGCCTCTTGTTATGCCCACCAGACGGGACTTTCGTAGTAGTCGTCTAACCTTGGACAATGTTGCTAGCGTTATCACGGTGTTGTAGAGAATAGGGGCAACTCCGAGGACGGCGAGGGGCACACCGACATAGGTGATGATATCGGAAGCAGATGAATTGCCAGACATGTTTCGCGATCAGTCATGGCGCTTGGGAAATAGGTATAGAGCAGTCATTATGGGTATCTATGATCTTTCTTCAAAATGAGCGCGGGCCATCTACACACACAGCCTCGCGGTCAGCCTCAACCACCCTGGTAGCTTTTTTTTCTAGTCGTGACTAAAATCCTAGCGACGATAATCGATAGTCGCTACGACAGGGCATGACAGCGCTATCGGCAGCACGGCACGATGCCCAGAAAGGGTGCAACGCCAACAGTCAATAGTGGATTTCTAACCCCGCGTTTTGCCAATACTAGCAGCTCCCCACCGCCCATCCCTCGCTTTAGCACCTATTACACCCTCAATAAAATGTCTCTACAACATTTACATCCTATGTTATCAGCAAGTAATAGGTCCATATAACGAAGTTTCTGCTGTCAGGTACGCTTATAAGATTCTTCCACTTAAAATAACACCCATTAAGCCCCCGTCCTAGCCGTCTTGAGCTCCCTGATAAGGTTCTAACGATCATAGTAGCCACCTTTAGCTCTGGAAAGGCCATTGAGGCCTTATCCGCAAGTTTGAGTAACGAAGCGCCACTGGGACGGGACAATATTCAAAATGGCAAATTTAAGCATTTCGGCGATTGCCTTCGTGGTCGTCTTCCTCTTCGGCCTATATAAATTTGTCATCTATCCTGCTGTCATATCACCGCTCTCCAAGATCCCAAACGCACACTGGAGTGCGCCATTTTCCCCCCTTTGGATCCTTTCCGTTCGGTGGAGGTGGACGGAGAATCATGACGTTCGCGCTGCTCATCTGAAGCTTGGACCTGTAGTGAGGTTGGGACCAAACGAAATTAGTGTTGGCACTATAGATGGAGGCGTCAAGACGATTTTTGGTGGCGGTTTTGAGAAGGGGGATTGGTATGCTGTGTTTGACAATTATGGGTATGTGAACCACCGGATATGATGACATGTGTTTCTGATCATCATGCAGGGTCCAATGCACATTCTCGACGCTTCACGGCCGTCCCCATTCGGCAAGCAAGCGTATGGTGTCTCATACATACTCAAAATTGGCTTTGCAGACGTCTCCAGCCGTAACCGCACAGGCTCAGAGTATACTATACGAGAGGTTGCTGCCCACCCTCAAAGCGTCTGCGAGCCCGTCTCAAAAACCACAGGGAATCGATGTCCTGCAGCTTTGGTATGCTCTAAGCATGGATACTATCACGGCTTATCAGTTCGGGCTACCAAACTCCACTGATTTCGTTCGTGATACTGCCTATCGATCCCACTGGCTGGAGTTGTATCTGAGCCGGAAACCCTACGTATACTATCCGCAAGAGATTCCTCGTTTGACTTCATTCCTGAGCAAGATCGGCTTTCGGCTTGTCCCGAGATGGGTAGATGGTGCGAATGATGAGATCGAGGCTTGGGGATTGGGAATGTGCAGGGCTGCCACGGCTTCCAGCAATAAACACTCGTCGTATTCTGACAACCCAGCCGAAGAACCTGTGGTTGTCAGGGCCATGCTCAAAGGCATCCAGAAGGAAACCAATAAGGAGCAGTCGATTCTCTCTTGTCGTATTTCCAATAGCACGGAGCTCATGATCGCTACAGAGATGTTGGACAATCTTGCAGCGGGCCATGAGACGTCGGGGATCACCCTTACATATGTAACATGGCATCTGTCCCAAGATCTCGAGCTGCAAAAGGCTCTCAGGGCAGAGCTTCTTACGCTAGACCCTCCTCTGAAATATTCACCAGAACAGATCAAGGAAGGATCCCCGCTACCAGATCTTCCTAACCTGAAGACCTTGGACTCGTTGCCACTTCTTCATGCAGTTCTCAGCGAGACCTTGCGACTCAACGCCGCAATTCCCGGATCTAGTCCTCGGGTAACACCTTATCCCTCCTGCAACCTGGCTGGTTATGAAGTTCCAGGCGGTGTCAGGGTCTGCTCCGCTGCGTGGACTTTGCACCGCAATGCAGATGTCTATAACCAGCCAGAGGTATGGGATCATACTCGCTGGCTGGACGGAGACGGTAAGTCAGGAGAGGAGACGAAGGAGAGAGACAAGTGGTTTTGGCCTTTCTCGAGTGGCGGCAGGATGTGCATTGGGAACAATTTCGCTATGCTTCGTAGGTCTTTCCCTGTTCTTGCATGCCCCGTTACTAACATCAGTCGCCAGAAATGAAACTCGCAATTGCATCTACGTACACAAACTTTACGTCCCATGTCGTCTGCGACGATGGGATTGAGCAGGAGGACGGTTATACAGCTTCGCCGAAAGGCAATAAATTGATATTGCGGTTTGAGGATGTAGAGGAATAAATATATTTATAGTTAAAATAGCTTAAATATATTTTCAAGAGCGGCCTTTTTTAATACATATGTTTCCGTGACAAAAATATTATTTATTGACCGAAACAACAATAAACTAAATAATACCTCTGCGGAAATAATCGATTATTGCGACAAGTACGAATAACATTTTGACACATAACTACAACATAGACACAACGAAGACAAAGCATATTGCGGTTGCTGAAACAAACTCACGGACTTGCATAGGCTGACCCCCTAAATCTAAAGACAACCCACTAGAGAGAGGTATAGATATATACAATTCCAGATCCATAAGCAGCGCCAATACCGATGAATGCATTTAATTCGACCCATTCTTGTACTTACCCTCCCGCTTCTCGACATACGCCACCAGAGCCTCAATCGTAACAACCGTAAGCCCCCATTTCTTGCCAAACGCCAAGCACCCTTCCGTCCTCATCATCCCCGGCTCCTTCCTCAGCGCCTTGCCCGGAACAACCTCCCCATCCTCCACCAACTCACAGCAAATACCCACCAACTGCTTACCCGCCAACCGACAGAACTCCACCGTAGCCTCAGTATGCCCAGGGCGCTGCCTCACCAACCCCTCCCTCGCCTGCAGCGGGAAGACATGTCCCGGCCGCCTGAAATCCTCCTTCTTCGCGCCCTTCGCGCCGAGCATGCGGCAGGTCAGCGCGCGGTCCTGCGCGCTGATACCGGTCGTTGTGGTGGGGTGGTTCGCATCGATCGAGAGCGTGTATGCGGTGCTCTTGGGGTCTTCGTTGTTGACCACCATCTGGGGGAGGCCGAGGTCGACGCACAGCTCTGGGACGAGGGGTGCGCAGATGAGACCGGAGGAGTATCGGACCATGAAGGCCATCTGCTCCGGGGTTACGTCCTCGGCGGCGATGATGAGATCGCCCTCATTCTCGCGTCCGGGGTCATCGAGTACGACTACGAATTCGCCATTTTCTGTCACTTTTTGTTAGTCCGAGGCTCGCTTTGGGGTATTCCCAGACCCTCGATTGCGGGAATGCGGGGTAATTGAAAAAAAGTTGAGAAGTTGAGACTTACTGAATGCTGCGATGGCATCTTCTATTGAGTCAAACTGGTCCGCCCCTCCTGCTACTGCGACTGATGAAGGCATTCTGTGTATTTGTAGTGTACAATCGTTCCACAGCGTTCCGGTCGGATTCCCCAAATTGTGTGGGTAACTTAATAAGCGGGCGATCTGGAGGGGTCTATTGGAATATATAGACGAAGTAGACGAAGTTGTCTCAACAAAAGGCGAATTGGGTTTCTTATGTGGTTGGAAATGGGTTTAAGGGGAGTGAAAGAGTTGCTGAATAAGTCAAGGAAAGAAAGCAACTGCGGTTATGTTATCTTTACAAAGCCGACGCTCGGTGTTCGGTCATCACAAGCTCGGGTCGTGACTCAAGGTAGTGCCGTTGCTTCTAGTCTGGCAGGCCGGAAGATACGTCGGTCCGTCTCCGAGTACCGCCCATCATTTTTGACAGCCTTGCGCGTTTACCCTGGAATGAATTTAGAGCCGCGCCGCGAAGCTTTGGGAATCTGGGGCCACAGCATTGACCGTCATCTACGACCACCAGACGGCGTTATACCCTGCCTTACCATCTGATCTGATCAAGAGAGTGGTATTGGAGATATATCAGCCAGGGTCCACGCAGGGCCTCAGCCGCCCATTGCACAATGCGCCCTTCAACGAGACGCAGCATCGACCTGCTCGTGCGGACTGCTACCCGGACGGCACGCCAACATCAACACCGTCACTTTTCACAAACACGGCACTCACCCTCTTCGGTAAACCCAGAAGAGGTATCTCACTTCAATGCCCTCGCCTCGGCCTGGTGGGAGCCGCACGGCTCGTCGCGACTCCTCCATCTCATGAACCCGCTCCGCCACGACTTCATCCAGCAGTGCCAGAAGACCTACGGGGCGGCACCAGCTCACGAACTACGATTCCTTGATATTGGCTGTGGGGGAGGGATATTTGCAGAGTCCGCGGCACGATTACCATCTACAAAGTCTGTGACTGCGATTGACCCGACGCCTGGGGTGCTCGCCATTGCAGAGGCACATAAGAAGCAGGACCCTTCGCTGAGCAACAAGCTCACATACCTCAATACATCTCTCGAGGAGCTACCTGTGGGCGAGATGTACGATGTTGTCAGTGTATTCGAAGTGATCGAGCATATCACGACGCCCGCCACGTTTCTGGACGAGGTAGAGAAGCATGTGAGACCGGGCGGGTGGCTGGTGATGAGCACGATTGCGAGGACATGGATGAGCTGGTTCACGACGAATTTGGTGGCCGAGGATATACTGGGGATTGTACCGAAGGGGACACACGACTGGGAGAAATACATCAATGTGGACGAGCTGGAGAAGTACTTTGCAACGAAGGGCGGATGGAGCAAGGCGGTGGTGCAGGGGGTGGTGTATGTTCCAGGTGTGGGATGGAAGGAGGTGGAGGGGAGTGAGAAGATAGGTAATTACTTCCTCGGTGTCAGGAAAGACACCGTTGCTTGAGGCTGTGGGTGGTGGTGGTGGTGGTGAAAAGGGATATGTACGAGTATGGACACATTGGTCACATTGGGCACATTGGGCGCGAGGCGTGACTGGATACGGGAACTTCCAACCCGCCATGGGGGAGCATTACAGCGGGAAAAAGGAGTCGAGCATACGAGCAGTAGTATTAGCAGCAGATTATTTCCCTGAATGAGGTATGTTTCTCCATGTTCTCCGTGTACATGAATAGGACATGAATACCGTAATAGACGGGAAGTGCTTGGCAGCGCGCAATGGTCCGAACAATACCATGGTAGTACATCCGGTACAGAAAGCCTCGGGCACCAGAAGGATCCACCCCTGGGCTTCTAGAAGGAATTTTTTCATCCGTCGCACTCTCCGGCAGGGGCAGCCTTGCATCTTGCATCTTGCATTGACTCCTTGTTCGGATGTATACCATGCAGTTCAGGAGTATGGGTAATCAGCGGAAATTGAGCACAGGGCGGGGGGCGAGCGGGCCCCCAAAGAGGCTACTCTCCCCCTGCCAGGCTGATGGGAAGGGAGGGAAAGTTTGTTTCGAAGACGCGTCGTGCATCACGCTTGCAGGCGCAAGGAGGTCCGGATAGGAGAGTTAGAGTACTCTATTCGGAGGAACCTTGCAGAAAGTCCGCTCCTGGCATTTCGGCGAATGTTCATTGTTTTGTGTCACTTTCTGGAAGTACACATGGAAGTGTGCACTCTGCGGGAACTTCTGGAGGCTGCATGGATCCACAGGGACTCACAGCACAGGACTCAGTCGGGGATGTGAGAAGGCCTAACGCGTCGGTCCGTCCGTGTTGCTCTCTCATGAAACGACGAGCCGTGTTGAACAATAATGCGGGGAATGGCGCAGCACGAGATCACGGCGCCGAGGGAAGAGTAGTGGAGGAGTAATGGAGGAGTAATGGACGAGTAATGGACGAGTGAGTAGTAGAGGATTACCACACAGAACCACACAGAACCACAATGTGGTACGCTCATCCGGGAAGATCCTCTTGGAAGAGTACAGCAGAAAGAAGGAACTATAGTACCTTGCATACATGCATATGTGCATACCCCCTTCGTTGATTTCAGCCCGCCCAATTTCCGCAACCTGGTCCCCGCACGACCCTCGAGGAAGACACCCCTGGCCGGTTGTTATGCTTCCATTTCTTCTGGAAGGTGGCCAAGTCCGGTCGATCAGGCCGGGCGGTTTTTCGCACTGATCACCGTGTGGTGGTGGGGATGGGCGTGTGGATGGATGGTGGGTGTGGTGTGGGTGTGTGGGTGTCCTGAGTAGTAAGAAAGTAAGTAAAGTAGTAAGTAGTTGGATCCCAGATCCCATTATCCCATGCAACATGCAACATGCAACATGATGCAACTCTCCATGCACTCACTGCATGCACTGCGCATTGTACGTACATACAGGAGAATCCAGGGCAAACAAAACAAGAATAAAATGAGTAGAGTAGTAGAGTAGTATGCTACAGATTATACTAGCACTGCTTGGAGGAAACATCATTTCATGGCGACAACAGGGGGGAGGAGGATAAAAAAAGAAGTACTCCTTTTGGAGAAAAGAGAAATAGGGAGGGAGCCAGGAGTAGGAGTGGGGAAATGGCACTCTCGGCGATCCCCTTTACCTACTTCGTATATAGTATAGTTTAGTAAGTATAGTATATGCGTACTGTAGGGGGTGAGACGGGGAAAGACAATCGTTGTCATCGTTTTTTGTCAGCTTGCCTAGGAGAGAAGGCCCGCAGAAAAAATAAACTGATGGTAATAATAGATAGTAGTAGTAGTAGTAGTAACACAAATAGCCGTAATAACAAATAAATGATGGCTAGAAAGGATAGAATATAGAATACAGAATGCAGAATATGAAATATATAGCATTGAACGCACTGTAAACTTTGAACTTGCGAAACCCCATGAAACAGAGCAACTGAGCATCTGTGCCCTATCGTCGTCGAGACCACTCTACTACTCTACTGATACCCATACCGCCCATACCGTAGTACCACAACTCTACATGCCAACCGACTAGATTAAGTAGTATCGGAGTAAGTAGCCGTAAAGTACCAAGGGATGTGTGCGCTACCATAGTACTACCACAGTATGGCAAGTTAGTATAGGATTAGTAGAGTTAGTAGGGAAGTTAGTAGGGAAGTTAGTAGGGAAGTTAGTAGAGAAAGTTACTTTGCCCAGTAGCCCAGTAGCGTACTCGGTAGCTCCCTTGATCAATCACTTTCGAACTCGCTCCCCTTCCCCATCAAACCACCCAAGTAACTAATTATTATACCAAACCAACCGCCAACCAAAACACTCAAACGCCCACCACAGCCCAAAAAAAAGCCACAGAGACATGGAAAGAGACACTCACTTATTATAATACCGCCCTACTGTCTGACTCTCCACCATCCGTCCTGTCCTGTCCTCTCCTGTCCTATACTTAGTACAAGAAAGGGAGCACGCACGCGGTTTTATCGTCGTCCCAAGCCTGTCTCCCCTCTCCCGAAACATCTACACGCCAGGCAAAAACTCGCATGCGCCTCATACTTCTTCCCATCTCCCCCTTTGTTATTATCACCAAAAAACACCACGGCTTCACGCATACCCAACATATAATACTGTATTGATTGCATCGCGCATACTCCGCCTACCCTCAGTCCGGCGCCAAATCTGGCATCACCCTGTCGCGCGCGAATTCAAAAGGTTAGTTGCAACTATCCCCGAATGCGACTTCCCCGTCTACCAAATCTACTTTACTTTCTCTCGCCGAATTCTTGCTGGCTCCTGTTCGCTCTTTTGATTCCTTACGCCATCTGGATTTATTCACAGGGAAGGGCCTAGTTGCTAATTACCCTTTTGCAGAAATACCGCCAGGCTTACATCCGTTTGACAACCCGATTTTCGAATTTCTCGTGTCCCCGACGTATTCACTCGCCATCCCAAAATATAGCGGTGTATGCACCAACAGCGACCTACCTTTCTCACCGCGCAAGACCCTTGATAGCCATATCTGTTTGAACTGCTTTCCGAAACATATCCATAGTCTCACGGCAACCAGCTACGGTCGTGCTTGACCGGACGAACCCCTGATCCGAGCGCGGGATTGCCTCAGCGAGGCCTCTCTATAAATCCCCGCCTGAAGTATAAAAGGTTCAGCCTACACGATGTCGAACATGAACCAGAACCAGAACCCGGGCGCGAATGGTGGCGCGAGCATGGACATCACGAACATCCTCAACACCAAAGGAGGCGCCGCGGCTGCTGCTGCGGCAGCAGGAGCTTCACCATCCGACCACACATTCCATCAACAATTAATGCATGCTGCTGGCGGCCAAGCAAACTCGGAGACGGCCTCTGAACGCGGCGGATCTCCTCATGGATCAGAACATTCGTCTCGGTATTCAGGACCCCCGTCCATGGGACACATGAATGGAATGGGCAACGGCATGCGATATCCATCCCCGACGGCGATGCAAAGCCCATTACCGATGCAAGCAGGATTCCGCAATGATGGCTATGATGGCAGCGCCCCTCAACACCAAGAAATCCCGCGATCAACAGGAAGACTACCGCCCGGACATGGTGTAACACAACAAAAGGCTTTCCCGTGTAGTGTATGCCAAAAAGGCTTTGCTCGTAGAAGTGATCTTGCTCGTCATGGTACGTAAAATGCACAATCATGCCGGTCTATTTGGCCACTAACATGTTACATAGAACGAATTCACAGTGGGATAAGGCCTCACGTCTGCGACTATCCGAATTGCGGCAAACAGTTCATCCAGCGATCTGCGCTCACGGTGCATGCGAGAGTTCATACCGGCGAGAAGCCTCACATGTGTGAGAGATGTGGAAAGGTACGTGTCACTGTCATTATTCATGTTGTAGACACCAACTAACTCCAACTAGCGTTTCAGCGATTCTAGTTCGTTAGCCAGGCACCGAAGGATACACTCTGGCAAGAGGCCATACAAATGCCCTTACGCAGACTGCCAAAAGACGTTCACGAGACGCACCACTCTCACGCGCCATCAGAACCATCATACTGGCACGGTTGAGGAAGCAGCTGCGGCTACAGCAGCCGCACTGGCCTCCCGAGCTGGCAGCAACCGATCAGGGCGTGGTCCGCGCTCTGATGGTGAGCAGTACTCCGCTACTGGATCGCCGATGTCAACCCCATCGCCTGGTCAACGTACCCACTCGATGTCCCCCAATGCCGAGCTTGCCCCCATGAATGGCATGCAACGCCACATGGGTGACTATCCTTATATGAACAACAGCTCTTTACCTGTGCACCTCCGCAATGACTATGCTCAACACGTCCCCATGCAAAACGCACCATTACCCCAAAAGCAATCTCAGTATCCCAATAGCCAACGACCAACATCCCACCCCACTGGCTACGGACCCCCGCAGATCTTGGAGCCCCCAGCGAACCCTCAGTCTGCCGGAAGTGCGAGCGGCGGTAGCCCGCATATGAGTAACGCAGGGTGGCATTCACCCAGCAACATGCCTAGCCCAACCAGCCAGAGCAATGGCTATGTGTATCCTGACCCAGACCCCTATGGAAGCGGGGGCATGGGCCACATGTACTACCCAAATTCGAATATCCGTCGCCCGCAAAGCACTGAGCCTGATAGCTACGAGACCAAGCCGCGGTTGAACGAGCTCTGGACTGCAGCACAGTAATAAGGCGACGTGGAGAGTGAGGAGTCTAATTTATCGAGGCGTCAGGCTGCGGATCTTTTAATGTGGGGAGAAAGGAACTGTTTGATTCAGGATGGGTGTAAATTGGACAAAGGCCACAAGGAAGGGCCTGTGCGAGCGGTTTGTTTTACTGTACTGTACGACTGATATCCTACTCATAGCTGATCAGCATATGCGTCATATGAATTTCCTGTGTTTTAACTAGATACTTGTTCGCTTATAGAACACGCCTTTGTTTTTTTTGTTTATTATATCATCACGAACTTGCTTAGTTAGTTGCCTAGAAGAGGCAATGCAAACGTCAACTCTATTCCACCTTCATGAACTCCCTTCGTCTTATGTGCATACTGTGTTTGGCTCCGAAATGTGTTTCAACCAGCTAGCTGTTTGACTGGCATCTATTCGTAGTTTTAAAATACAGTCCTATTCTAGGAGCTATCTTTGTGCTCTATCTACCCTACTTCCGCTCCTTTCCCAACAATTCGCGTCCTCGGCCGTCATCAACACAAGGAGTTAATATTGCGCATCTTCTTGGGGCTTCGAAGATTTCGTCTCCGCTTTAGCTCAAATACTCCTTAGATTGTGAGGGGATATTCAGCTAGCCTTGTGCATATCAATGACCTTCTGCACCTCATCGTAGCTGCCCATAAAGATACCAGATCTATCGTGGATATGCTCCGGTACGATCTCCATCATGCGTTGCATCTTGCTGTTCACCGCTTGTCCACCAGCTGCGCAACCATTAGTACACATCTCAATCAGTTTTGGGGGAGTGGAATAGAGAGAGACATACCGTTCTCAAAGACCATAGCCATAGGCGCGCACTCGTACAGAATCCTCAGCTTCCCCTTGGGGCTCTTCTTATCCGCAGGATACGCAAAGATTCCACCGTAAAGCAGCGTCCTGTATGCATCCGCAACCATAGATCCGATGTACCTCGCGCTGTATGGCTTTCCGCCCTCCTCCTTAGGGTACTTCAAGCTATCGAAATATTGCTTGACTGGCTCTTCCCAGTACAAGCTGTTCCCCTCGTTGACCGAGTAGATGGAACGCTTCTTTGGCACCTTCATATCAGGGTGAGTGAGGATGAACTCGCCGAGCGCATTGTCCATGGTAAATCCATTAACGCTGCTTCCCTTCATAGTAATCACCAACTGCGCCGAAGCACCATACATAGTGAATCCCGCAGCCACCAACTCGCTTCCCGGCTTCAGGAGATCCTCCTTCGTCACCTTCCCGCCCGACACCGACTCCTCGAGCTTATAGATGCCGAAAATCGTACCGACTGAGACACCGGCATCCAGGTTGCTGCTGCCGTCGATCGGGTCGCATGCTACGGCGTAGCGCGCGCCAGGGTGCTCGGGGAAGAAGATGGCCTCCTCCTCCTCTTCGGAGACGAGGACAGCGCACTTGCCGGAGGAGCGCATGGCGGCGATGAAGAGGTCATTGCCGATGACGTCGAGCTTCTTCTGGTCGTCGCCGGTGGTGTTGGAGGAGCCGGCCAGACCAGTGAGGTTGATGAGGGTAGCACGACGGATGTAGTAGGCGATGGATTTGAAGGAGAATTGGAGGGCGTGGCAGAGGAGACTGTTGAGGGTTTTAGAGTCGACCTAGCTGAGAATTACTTTGAAAAAGGGCTGGTAACGTACGTGAAGTCTCCAGTGGCTTCGGCGTGCTTTACCTGCTCCTCGGTGAGGAAGCGGGTAAGCGTCACGATATCAGTGTTAATCTTCTCTGTTGATCCATTGTCGGCCATGATTGCGGTTTGAGTATTTCTACTTATCGCGTGGGTAATGAGAGGTAATTATGAAGCTTTGAGAAATATGAGTGACGGAGAGAGTAGGGAAAAGAGAGGGTCTAGAGGGAGGCAGGACGGACGGGGGGGATGGAGACCAATGCTGCCCCGCGCCCTCACGTGCACTGCTGATACTTGGCCGGGTGCGGGGCTCGGGTTGATGCGGAGAAATCTTGTGGAACTGTTGAAGGTACTCGCAGATGTGGTCAGTGTGATCAGTGGTTCTCGGCCTTGAGGGGATAGCTGTGTCGGTGGCTATTGGTACGAAGATGCGACGGAGAATTCGTGAACCAGATGGGGCGCTTTTGGGCTGCGCTGGTAAAAATTATGTATTTACAAATGGACAAATTCTCACCGGCTTTGTTTACAAGCGTTAGTTCGTATGTATAGACCCTGAGTAGTAACAGACATTATATTGGTTTAGAATTAGTACATCATAGTCGCTGCTGTTACCACAATATAACAGCACTCGTCCATCTTTGACGTCAGTCTTTGTTCTATGTCCTGGGTATGCTTTGGTATGCGCCATGCTCTCATTGGTCATTCGGCTACTACACTACCAATTGCCGGGCCGGGGAAACTCGGATAATTTTTCCGTGTAACACGTGACCTATTTTGAGGAATTCTAAGTGTCGCGGATTTCTGTGGAACTGTTTGCTAATGTCATATCATCGTTGAAGCTACTAATGAACTGCCTAACGCACTGCGATCTAACATACCCATTCAGACATCTGAATGTTTCCCCCGGAAAAATATATATATATATAGAAAATGTTGACATGGTTCAACAACTGATCGAGCCTCTAATTGCCGAGGATTGTCGGAATGGGAAGCAACGCCCAGCATGCCATGCCCCTGTCCTGAGAGCACCTGGCTCCCAGTCACCAAGCCCGACCCTAGGCGCCTCCAAGTCCTGATATTTGTTAGCTTTGCTCTGTAATCTTTTAATAAACGTCCAAAGGTATCATACCAGCAGCAAGCGCCATGTACCATGTACGGCTGGCTCCTCCATCCAACCAAGCATTATCAAAACTTTCCTGTGCAAAGAAGGTATAGCTTTGCTTCGGGTCAATGAGTGCCAAATTCGCAAACAATATTCCCCTCCACCCTCCTTCAACCTTCTTAGCTCTGTCATTAGAGAAGAATGTATCCCACTCCTCAGAAACAAACTTTTTCGGGCGTGTTAGTGATGAGCTGGGCAACAATGGAATCATGTGGATGCCCTGGATATACTCTATGTTAGCACCAAAGTACGTAGTGTGATGGATCTTATTCTCAAAGAGAATCCCAGAAACTTTGTTGCCAATGAAATTCTTAGGCTCCACAGTGTTATCGCTCGTATACAGGAAGTACTTGGAGATCGAACGGGCGACAACAGAGAGCTGAAGGTTTCCTCTGGCCTCAAGATTGGCATCGCCGATTGTTTTACCCCACATCTTCAGGCTGTATGCGAAACAAGCGTCTTCGGCACTGCTTTCTTGATCTTTGCCATCGGCAGATTCGAAGAGGCCCTTGGCCCAAGAATGGCCATTGTACCAATCGAATCCTCGGGAGACTGGGAAGTAAGGGTCTTCGCTGCTTGCATTGGCGGTATCACGAACCATCGTGTTGATGTAGTCCTTGTGGCTGGCAAGCCAGGTAGGGTCAAGGTAACCAATGTAACTTGCTGCTAAAATAAAGTAGGCAAAGTGGAAATGGTGGTCGTTGTAGTTGGTATTTCCGAAGTCCGTTCCAGAATCGCCAGTTACATAACCGCTCGTAGAGACGATGCCACCCCACGCCTCTGATGCCAGTTAGTAAAACGGCGAAGGACATATTAGAAATGTACTTACGCTCGTAAACCAGCGGGTACTTGTTTTTATTGGTAGTCCAAACTTCGAACGCAGCCTTAAGCTTCGTCAGGCCATCTTGAGCCAAAGCTTCGTCCTTAACTAAGTCCTTGGAGGCATAGATAACTTGAGCAAACTTGGCAAGTGCCTGCGTAATTTCACGTATTAGTTAGGGATCTAACTTTAACTGACTTGTATTGACAAACCTTCCCACTGAAATAGAATGAATCGCCGTTTGATTGAGCGGACATATCCTGCTTCAGGTCGCTGGTCGCAACCTTTTGAATGCTAGAAATTGCAGCTTCCGATAGTCCAGCAATATTTCCAAGAGATGGGCTCCATGGTGCAAATCCCATTCCAACGGGCATGTCTGGCTCCTCCATTGTCCATGAGTCGGCCACAACAGCTGTTGCTATCCCCTTGGTTGTAGTCTGCAGCTTCACATCTTTGGCTGCTGCCTTCGTAGTGGATGAGAAGGACTCAACAAGGTGAGGTAACGCAAACATAACCAGGGTGGCATCTTTTAGGCCCCCCTTTGAGAAAGACATTGTATATGTGCCAGCAGGGCCTTTAGCAGTACCCGTCAGAGTCGATCCAGTGGCATATGCTCCGCAGGCCGCATCATACACTGCTTCGGCACCTGCAACTGGGCTTTTGGCGATTTGAAGTGTGCCCTGGAATTTGGACGTGGCTTTGATAAGTGCGTTGTTGGCAATACTAAGCTCAAGAGCTTGCCCAGATGTAGAGTGCGCATAAACGAACCATGTGCTTGAATCCTCGAGGACAATGGTGTACTTGGTAACTCCCTCCTTTGGAACAGTTTTTGCTTGGGTAATCGTACGGAATAATACACCACTCTGAAGGATAGGAGTGGATCCATTGTAAATTCCAGTAATGAATCCCATCCCCTGGACAAGAGGAAACGTGATCGCGGGCTTGTCTCCCGCACTTGCTAGAATATTAACATTCACGGAGGAACTGGTGAGGTTGTCCGTGGTGAGAACAGTCGATATCCCAAGCTCAGCTGCTGATAACACCACATGTTGGATGCCGATCGGGTTGACGAAGTATTCAGCTGGAACTGCTTTCGGGTCTGGACCGAAGGCCCGTTGATTGGCTTCGATGTGAGAAACGGCAAGACCCCAGCTCTTAGAGGAGCCTCCACCCTTCGACCATAGCACCGAGTATGGATGCGTCCACGATGCCTGGCTTTGATCGCCGAGGAAAAAGTTGGCGTAGAACTTGTTTGTAGAAAGAGGAGTTTTCTGAGCCGTTATACCCAGTCGCTTCACGGGGTGGTCCGGACGCGTGGCTATCACAGATGGCGGAGCATCTTTGGATAGCGCTTGGAAAATATTACCAGAAGACATTGCGCTTTATAGTGATATTTGGTTGCTGGTTGCTGGTCGAGCACTCAAGAGCGTAACTTGGCTTGGTAGTGGAAAAGATAAGAAAGAACAGGTTTCTTGCTCGTTGGGATTGGTAACAACTCGACAAACACAATACGTTTTGGAGACACTGAGATTTTTTAAAAATAATAATTTTGCCAGCCTGTAGAGAGAACTGAAGATGGTAAGATGGTAAAAAGGCTGGAAATCGAAGGAATTTCGAAGGTCCAAATACCTTCTGGAAGTGAGACAATTGCTAAAGTACTGTTCATGTGTACGGCAAGATGAACATCATGGGACCTCAAAGTTGCGAACACACGCGCACGTATAACAGGGAAACGGAAGTTAACTTGTTTTAGATGGGGCTGAAATCAAGACTGGGCGATGGGATCTTCAGCTACATGACAAGCTGTCTCATCCTGTGTCGCCGAGTATTTAACATGTAGACCCATCACCTGAAGGTATTGGTCGTCTTGAGGGCGTGTTGGGGCGGGACGGCGAGGTTGGGAGGGGTCGCGAGGGTGCTGCAGGTTCTAAGTGGGTTTATTTACGCGACTAGTAATGACTTGCAGTGAATGGCACAAGACGGCACCGCCTCTCCAGATTACGTAGGACAGCCACACCACGAGTTACAGGTGTTACAGGTGCTACAGATCTTAAATCTTCTTCTTGTTCGTACTACATATATTTTTTATATAGTAAAAACACCTCCAAAGTGTCTCAAACCAGGGGCTTCGACATCGGTGCAATGACGCCTTGCTTAAGAAGAATCCTGGGCTTCGTCGCATCCTGGAATGTCTCCTTAGTTGTCCACTCTGGACCAACAGGTAACCTGAGCGACCTCTCGTATTGGGCTCTGGTCTCAAACGGATGAGGAAGGCTGCTAGCCAAATATTTCACATTCTGCGATGAATAGTTAGTTTCACAATCCATTTCTTCAACGACGCCTCCATGTCGCGTAGGATACCATCACATACCTTCTTCACCCTCTTTTCATTGATGATCACCTTGTCCAACTTCACATCTTTCCTGTCTTTCTCCTTAATCCCTTCGGTCTTCACCATGTTGCGGCCCTTATTCCGTGCCTTAGATTTCTTTCCCAGTCCATCTCCGGTCCAGCTACCCCAGCCAGGGAGCGTATTGTCGACAACCTTCTCGTCTTCATCCTCGACAACCTGGCGCTTCTCAGCCTCAAACTCACCGACAACGTCAGCACCGGCGAATGCACGCGCAATAAGTGCTTGGTCACGGATTGCAAAGGGCAACTTAGGCCCCGCCTCTTCGTCACTGTCGTCATCTGATGAGACATGTAGGGTTGTCATCCCAGCCGCAGTGGATTTTTTCTTCCCACCAAGTTTACCCTTGGGCTTGAATGGAGCGGCAATCATCGACACGTTGGTAAGATCGAGCTCATCTGTGGCGCCTGAGGCATGGGCATTTTGCTTTCGACGGCGAGCGTCTGACGATTCAGCTGCATTCTTTCTTGAGCTGACCTGAGACCAGGCGCCGCCTTCGTGCGCCTCATCGGCCGAAGTTATGGGTGGAACTGCCGCCTGCTTAGGTGCATGAGAATGACGCATGGTACTGCTCGACTCTTTGTCATTGTTTGAACCCTTTGAGGTTGACTTATTTCGCTCTCGGGTTACTTGCGAAGGTTCTTCGCCATGCTCGCCGTCGGATTCTTGCTGATTGCTCGTTTCATTAGAACCATTCTGGGCAGCTTTTTGGCTCCCTGGGCCAAAGGTACGACGCCCAATATCTTCAACGACCTCGTCTTCTGGCTCGACACTCCCCGTGGTTAACTCTCTTCTCAGCTGCTTGACGGCATCATCGTTTTCTCGCTTCCGCGCCGCATCCGCTTTTAACATGAATGCCATGTTTGAAAGCCGTCCCCCAACCCCAGTGTCTGAGATTGGGCCCCTGCTGTCGAGGTTGTTCAATAGTTGAGCTTCACCTAGACCTTCGTCGTCGTCGCTACCGAAATCGTCACTGTCGCTCAGATCCTCATCTCTATCTGCGCCATCCCTCAGCGAAGATTTACCCTCAATTCTCTTGCGCAGCTCCTCGTCGCGGACAGCCATCTCATTCATAGCTGATCGTGCATCCTCATCCCAGGCAGCACGTCCTGCATCTTTTGTAGCTTTTGCCCATTTGCTGCCTCTGTGCCTAGAGCCCATCCGCTCTTCAGCTCGGCGGCGATCGTGGGCTTCCTGTTCATCCTCTGAAGGCACAATCCCGGCTTCCAGAAGAGCGTCCTTGTTCAAGCGCTCCTCTTTCTCACGTTGCTTACGATGAACCCGGCGGTAAGACTTGGATTTGATCTTCTTGATGCGTTTAGATCTTGCCTCCTCACGGAACATAAGCTCACGTGCCATGCGTAGTTGATCACGGCGGGCTTTGACCTCTTCAAGAGACATTTTATTTGCCTCTAGCTCTTCGAATTCCGCAATCTTGTCTTCATCGGTCCTCCCATCAACAGTGGCCAGACCACTCTGCTCCAGGATGCTTTGAATGGCAGTTTCCAGCTCGTTGAACGGCTTCGAACTGGTCGTTGGCTGAAGTTTGGTATTTTTGCTCATGGACATGTGGTCGGCGTCTGGTAATGGGAACATAAGATGTTCAGCCCGACGGTTATGCTTGACAGTTTCTGTCCACCTCTCTAATGTCTCTTTAGTCTTGTCATATGCAGCGCTGCGATTGAGCACTTCTTGCTCTCTTCGAGCCAAGGGAACTGCAAGCTTCCCAGACACTCCATTTTTCCCCCCCTCGCTCTTAGCCTCTGCTGCCAGTAGCTTGAGTGACCTTTTGACAAATTTATCCTGAATTGATGGTAGCCCAAGGTCTTCAAGAGTCAACTTGTTTTTTGATGTGACCTTAAAACCCGAGGGGGTGGCGTATTCGCTCGCATTATCACTTCGTTGGCGATCGAGGCGTTGTTTAGAGGTGTCGGCTTGGGGAAGATTCGCGATGAGCCTTTGTAATGCGAGAATTTTGTCGGGGTCATCATCGGAATCATTTCCTTCATCATCCGTAAAAGACTCAAAGCTCTCTTCATCGCTATCGCCATCGCCACTTCCATCTGATGATTGTCCACTATCGCTTTCCATATTCTCTTCTGTAGCGTGGGCGGTGTCATCTGGCCCATCCTCCTCCGTGGCATCAAGCATAGCAGCAAGATCAATTGCATCCTCGCCCAGACTGTCATCATCGGAGCCGCTCCCTTCACTATCTCCATCTTCGTCGAGGTTGATATCCCCACCCCTCTTCTTTGATGTCTTCCTCATATTTTCGGTGCTTCCTGAAAACGCAAATCCTTCAAACTTTTCCTCGTCACTTTCTCCAAAAGCGTCATCACTGTCAAGTTCGCTATCGTCGTCGCTGTCAACCTGTCCCATTTTCCACTCGTTTCCCTCACTGTCGCTCCCTTCCTCGTCGGGGTCGTTCGATCGACCCTTTCTTTTCTTGCTAGGTTCCTCCTCGGCAGAGCCTTCGTCAGAGCCATCCTGCGCCCTTGCACGCTTCCCAGGTCTCGAGCCACCTTCGGATTCTCCTAGTCGATGGCGACTGACCTTGAGCTTCTCGGGATGCTGCTGGGCAGCGATAGCGAAGGCATTCAGATTCCGGTTTTTCTTTGCTTTTGACTTTGACGCCTTCGGGGCGGCGGCTAGCGGCCCACCATGAGATTGTCTTCCTCCCATCCTTGCTTTTTCAATAAGCCAAGAAAGCAGCACCAGTGACGCTGGGCTATTTTTTATTTAGAAAGTTCCAAATACTGCTGGTCGCGAAATTTGGTTATCGATTATCTTGCGGTGGAACTTTTTTGACAGGGGTCCAACATAGCGCCACGCTAATACTTTCTCAGTCTTGGCGATCGCAAAGTTGGGAACGACAACTCAGGTCCAAGGATACAACGACTTCAACACAAACTACAATATGAAGCCTACACAATCATTGTTCAGGCGTCTCCGGCGCCTTGCGCTTACGACGAAGCAAGCCAACAAGGGATTCTACAAAGGAACCGGAACTGGCTCCACTGGTCGCCATACTAAACACGGTGGATATGTTATCGAATGGGAGAAGGTGCGGACATATGTTGTACCAGAGGGCCTCAAAGAATTTACCGTTAGTTTGATCATCCGATTTCGTGGGTAAATAGCTGACATGAGATATAGCTCACACCTTTCGTTACTCGCAATATGAAGCCGACCCGTGGCCGGTTTGAAGGAGACCCAAAGGGCGCGTTAAGTGGAGAGGCATATCTCGCTCGATGGAAGACAGAGAACGGCGAAGATTAAGATACATCAATCACATTGTCGTGCGACATCTATGGCGACAATCGAGCAAAGAATGCACCAATTGATTCTGCGCGAAAGGGCGGGAATGGCGCCGAGAAATGGGAGGGAGGGATATTTGTACGAGATATTTGTACGACTATAGCATATGTTGCAGGAGTTCGGGAGCATCGTCTGGTGCTGATAATTCAAGGGCCACATGCCATTATTTTGAGTGTTGGAGCTAGAATTGATGGGACATTATGTATATAAATCCGATGTACAACAACAATAGGTCCAAACAATTTACCAGAAGGAACCATATTAGACAACCGTGATTCACGGCCCTTTCTAAGGTCTCTGGAGATTCTACTATGTGTGGTAATGATCAGGCCCATTCGAGTAGCTATGCTTATATTTGGTTGCTACTAAAAGCTCTCTATGTCTAAGTTGCTTTCACTTCATATATCATTCGGCATCATCCTATGCGTCGTTTCACTTCCACCGTTTCGCTATTACTCAGCTGAGGTCAAACCCAGCTCCAGAGTTGACGGCATAAAGCAATTTCTCCGACATCGTCTTCGCAGAAGTATACCTTGGAAGCTTTAGCAAGTTTATGCATGTGCTTGCACTCGGAAGTCTCTGCTCGTCGCCTCCTGCGTCCCTGATACTGAACTTCGGATTTAGCTGGCCAAAGCCCAAGAGCGGCGACCTTGGAGTTGAAGTCACATATTTCAAGACTTTCCGTCTATCTTGATCGTCGAGCTGCTTCATTACCTGCCAAAAGAGGTTGATAGTTGGATGTTCAAGGCCATCATCGCCGATAACATACACCCCGCTATATTCTGTATTGCGCCGTAAGTCGTCAACATCGATTTCTGCCATATCGCCACCAATGAGGGTCTGTAATTCCGTTTGGTTAAACATAGAGAGCCAAGAGGGCTGTATTATTTGGCTGAGGCCACGTAGGAAGGCTCGCGTTTGATGATACGGCTGACTGTGAAGGCGATGACGAGCGACTAGAGATATGTATAACACGCGATTTTCATTGTTGACGGGTTTGTTGGCCCCGTTCGGTATGAGCTCCCGTGTAATGGTGCGCACTGGTTCGTTTGCTAGAGATACTACATCATCAATGGTAAAGTCTAGCGCGAAGTCTTCTGCGTTCCCAGTGTAGTTCTTGAGCTGAAGTAGGCCTTGATATAGTGTTTCGTCAAGATCTCTCAGGTCGTTGATATTTGCCTGGTATCTTAATTCAGATGCAGAGTCCGCATTGGCGGTTGAGGCCCACTTCAAAAGGAAGAAGCCTGAAAACCCTATGTCAACGAGAATGCCCTCGTAGAGACATTTTCCAACTACGCGACCTAGAAACTCGTAGCGTTTTAAAAGCTGTGTTATTGAATCGTTCCATTCTGCGTCAGACTCTTGCCAACCCTGGTGTCGTAAAACATCTTTACATTGGTCGACTGCTGCGGGATTTGGGTATAAAAGGTTCTGATCGTTCGTAACGAAGTAACCAGGTCCATCCACAGATCGGAATGCTTCATTCGTCACTGTAGTCAAAAACTCCTTAGTGACGCCACCTCCATCGATGCCCGCTTCAACATTGTCGAACTTATCCACAAACGTAATTTGGATTGGCTCTTTCAAACCCTCGCCGAGACTAAAGAATTGGCCAAAGGCGTCTTCAAGCACATTATCACGCCTGATCCTTGCGTGGTGCCTACTATTCCCGTCGCCTGGAAATGGCATATTAATCATGCGCCATACATCCGGATCCGTATTACCGCTCCTCCGTCTATACTGATCTTGGTGGGCGAATTGCCGAAAAATTTGTACCCTCGTCTTGAAAGGTATAACGTATGGCATATTCTGTAGAACCTCGAGACGGGGCCCTATCGCAGCAAGCGCGCTTGCCCGTGACTTCTTTTGCCGTTCCCTCGCCGCTATCTCCCGCCAGGCCATAACTGCAGATCGTCCTCGTCCTACAATTGGGCGTGCAGGCTCGCGACCAATACCTTGATCCTCATCTTCGCCATCTTCTACGTTCAGCTGATGCTGCCTTTCTTCTTCCGCAACAACAGCTGGTATAAAGCTCCCCATATCAAACCTTGATGTCATAAGCCAGTGGTTTGGAGGCAAGAAACGTCGTCGAGAATCTCTCTCGTAAAGCATCTTCATAACACGGGTGACAATATTCCGAACATAGTCATATGTCATACCGGCTATACCGAGAAATTCTAGGTTCTTCCCATTTTTAGCGTCCTTCGTGGGAGCGTCTGTGGACAATTCGGCGGTGGAGTTGTTGTCTTTAGCACTTGTAGCGAAGTATGAGGACAGATTCGACTGAGTTTCTCGCCGGTCATCCTTCAGTATGTCTGCCGTATTGTAATACATAGTGAACGAAAGATTTTTGAGAAAAACGCTCAGGAGCTTGACATCGCGTAGTGGGAGGGCACTCTCTCTTGATCGTGAAACTAGGCCTCCCTTCTCAGTCATACTTGTCTCTCCTCCGCTCAAGAATTCTTCGTCATCAGTGAACCGCAAAGCGAATGCATAGAGCTCAAGGAAAAGAAGAATAGATCGCCAGTCGCGATCCCTTGTAGCATTGCTAGAGGTAGCCGCAGGCGAATTTGAAATTTTAGAAGGCTTCTTTAATATTTCTAGCGCGGCCTTCGAATCGGTGCTTATTGACGTGAAGATCGATGTCTGTTTCATTATTCGCCAGAATAGCTTCACAGCCGGAATTTGAGCTCCAGTGACAGTAACTGAGGCTTGATATAGCCACATTCGAATCTCTTCTCCAAGAGTGGGGAACGTTCGCAGTAGGGTTAAGGCGTAGCTAGATAGTAAACTATCATCTCCCTCATACCCAGGGGAACGAGTTTCCGCGTGTTCACTTATTCAGTGTTAGTACTCTTTTCCGGCTATCGGTCAAAGGGGTATTTCATTAAAACTTACGAATCAAACTTTGCCAGTAGGTCTGTGATACTCTGTTTATTGACGAGAGAAATAACTTGACTTCTAATAAACTCAGGTAGAGCCTGCCTGGGCAGCTCTGGGCCGCCTACTTCCTCATCAGATGTATCAAGAACACCTGGCTGTGAGACTTCTATCCGCCCAAATATGTCGTTTGCTGATAGTGACAGGATGGTAGACAGGGCCCTAATATAACCGGGTTTTTGCCGCTGCATTGAACATAGACCATGGAAATAGATAAAGTGAGAAAGGAGCCAAAGTCTAGACTCCGGATCCATATCGTTGAGAACGGCCCTGGAGTCGTCATGGAGTATGGCTTGACTTAGAATGTCGATGTCGATAGTTTCAGCTAGAATTTTCATGTCGCCGACTCGACTTGCCAAATCAGGAGTAGCGAGGAATGAGAAGGCCAAGCTGACGTATGCATCATGCAAGATCCTTTGGCCGTCGTCGATATCACTTTTAAAAACAAGCGGCGCAGCGAAAGCCTCGAATATTTTTGTCTTGAATTGGCTTGACAAATCTCTTCTGATAAGAAGGTCCGATAATACCGTGTAGAATCGTGTGATTACTTTGCTAGCTGTGCTGGGGTTCCATTTCACAATACATGTGAGTGTCTGGATCAAAATATCTGCTGGTGGCTGTGGCTGACTGCAAACATAGTTAGCACTTAGATGCTCATGGATAAAGTCGCAAATAAATATTGGTGAGAGAGGGGTAGTACGAACAGAGAGAGGGCATCCAGCAGCACCGCCACCAGAAACGGTAGACGGCGTCCCATGTTGGCATCAAAGCCTTGACCATCTCGGCCTCGCAGAAGAATCCTTTGGCAGAGCCGGACCAACCTCGAGATGTCCTCAGAGTTCTTATAGTTGAAGAATGCAAGCAGCAGGTTCAGCTCTTCCATAAGGATAGGCTCGGCAAGATCCTCTTCCTGGGTATGCTGGTTATCGAGAAGATCCCATGCTTGTCTCCTGCTATTTGCCACATCCTTGCGGACCCTATGTCCTCGCCAGATTCTCTGTATGTTCTTGCTTGCGACTAATCGTTCTCGCTCAAGTTGACGCAGGTGGCGCTCGTGCTGAGCAGCAGCGAGCGTCTTCTGTGTTCCGGAAGCTGTTGGAGCCCATGATGACGCCTCAAATGGGTTAATGTCTTGCCCGGAGAGGTTCACCTGGCGCGTGCGGCGAGAGCTACCGGAGAAGCTTTGGAACATGGTGGGTGAGGTGGGGGATTCGCAGTCATGGCACCGGCACCGAAGGCAAATGGATCACAAGGCTGTAGACGACTCAGCCTGTGCTTTATTTGTCATCGGTTGTCCTGATGAAGGGAGTTAGCAGCTGGAAGGTTCATGAGTTACCTGAAGAAAGGTGTGTTTACCTACTTTGTAGAAAATCAATTATTGGCCACTTACTATGCTGCTTTCGTCATCAGAGAGTTCATGGCGGTCGTCTGTGGATTTGTTAGAAGGACCGATGGACTTACTCAGCTTCAGCCTTGGGGCCACTTTGGGCCCTTGTAAGCTCTTTCTTAGCCCTTCTTAGCATTTTGCCTTGTGCTTGCTTGTACATGCCTTATATGAGCCCTATATATCAGGCATAAACCAATCTCGACCAATTACTCCATTGGGAAAGTGCGACCTTTCCAATTAAACGATAGCGTGAGCGCACTTACACTACGCGGTCAACTTTTCTTTATCCGTTTCGCGAGAGGGCCGACCTTTCTTCACAATCACCCACCAACAAAACCCCCATACCTTGACATCGATTGCGGATTCAGTGCGAAACGTCCTTCGTACTTCTTTCGTTCTTCTTTGCCCTGTTCCTTCAAACCCCATAAAACCACCTTTTTCCGCAAAAAAAGGCTCAAAAAAACTAGAAAAACAGTCAGAAAACCTCAGATTTGCGATCTCTCCATATCAAACTCACCCCTACAACCTCCTACTACCAATCTTCCGTCACACGATCCCTTCACTTGTGCGACATTTTCACCCAAAACAAGAGTCATAAGAACCTAGACGTGGTCTTTCTTTGCAAGAATAACCATTCAAGATGTCTGCTCCTTCCGCTACCTCTGCTGTGGACCAGCTCGCCACCGATCTCACCAACACCACCCTGAATGGCGGCGATGCCACAGCAATCAACACCAACGTCTCTACTGAGGCCACCTCCGAAGACCCAGACACTGCAGGCCCAACTCCAACTGGCGCACAGGCTGCCCACCCCCAGGCTTCGGCATCTCTGTATGTCGGAGAGCTTGACCCATCTGTGACTGAGGCCATGCTCTTCGAGCTCTTCTCCCAGATCGGATCTGTTGCCTCCATCCGTGTCTGCCGTGACGCTGTCACCCGCCGTTCCCTTGGCTATGCCTACGTCAACTACAACACCACAATCGATGGTGAGAAGGCTCTTGAGGAGCTCAACTACACCCTGATCAAGGGCCGCCCATGCCGCATTATGTGGTCCCAGCGTGACCCTGCCCTCAGAAAGACTGGCCAAGGCAACGTCTTCATCAAGAACCTTGATGTTGCCATCGACAACAAGGCTCTCCACGACACCTTTGCTGCATTCGGCAACATCCTCAGTTGCAAGGTTGCCCAGGATGAGTCTGGAAACTCCAAGGGATACGGATTTGTTCACTACGAGACAGATGAGGCTGCCAGCCAAGCCATTAAGCATGTCAACGGTATGCTTCTCAACGAGAAGAAGGTGTTCGTCGGCCACCACATCCCAAAGAAGGACCGCCAGAGCAAGTTTGAGGAGATGAAGGCCAACTTCACCAACATCTACGTTAAGAACATCCCTGCCGATGCCACTGATGATCAGTTCAGAGAGCTCTTCGAGAAGTTTGGAGATGTGACCTCTGCTTCCCTTGCTCGCGACGAGGCGGGAAAGAACCGCGGCTTTGGTTTCGTCAACTTCATCAACCATGAGCACGCGTCGGCCGCCGTCGACGAGCTTAATGGAAAGGATTTCATGGGCCAGGATCTTTACGTCGGACGCGCCCAGAAGAAGCACGAGCGTGAGGAAGAGCTCCGCAAGTCCTACGAGGCTGCTCGTATCGAGAAGGCCTCAAAATACCAAGGTGTAAACCTCTACGTCAAGAATCTCGAGGATGATGTCGACGATGAGAAGCTTCGCGAGCTTTTTGCTCCTTATGGAGCTATCACGTCTGCCAAGGTCATGCGTGACACTGCTGCCGAGACCGCCGAGGCCGAGGAGAAGGAGAAGAGCGAGGAGAAGAAGGAAGAGAAGAAGGACGAGGAGAAGGTTGAGGAGGCTAAGGAGGAGAAGAAGGAAGGCGAGGAGGAGTCTGCCGAGAAGAAGGCCGCATCCAAGTCTGAGAAGCGTGTTCTTGGTAAGAGCAAGGGCTTCGGCTTTGTCTGCTTCAACAACCCAGACGAGGCCACCAAGGCTGTGACTGAGATGAACCAACGCATGGTCAACGGCAAGCCATTGTACGTCGCCTTGGCTCAGCGCAAGGATGTCCGTAAGAGCCAGCTCGAGGCTAGCATTCAGGCTAGAAACCAGATCCGTATGCAGCAGGCTGCTGCCGCTGCTGGATTACCTCAGCAATTCATCCAGGCTCCGATGTTCTATGGTCCCGGCCAGCAGCCAGGCTTCATGCCCCCCAACGCTGGCGGCCGCGGAATGCCATTCCCACCGCAACAGGGCATGGGAATTCCTGCCCAGGGTGCTCGTCCTGGTCAATACCCAAACTTCCCTCCTCAACAAGCTGGCCGTGGTGGACCAGGTCCCCAGCAGCTGCCTCCTAACGTGTATGGGCTCCCAGGGCAATTCTCGCCTGGAGCTCCATACGGCCAGGCTGGAAACCCCCAGTTCTTAGCTGCCATGCAGCAGGCCCAGGCTGCAGCTCTTGCTGGTGCTGGCCGTGGCGGACCAGGTGGCCGTATGCCTATGCAGGCACTGCCAGGAATGCCACCGAACATGGCAGGCTTACAAGGTGTACCGGGCCCCGGCATGCCCCCCCAGGCTTATAGGCAGCAGAACAACGCTGGGCGTGGAATGCCCGGCCGACCAGGCCAGGCTGGCGGCTTCCCACCTCAGGGTGCCCGCAGCACTTCCCAAGCGCCCGTTCCAGGAGCAACCCAGGAAGGCGCAAGTGCTCTCCAGGCTCAGCTTACCACCGCCCCTCCAGCCCAGCAAAAGCAGCTTCTTGGCGAGGCACTGTTCCCCAAGATTCAAGTTATGCAGCCAGAACTCGCAGGAAAGATCACCGGTATGCTTTTGGAAATGGATAATGCGGAACTTGTTGGCCTGTAAGTCTTCTTCTCTCTCTCTCCATACTAGTAAAGGCTAACGTTGTTTTAGTATCGAGGATGAGTCTTCTCTTCGTGCCAAGGTTGACGAGGCCCTCACTGTGTACGATGAGTACGTGAAGACCAACAAGGGCCCTGATGGGGAGGCTCCTGCGGAAGGTGGAGAGGCCGCCAAGGAGACCGAGGAGAAGACCGCAGAGAAGGCTTAATTGCCCGTCATCTCCTGCCATCCCGTCCCACAACTGGGCGGCTACCATCGTGACTTAATGAACTCCTACATCACGACTCTAAAAAATACCCTATCCTATTTCTTTTGTAATATGCGACGGATGGGTCGGAAAAGTTAGGGGCTTTGACTCTTTTTGCCTTTGGCGACTCCTTGGCGCGAAGACGGACCGTTTCCACAACTCCGTGGCTCTGCTTTGATTGTACAACTAGATTGGAGAGATCATTGTTTGGGGGTCATTGATATGACGCAGCATCATAGGAATTGAGGCCATCGTGGTTTTATTTTCCCATGTGCTGTTTTTATCGTGATGTGGTTAGCTTACCTGATCGGTATGGTTTTTAACACAACTAGACTATATTCTCACAAAAACATTCGCAAACTATATCATCTCCCAACTTGCTCCGTGTGCCACGCTTGAAAACGTAACATGTCCTATCTTTGCATGCTGCCCAACAGTCCCATACCTCAATCTTCTCCACTGAAACATAATGAAACCCGAGCAAAGCATATTGAAGTATCTCGAATATTCGAACGTCCATAGTCACCACAGTCCGACAGTGAAGTGATTAACCTAAACTCGAGTACGAGTAGTTCTTACTATATGTCGTTATGTGCTCCAACGGGATCACGGTTTGGTCACGTGCTGCATGGACTCCACTAGGTCGTCCAGCCCAAGGTTCGCGGACTAGCGCGTCGTGAACCAAATCGATGTAAACATACTCACCTCAAGAACTGCAGCATGCGACAATTGAGTTGACACATTCAACAGGTGAAGGCTGAGAACTTAACCACCTCGCTATTATTGGCTTAAATTATGACGGTTTTCCCTTCTGAACAACCGCCGGTGGACCCCATACAGGTTGAGCTCGATGATGAACTTGACTCCCTCGAAGCGCGAAGTATATTTCCCCCACTCCAGTTGATAAATGGCCACGCTGACCGAACCAACCACAGTTGCGGGCCTCCGTCAACGACGAATTATACAAACCGCAAATATCACCAATTCTCGCTCCTCGCAGACAATTCTGAAACGTCTCCGCTCTGCACCCAAATCACTCGAAACCGAGGATAACAATCCACTCAACAGTATCGCTAGCAGCAATTCGCAAAAACAGTTAACACACAACCAAGAATGTTTATATCGTATATGCTCCGGAGTTACAACGTTCAAAGTTAAAGACCCAGATCCATGTTCAATCGACAATGGCGCTGTCCTCGGGGTTCGCATCGAGGCCTTCCAGAGCGGGCGCTTTATAAGGCCATACTACGTGTTCCTGAATAGGCATCATCCAGACAGCAGTGCATGGCGTGTGCATAGACACACGGTGCCGCCTTGCATCCCGCTAGATTCGCTGGTAGACAGATATTTACCAGCGCCTACGCAGAGCGGCGATTTGCTGAAAGGGCCGAAGCAGGCATTACCTCGATTTGTGAAAGCTCTAAGGTCTCATATTGTTGCTTATCACAACCGCATTACTGTGATCGCTAGCATGCGGAGGGCTTTCGGACTCGGCGCAAATAAAGAGCAAGGGGAGGGGCGAGAACTTATCTTTTCAGATATCAGTCCTGCTGATGCCGAAGCGAAACATATTAGGCTGGAATGGATGGATGGGAGAATTGGGAGAGCAGTGATCAGCTCGAAAGGAAAGATACTCAAATGCGTTGTGATAGGAGAAGACGGACGAGACCGAACGACCGAGAGGGTAGTCTTGGGCGGTGGCGGCCGCGTTGAGGGAATTACAGGAAGGCTCCTCTAGATGTAATGAGGGCCGTATATTTGTCACGGTGGAGTACTGGTTGTTTAAGATACCCGGAGCACGTAAACTGAGTGTTGTTAATATTATGGATGATATTCAATTGCCATTTTACGGCCACCATGTCTCACTAATCGAGTGCAATGACTTGACCACCACCTAGGGGTCCCGGATGCTATTCCAATGAGGTATGCCTTCGAAGCCATAAATAGGTTCTGGGACGTGAAATGCGAAGTGGAAAGCAGATTCTCCAGCCAACCTACCCCACGTAACCAAAGGCGGTGAAGCATAGAGTCCCATGAGAATCCGGCAGAACTTTCCACAAACCTATCCATACCCCTCCACTCAGCCCATTGTTGAGCCCAGATACGACATTTGTGCTCCTAACAATGTCGCAAATTCCGCATCTCCTCTCGCCATACGTTGCTCTTCCGTCCGAATCATCCCTTGTTCTCCTCACTTCGGTCCTTGGTGCGAGCACAAACTGGCTTGTCCTCCGGTACCTCCAAAGCTACCTTGGCCAAAACCTCGAGTCCCTCAGCATTTACAATGAAACTGAAGATGGAGATACTACCAAGGTGCTACTTGTTAGCTTTATGAGGGATTTGGCGTTCTGGAAGGACGGGGCTCGGAAATTAGTACGCTGCTTGATGTGGTCAACATATGCGCCTTTGCTGATCTTGGAAACCAGGGCCTTGACCTCGATAAATTGGCGGCGAAGAAGAGATTTGCGTTTATTGATGGGCTGAGCGAACTGTATCTGGAACCTGCAAGGTCGAAGACCGGCACACGTGGCGCAAATGCTGTACGGGGGAACGAGCTGGGGAATATACATAACACCGTGAAAAACACTCTCAAAGAGCTGCAGGCCGGCTCTGGGAAAGTGGTCTTGGTGATTGATCAGCTTGATCTGTTACTGGCAACGAGTGGGGATAAGTTGGATACGGTAGCTTTGGGAGATACGTTGGTGGATTGGAGACTGGTAAGCAACTCTAAATGTTTTGAAGTAAATTATGAAATACAGGGCTAATGAGGTGACAGTCCGCCCATTCAACAGTATTAACACTTGCCGCCGATACACCATTGGCAGCTGGGCATGATACACCACTGGAGACAAATCATGCGGCACTTTTATTGAGTCTTGCGCACCATGCAGATCTAGTGATGTCGTTAAGGCTTCTGGATACAGGAACAGCAAGGGATGTAAGTGGGGTGTGCCGGATTACGACAGGAGATGCTGAGGGTAGGGGCCAAACTGAGCAGAAAGCGGAGGCAAGAGAACTCCTATATTTTGTGGGAGGTGACAGTGCTGTCAAGGTGTTTGAAAGAGGACAATAATGGATATCTGAGGGAGAATCGGAACCCGTATGTAATTTGGATAGAATACATAATACCACGTCCAACGAGCCCGTGATATATGGTTAGAAACAAAGGCGTTCATCTAAATGTCCTGCCTGGGACCGTCGTATCTGTCGTATCTGTATGACCAGATCTGTCGATCGCGAAAGACGATAGGTATGGGCTCGAATCATTCACGCACTCTGCCAGATCTTGACGTATTGCAATTGATGGCATTTGCTAGTAGCTCCTTTATTTGTCGAGGAATAACACAAGCAGGCACCTATCGATCCCCAATCACTCCGTCCACAATCCCATCATGCCATAATGTAACTCCCTTACTCGGTCTTGGGCGCCGCCGCTGGGCCCCTCGAGTCCTTGGGGACACCGGTCTGGAAGCCGTTCTTGAACTTGCGGGAAACGGTCTTGAGGTAACGCATGCGTCCGGATCCAGTGGTCTTCCGTCTCTTGGCCTTCTCGGACCAGTTGTCTGCAGTATTGTTAGTTTTGCACTCCAAACGAAATTCTAGCCTTTCTGAAGCCATGTCGAGAGATAGATTGTACGCACATCCTCTAATCTTTGCTGCTGGGTATCCGCATGACGAGCAAGTGTGCTTCTGGACGTGGAGGGATCGGCGGCCTGTATTCATCGAATTAGTTCCTGTCCTCTTGAATCCCTTCCTCAACCTCAATCCAGCCCAATCCGCCGCGCTGTATCCTTTATCTCAAGATCCGGAGAGTACTGACCGCAGCGTCTGCACAGAACGTGCGACTTGTTGTGGCGTTTTCCGAAAGATCCGGTTCCCTTCGCTGTGAGGATGTTAGTGTATGATTCGCGGTCGTGGTCGTCTGATTTGTGGCAACGTACTCATTTTGAATAGGAACTATTGATGATAATCAGCGTCTGGAGGTGATTCGATTTCGTGCAGGGTTATCTTACCTTGTCGGCTGGTTGATTGTCGTTATTTTTGTCGTGGTCTTTCGTGAGGCTGATGCTTCGCGATTCTCTGAAAGTTCACACGCTAACGCACTATTAGGGCATCAAACCCACGCAAAAACATATTTAATTAGCCGTACTCGGCTCCACTATTCTTACAACCAATCAAGAATTCGCTTGTAGGACTTTAACCTCAGGTCACATGATGGGCCCTTGAATTCTACTTTTGGAGATGGCTGGAAGCGTTTGTTAAATCCAGTATACTCAGATGTACAAAGCGAAACAGAGTTAATGGAGTCCTCGGCTCTAAAGATGATTACTGGAAGAGTAGGGCCTAGCGACGATATCCCTTGAGCCACAGCTAGCAACTAGCACATGGAACCATCGAACGAGCCACTGCTCAGGCAGTTATTCATGTTCAGTATAGGTCTTCGAAGGCTCCGGGAAGGTATTTTATCTTGCAGTTGCAGCCGTAAGCTATCGATTCGATTTATTTCTGCCATCCTCCAGAGTAAAACAACTACAATAAGGCCTAACTGTAACGCCAACTTCCCACATCCAAACGCCCATTCCAATCGTAACACATGGTATCATTTAGTTTTCAACATCCAGCAGAACCTTCAAGCCGCCCTCAACGCCTCTCCACCATCTTCCCCTCTCTTCCAAGTCATCACCATTACCTCCCAATGCGTCTTCTTTCCGCCTCTTCGCATCCCTGGCTAAAGCTGTTGTCCCTTGCCTCTTAACTTCCAACGGTTGCAGTTCTGCCTCAAGTCTCTCCACGGCTCTGGCTTTTCGTGGCAACTCCGACTGTAGCTTCTCCAGTATACGATCAAGCTCTGCAGATTCCTTCTCCTTGTCTTCTACCAAAGCCATGGTCTTGTCCAACGGCAAGCTTAAATTCGCGCTCGGACCTGGTGCCTGAGCCGCCTGCAGTTCCGCTATCGAGGCTTGAAGATAGTCGATCTTCTCTGGCAAGTCCTCTAGCTGCGATGTCTGCAGTTTTATTGCTTCGTGCTTCTGACTTAGTTCCCTCCCTTGCCTCTCTAGTTCTGCGACCATGCCTGCGACGTCGTTTTTCTTGGCTTTGAGAGACGCTTTGACTTCAGCGAGCTGTTCTTCCAGTTCAATATTCTCGCCATGCTGAACTATGAACTGCGGTTCGCCTACGATGGCGCGTATGAATTTCTCTTTGGTGACTTGTTCGAGGTACGAGAAGCGCAGTTTGGAGAAGAGTTCCTGAGGGTGGTCAGCAATTATACCGATGCTACTAGCCCACAGATGTCAAACCTTGTAGTGTGACAAATCATCTTGAAGGCTTGTTGGAGTGGGACTTTCGAATGCATCCTGAGAGGCATCTGAAGTGCGTGCAGCTGTGTCTTGGAGACTAGCTGTCGAAATAGGCTTGCTGATTTTGATAATTGAGAGCTCTTCGGTTTGCAGCTCCTTGAGCGCACTCAAAGTATCGCCATACACATTGACCATACTGATCGCCCGTAAAAAAACACTTGTGCTTTAATGTATCTTATTTGGTGGTGTCTTGTTTACACGTCAAACGCGATACTGCCATCCGCCACCGACCGCATTAGCTCAATTCGGCAGGTCCTGACGTGTAGTCTTCGGCAGAATCAAGCGGTCAAGCGTTTATCGTGGCTTTCCTGTCGCAACATGACGCCTCCTACAGATTCAGTATTTCTGTGAAATGTGAATGAAGAGGCAACCTCTAGGATATTCAATATGCCCGACGACTTCAGCGATGACCAGATTGCCGCGATACTGAGCAAAGAGGCTAAAGAAACTTCGATAAAATATTCAGCACAGGGCATGTCCGCATTTCTACCTTCCAAGTATGTCATTAAACACTACACGATCTCTCACTTGCTAATGTTATGGACAGGCCTCCCGCCAATAAACCAAAACCAAACACTCGTTTCCTCCGCAATCTTGTCCGAGACACAGACTCGCATAATGCAGCGCTACTCGCCAAGGAAGCCGCAGAGTCGCGTAATCGTCTCGAGCAATTAGTCACGAAAGACACACGAAGAGCAAACGATATTAGGCGTCGCCAGCTTGGAAGCATTACTGCGGTTTTAAACGGGAATGCGCCAAAACGACAGAGGACTGATGGCGCGGCTAGGCCAATGCGCGACGAGGGAACCTCCTCTGGTGGTTTGGAGGAGAGGAAGGATCGGTCGACTGACACCGAAGACTATCGTCGGGATAAGGGAAGGGGAGTGCGCAAAGATGACGAAGATATGAAAGATGTATCATCGTCAAAGGACAGGCATCGGTCGCATCGAAGCGAGTCAAAACGTCTAAGCCATCATGAGAAGCATAGGTCTCGGCATCGTTCAAGATCCCGCTCCCCTGACGAAGACAGGAGAAGTAGGGATCCGAAACGACGGGAACGTTCGCCTGGGCGGCGTTCACTGCTCTCTTCCTCCAGCCGACGTGATGAGAAATCATACGACAGAGAACGGCGGCGAAGACCTTCACCTCAGGCGGATTCGGATTCGGATCCTCTGGAAGCTATAGTCGGTCCCCTGCCGCCACCAAAGGTGAAAAGCCGTGGCCGCGGCACCGTATCGTCAACCTCTGGAATTGACGCTCGGTTCTCGGAAAACTATGATCCAGCGCTTGACCTAGTACCAGAGAACCATGAAACCGACGGCAATGGTGATGACTGGGAGCTAGTGCTAGACCGTGTGAAATGGAAGCAACAGGGTGCGGATAGGCTCAAAGCAGCTGGGTTTACGGAAGAAGAAATACAGGGATGGAAGAGTGGGAAGAAGGCAGAAGTGAAGTGGACAGCAAGTGGAAAGGAGAGGGAGTGGGATAGGGGGAAGCCTGTCGGTGGCGTCGACGGTAGCGCTGAATGAGGAAGGCTTGATGCGGGAAGTGATTCGAGGATGTGAGGCTTGAGAACAATAGCACAATCGGGATAGGAAAATATAGTTTTGGTGGGACATGGTCATCATGGGGGCCAACGGTATCATAAACGCTAGCGGAGCTGTGTCGAACGGTGAAGATGGGCGCCACGCGAACCAGAGCCCCGGAATAGATTCTGGTTGGTAAATGCGTTGGTGGTTACTATGGTTTTTTGAGAAGTTATTGTTACGCTGCTTTGGTAGGTAGATTTTTGTTGCATTTCTCGGAATATTCTCCACGACCCACGTTGTCTCGCTGGCCGGGCCGCGGACCATGCCTTTCAAGTCCCCACAAACGCACGTCACAGTCGGGTTCGCATTAGGACCCTGTACCACGCGCAGCACTGGATCGCTCGTAGAATAATACGGTAATACATATCTCATATAGTATGGTACGGTAGAGTATCACAGGACGTATAGCTGTACTTGTCACGGGAAAAGAAAGACAGAAGAGAAACGGAGAGGTTGTCGACGCGTCGAGATAAAATAAGATGACAAGGAGCAATTCAGGAGACCCTTTAGACCATTTTGGTGGGGGGTCTGTCAAGGATCGGCGGGACAGCCGTCAAAGCAATGCATGCATAGCGAAGGTACCCTTGTTAGGGACTAGAGCCACTATAGCCACCACTATAGCCACCACTACAGCCACCACGTCGCAGGTTGGTGGGTCTTGAAGAGGTTAGAAGGGTTCGAAGGGCCAAAGGGTGCTAGTCCCCTGTCTTTAGAAGCAAAATTGTAGCCCCTGAACGAATTGGACCGACTGAACACAAACCATATCTCCTCTTTTGGGCACAGCGGCTATAGAGTAGTACAAAGTTAGTATGGTAAGGGCGAGAAAGGAGGACCGCCAGAAGTAGAGTACAAAACAAAATAAATTGCCATAACATGATTGACATGATTCAGGTGAGGAGGTTTGTCTGGGGTATAGAACGGTTTATACGCCTCAATTGCATGCAATACTACCTACAATACTACAATACAATAGTACATAAGAGCTTCTAGATTTATACCATACCATAACTACACTCTATATACTGTACTATACTATACTATACGAGTAACGAGTAAACTGTACCGTAGCGCCCGGTAGAGTACTGTTGTCATACAAGTACGCTACCCTCCGCGGTGGTCAGTGGTCGTGTCGTGTCGTGTCGCGCCTATTGCTTCTGGTCGCATTGGGAAGGATTAATTCCCTCTTCTCACCACCAGCCTCCCCCCTCCCACTCTCTTACCTCTCCCTCCTCATCCTGCGCAAGCTGGGAACATTCTTTTCCCACTACACCCCACGCTGTAACAAGCTTGGAAACATCATAATTCTTTTCTGTCAATCGCTATCCTTTACAATCTTCCCGTCCGTCTCTACCGTTCTCGACCTTCACCCCTTGCGAACCCCTGGTGGTCTCCCACGTCCCATCACCTCACGACAGCTCCATCCACCCCATTCATCAAAATGGTGAGCAGCAGCAGACCACGAACTCCGAGCGGAGGTGTTGCGCCACCCCAGGACAAAATACCAGCGATTCCCGATAGCAAGAATGTGTCAACACAACAACAAGAGGCCCCAAGAAGGTCGAGCTTAGGCTTACTTCTGCGACGATCCAAGTCCGGCGACTTCGGCAGCAAGGGAAGCAAGAAACACCAGGCTCATGTGCGCGAGCTTGAATTGAAACGTCAACAATGGGAAGCCGCCAACAAGCCAGCTCCGAGCTTACCAGTTCTATACAACGGGGGTGCAGCACCAAAGCTACAGACCTTCGGTGGTGAGGATCACGGCGCTGACCACTACGAAAACGGACGCGCCTCTATGGATCCTGGCATGAGATCGGGGAACATTCCAATTCCACCGATACCCTCAAATGGGGCTAAGAAAGGTGAATGGGTTGATCCATATGCGCGAACGGAGAGCATGACCCACCGCGGTCGGTATAGCTACGCAAGCAGTGCCGTCAGCACCATCAACAGTCCTCGTCGTGTGAGGAGGAGGAAGGATCCCACACCATTCAAGTAAGTTTATATAGCGTGTTAATATTTTATGACATAACAACTAACACAACCCAGCATTCTCATTATCGGAGCTCGCGACTCAGGCAAGACCTCATTCCTCAATTTCCTTAAGAGCTCTCTTGCACTCCCAGCAAAGAAGAGAGGCACTCGCCCAACCGACTTGCCCGAGGATGTATTTGGGGCACAAGCAGCGAAGACAGGCAACTTCATCCCTCATTACATCGAGACTGAAATCGACGGAGAGAGGATCGGTCTCACGCTGTGGGACTCGGAGGGCCTAGATACGACTGTTGTGGACCTCCAACTTCGCGAGATGTCATCCTTCCTCGAAAGCAAGTTTGAAGAGACCTTCACTGAAGAAATGAAGGTTGTCCGCGCACCGGGAGTTCAGGATACACATATTCACTGCGCTTTCCTCATCATCGACCCAGCTCGCCTCGACAAGAATATTGCAACTGTGAAAGGAAGAGCCTCCAATGACCAGGGCAGCCAGGGCGATAAATACGCTCCCACTCCCCGTTTAATTGGCGGCTTGGACGAAGACCTCGATCTTTCTGTCCTCAGAACCCTCCAAGGAAAGACCACTGTTGTGCCAGTCATCTCGAAGGCCGACACTATAACGACTGCTCACATGACCCACCTCAAGAAAACTGTCTGGGACAGTCTTCGCAAAGCGAACTTGGACCCACTCGAGGCTCTAGGACTGGATGATGACTCTTCTGATACTGTCAAAGACTCGAATCGCATTGATGAGCAGGATGAGGATGAGGAGGGCTCGGAACATAGCGGCAACAACTCTTCGGGTCCAGACCTGCCTATTCAAAATCCAGAACCGTCCTCCTCACCTCAGTCTCAGAACCGCCGATCGTCGGGATCAATCAGACATCACAAGCGTCAGCTGTCAAGTGAGAATATGACGGCAACTGACGAAATTCCTTACCTACCACTCTCAATTATCAGCCCAGATATCTACGAGCCTGGAGTTATTGGTCGCAAATTCCCATGGGGTTTTGCTGACCCATACAATGTGGAACATTGTGACTTTGTCCGCCTCAAGGATGCAGTCTTCTCCGAATGGCGCGGCGAGCTACGCGAAGCAAGTAGGGAGCTATGGTACGAGGGGTGGAGAACAAGCAGACTGAAGCACCGCGAGGGCCCGGCCAGGCGATAGTCGAGGATGCTGCATATTTCCGCAAAAAAATACTTTCTATTTCGGTCTAAACGGCAGGCCTTTTGTTTCCAAATTATTTTGTGTCATTTTGCATCCATGCGTCGGTCGCATTTGGCACGGCAGGCTGATGATCGAGAGCGAGCAAGCCTTCCGCTACATTGTCCCTTTTCCAATTTCTTTTGTGTAGGAACCTCACACCATGAGGACTCATTGTTTGAGTGGTCCAATTGATTTGTTTCACTTACTTACGTTGCCAAGATGCAGTAAGATCTGTTTTGTTTATGACCATTCCATCGTTCGATACCATCGATCCGGCAGCGTGTGCGTGTATAAGTTGTGTGTTTCACAGTCTCCTTTATATGGTGGATACTGAAAATCGAGGGGCAGGCGATTTAGAGTTTGTAGTGATCGCGGCGACGAGTAGCTTAGCTGCAATCAATTGATAAAACAAGTCTTCGTGCCATTGCTTGTAACAATTCCCCAGGTATTAGTTAACTGGTGCTTAACTAAATTGATCCTATTGCATCTCATAACGTAACCGACTTAATTGCTCACCAAGTGAAACTCACCAAACTTCAGTGTAGTTTGTACGTGTATGATGGTCAATATCAGCGGGATTGCCAGTCAAATCATAAAAAAATGTCTGAACTGCCACCTATAATTTCATCGTTTTAATAAGTTCACGCCAATCTCGATATAATGCATCATCCAGATCGTGGTGTTCTCCCCCGTCAATTGGGAAGGGCTGGAATTAAGCGCGTATATCAACAGGGGCAGATGCTGTTGGCAATCTCGGAAGCGATTTACCCAACCAACTGCCAAGAGACTGGACCAAACGGTATATATTCTTCAAGATCCTCTAAATATGATAATGGTCGGTGTGCTTCCCGCGACAGAGGGAGATAGATCTTCCGCAAAATTATGAAGCTCCTCGGGCCTTTGCTTGGAGCCACGGTGGTGGCTAGGACTGCTGGTGAGTACCACTTATCGCAACTGCCTCCCAGGCCAGTCTCGCACGGTGGCGCTATATTCTCCGTGCTAATTCATGGATAAACAGCGTATAAATGTCCGGATTATTTATATTTCAACCTTACAAATGCAGCTTACATGGCCGATTGCGCACGGCTTAACTATGCGTGCACAAATGGATCCTCCATATCATTCGACATCACAGGCGGAGCTGCTCCTCCCGTCTACTGTTGGAAGAAGGAACTGTTCAGCCTGTATTTTGAGGATACCAACTTCAACGGGTCAATTGTGCTACCAGATGTGTTCGAGACTTACAGAATCACATTCGAAGGCGGCTGGCCAGCGCGGGCCAACGTAACCGCCGCTGAAGTCGAGGCATTTCGGAACAAGACCACTATAGATGAGGCAGATATCCTTAATCTTACGGGAGTAACGAGTCCACTACTCCTGAATATATCTAGTATAGATTTCCCAGATTTGGTTAATATTTCGGATTTGAGTATTCGCTATTCGGGCAATTTGTCAAGCCTGACGATGCCAAAACTTGAAAATATCAATGGTCGATTATACCTCGATCTCTCACACGGCCCAGCCATCAGCTTGTCATTCCCAAAATTGTCTCAAGTTAAGAGCGACATGTACCTGGGAGGCAAAATCGATGCGTAAGTAGCTCCGAAACTCTCTTCGCTCTTCATTTTGTCTTTGGCAACTTCGAAGCTAATATCCTTTGTAGCCTAGAGTTTCCGGCCCTGAATTCCTCGCGCCACATCAATGTTGCTACGACAGGAGATCTAGATTGCCTCGCTTTCGCCAAAAGCGTCGTGAATACGACTAAGTGGCCAGTAGAAAACGAGGGCCCCGAAAATCGGAACAGCTCGGTGGTTTGCAATTCGAATACAGCAAGCGTTACAATGCACCCTATGCCACCGCCACCCGAGGAGTCGACTGGCAGTCGTGATGGACTTGACTTCTGTAGAAGTTTAATACTATTGGCAATTCTCGTTGCCGGTGCAAGTTCGGTCGTTTAATACCACATAAGTCAGGTTGTAGTGATGGGATGAAGTGTATTTAAATATGGGTCTTGAACTGATATAATCCGGATCGAGATGTCGATCGAAGGGTCTCTCACACCCTAGACTTAGGTTTAGCGCCGCCCTGCCAGGTACAAGGGCAAAACGTGTGGACACCCACCACCCGCCGCTAAAAGTATGAGGGTCAGTTAGTAATCTTGGTCATATCTGTACAAATCTTTATAAAGAGGTGTTTGGCGTTATCACGCATACAGTTGGTCCTAGGTTCCTATTGATTGTATTTTCTGTTCCAGTGTGTGCTCTCTCAAAACTTCACTGTAATTACCAGAGTATCAGAAGAACAGGGGTGTGGCTCAAACACGGTATGTCTAAACTTCCAAAGTTATCCTGGCATTACGGAACCCATTACAGCCAAACAGAGACTGTATTATTTAACAACATCTGCCAATCATCGCAGCTATCTGACATCTGGATGGCCCGCAACTATCTCGTTCAGGGCAGTTCGGCCCCTGATTGACGATCGGTTTCTGAAGCTCCTCCTCGCCATCTCAGAAGGCAACATATGCATATGTTACCTACTTCAGACATTTTTCTTTCATGTATCTAACCAACTATTAGATGACTGATCGAACGAAACTGGTCTATCAACAAGATGGAGAACAGCTGCTTCATACCGCTAAGGTTCTTTCAATCGTCCCAGTATCAGAACTTCCGAAGCCGGATCAAGCTCTCGTAAAGGACTCATCAGATATAGAGCATGCTGTGATCACAGAATCTACCATCTTCTATGTTCAAGGCGGCGGCCAGCCCTCTGATATCGGAACCATGACAAAGGCAAACTCAAGTTTTGAAGTGCAGTCGGTGCGTCAACCAGCGCAAGGTGGCCAAATACTCCATTTGGGCCGTTTTGTCCCAGTCGGAGCTACCGCGTTTGATGCCGGAGAGGAAATCCAGCAACACGTTGATGCTGAGAAGCGCAATCTCTACTCTCGTCTTCATACCGCAGGACACATCTTGGGCCTAGCAATCAACGCGCTGTGTCGTGAAGGCGTGCTTCCTCCCCTCACAGAATCAAAAGCCTCTCATTATCCGGACTCTGCAGCCGTTGAGTTTGGAGGTTTAATTGAGGGTAAACATAAGGATGCGATCCAGGCAAAGACGGACGAGTTTGTGCGATCAGCCAGACCAGTAAAGATTCATTGGTGGTCCATGGAAGAACTACTAGAGAAGTGCTCCGGTGTTACCGAAGGATTTGAGCTGCCTGAGGGGGAGGTCATGGGTAGAGTTGTTGAGATGGAGGGTCTAGGAAGTTATCCATGTGGTGGAACGCATGTTCAGGATTGCAGTCAAGTGGGGAAGGTTGAGGTGAAAAAGATCTCACGCTCTAAGGGAATAAGCAGGGTGTCATATAGAGTCGCATAGAAGTTGCATCGATTTTGTAAAGCATAAATTCTAGAGATTAGCATCAGCTCCCGGAGACAGAAGAGGCTTGTAGGTGATGTCTCTGCGATATTCTTGTCTTAAAGTATATACTTAATACTTTATTATATGCATGCTTAAAGTTTCCTTCTAGACTACTTTCCAAGGTGGATACAACTGTGATGAGGCTACCGGAAGCCTCCAGAAAAGCATCTTATGTTAGGTCTGTAGCTGCGTGAGGGAAGATAATGAATTTTGAAGCGCGGTTGGGCAACTCTACCATAGTGGCAGAGTTGCGAGTTTGGGGGGGCTTATTATTATTAGGGGTGACCTTCCATCTGAAGTATAATGGGGGGGTGGATTGAGCTAGAGTCGTAATGAATTTAAAGACAGTGCAACCAACAATGGGGTTTGATTTTGGAGTCTATGAATCGTGTGCCTTCGCTTCGGCATTAGCTAGTAGCTGATTCCCAAACTATGTAGATGATAGAACCATCGCCAGCTGAAAACTACAGCTTTAACAAACAGCACAGCCTTTAATAATCGTATAAGTAGGCGGCAAGTCTAAACACTAGTTGTTAATTTAGGCTGATCTTGGTTTGCAAACATTTGAACTAGATAAAGTTGCCTTTATTAACCTGAAATAGGGGGGGCGACGCTTGATTAGTCTAACATAAACCTATAGTACTAATAATGAATTAAAAGGCTAATTACAGCATTGCCAAATAAATAATATAGAATAGTATAATATTGTTAGAGTTTATAAACTGACCTAAGACTAACGTAAGTCATGGCCTTACCGACTGTATGGCCTTACCGACATAGTAACGTAAGTCGTGGCCATACCGGCTACATGGCCATACCGGCTATTTTGCCGACCCCACCAAAATCCAGGACTAGACCACCAAACTACTAACTTAGAAAATTGTAAATAAATCAATTACTATAGTGCTAATTCGTCTAAATCGCTATCATATAGCTCTTCTTCACTCTCTTCATCTATTTCCTCAATTATAGCTTCGTTTATAGGTTGTGGCGTTATTCTAGGCCTCTGTGAAGCTGTGGCTGTTGCTGCTTCTGCTTCTATAACTTGCGACTGTAACTCCTCTGTTGAGATGTGGAATTGACCCTTTAAAACTGCTCTTTTACCCTTATTCTATGTTCTTCGCTTTTAGATAATTGAACGTAAGTTATTACACTCTCTTTTCTAAAGGGTGTTGCGTGTATTAAGGCGTTCTAACTCATCTGCTAACTTATTGATATATCGCTTTATAGGAGTATTCAAAACACTCTGACTTATTGTAGAAGAGAGCATAGAGTTCGCTTTTTAAAG